CCCTAACCCTAACCCTAACCCTAACCCTAACCCTAACCCTAACCCTAACCCTAACCCTAACCCTAACCCTAACCCTAACCCTAACCCTAACCCTAACCCTAACCCTAACCCTAACCCTAACCCTGATAATAATATTTGAAGGGTTACAGTCAGACTTAGAGGTTATTTCAGCGTTCTGTGCTGAGGGTTAGTGTAAAACCCTTGCTCCATGCCAAAGATGTGCAGTCCCCACCCCTGAAGCCGGAACGGAGTGTTGCATGTTATTTCCGAGTGCTTAAACGTGCACATGGGTAGCATGAGGAGGGCCTGAATGAGAAGACTATCATGAGTGGGTGAATTACTGCAGTGAGACATTCCTCTATGATTCGTTCACACGTGTCGTCATTGTTGGTGTTATGACATAACGATCGACAGGGTTTTGATGCCATTTTGGATGCGGAGAGTCATGAGGCCATCGACCATCGGAGGGTAGACTATATATACCTGTCCATCATCCCTTCTAACCAGAACGTTCCTTCTTCCGTTCCCTTCCCCTAACCACCACCTCCATCTCACCTGACAGATATCAACAATGGCTTGGACTGACAGGCTGTTCCTCAAGGTAAGCACCCTCAACATCCGCCAACTGCACAACTCCTCATACACACTCTCAGCTCACTAATATCCTCGCAACCCTCCTCTTCTTGGGATCGAACATCTTCGCCGTTGCAGGTCCAGAGCCAGGATATGGATCGGGAAAGGAGACCTACATCACCCCCGAGTGGTTTGCGTTCTACATCTGTGCGTCGTCTCTAGACAATTTCGTCATCGGTCGCTGACCATACCAATTTAGGGACGATCATCCACTTCTTGCTTCTCTGTGCCATGATCTACCAGTTCTGGGATGCCGGCAAGCGTGTAATCATCGACGGCATCTCCTGGCGTTACCCCCTCCTCGCTGTCCTCACTGCCGTTTACGTCGCGGTCTGGGTGCGTCCCCTTCTCATCCTGGACTCGGCAGTCTCACTCGCAGCATCCGCAGCAACGCCATTATTACATCGTCGCCTTCATCTTTGCTCTCCTAGTCGGCTCAACTGTCTCGCACATCTACTATATCGTCAAGAAAAATCATCGTGCTGAGAATCTGGCTGATGAGTGTATGTCACACCACTCTCCCCCCGAACAGCTGCTGATTCTACGCAGTCTTGGTGCATCTTCCTTTCTCCCTCTACCATGGCTGGACCACGGTCCTTGTCCTCCTCACTGGCTTCGAGGCGTTCGGCGTGAACGCCCTTGACCACAAGGCCGGCATTTGGACCAAGGTCTTCGTCTTCCTTGCCCTCCTCTTCCTTGAGGCCACCAGCGGCGCCTACGCGTTCTCCAGCCCCCAGGGTGATATCGCCGCCTCCATCGCAATCTCCTGGTCACTGCTGGCTATCTTCATCCGTACGTAGCCCTATTGGCACGCTCCGCGTCGCAACTGACTTGCTCTCCAGACCAGCGCTCTTCGGCTTTCATTCACTGGTCGGCCCTTGCGTTTTTCATCCTCTCCCTGTTCGCCATCCTCAAGTCATTTTGGGGCTACTGGATCAGCTACCGCTCCTCAGGCTCCGTCCTGCACGACGAGGAGAGTGCACCGCTCGTGCCAGAGGCGTAAATCCTCTAGCCTCACACCTCTACTGGCACACCGCCTTGCTTGCATACTTGCTTACGACCAGTTTGACGGATATCCCGCTTTCTTCTTCATATCATGACCGCACATCATGTTAAGTAATCGATGTTGCATTAGTTGAGGCTGGATTCATTACCAATGATATATTATTGTTCCCTTGCTCAGTCCTCTAAATACTCTCCGTGCATATCCCACGGCAACGGGGCTCGGAAAGGTTGAATACCGTCGGTGGGACACCACTCGAACAAGTATCGCAGTTCCGGTGCCGATGAGTGAAACGGATGATGTCGTGAATGTGGGTTCCGTCTCTTTCGCTTGTCCAGGAGAGGCCCATGGCATCCATACAAGTCTCTCGTGAAGGGTATATATCCATATTCTCGCTGTAGACGACGTCAGGGAGTCATAGGAAACGACATCGTCGAATGCATACCTCTCCTTCCATAGCTACATCCTTCACGCTGCCCTCAAGATCCACTCCAACATAATTCCATGTCTCTGGCGTCAATGGCCACCGAATGGCTTTCCGATGCAGATGGGTGAAGCGCGGCTCCTTCATCCCGAACCCAACGACGGTGATCTTCTCCGGGTATCGGCCCACAACCTCGCGGAAGCGGGCAATAGAGAAGAGGAGGTTTTGGAAAGAGTCGAGGGAATATTCCTCCGTCGTCACTCGTGGATGTGGTAGAAAATTGGATTGGAATACGTTTGATTCGGTGCCAAGTGCGAGATAAGATGCTGATTCGGATAAATGGGGTGTTAGAGCGCGTGTCTGGCCCCTACACGCAACGTTAATGTGACGTCGCATAGTTAGGGGAGCGTACATACCCACTGAACACCAACAAGCTCGATTCATCCTCTAGCAACTGCTCCGCGCTATGCATACGATCAGTATACATCAGAAAATCCATCTATTGGACGTACCCCTTGACGATGTGACTCCAGAACGCCTTCACCGATGCGGATGCTGAGGTTTTCTGAGCAGGTTCGAGTATCCAATCACTTTCATCTCCTCGTCGCTCGGGAAAACAGCCTGTAAAAGCGTCACCGAGACAAAAAGAAACGTTAGACAAGAGTGCGTACCATTCCAAACAGCATGGCCAGCTACAATAATTAGATGTGTCAGGTTTGTGTGCTCCGGCGGTCTTGTGACAATTTCCTCAATTGAACGAGGTACAGAGGCAGCCTTGAACGCGTTTGGAGGTTTCCAAATTTCCAGTATCGGCCGGGTATCTTCATGGTGGTCGTGCAGAGAGAAGAATAAGTATCGAATGTTGATTAACATAGACAAGGCGAGGAAGGAGACCAGGAGAAGAACAGCCAAGTTTGTGAACCTTGACCGTTGCCGTAGCCGTGTCATTGGTTGTGACATTTGGTTGACATGTTGAGCAGCAAAAGGCCGTCGCCCTCTGCTAAGATGCGTAGGCAGCATCGCTATGTGCAGTATAGCATGAGCAGAGATAAGCAAGGTGCGCCGTGGGCGTTTGAACCGCGTTTGGCAGTGGCGGATATTTGCCAGGAATGAACGTCGCTTTGACGTCGCGCAATGCGGGGAGCAGGGTCGATGAAGGGTCCGACAACGAGGACATATATTTGGTTGCCGTCGACTCACGCATAACGGAATGACCAGAATGCTGTATTCTATTCTCTTATACCTTCTATTAATCACGTCTCCTACAATCCAACCATCTCTTTCACCACTTTCCGAGCCAACGCTAGCATCTCTTCAGGTGTTGTGTCGACGTTCACAACAGCAACACCTTCCTCGTTCTGCGGTCGCTCCAGAGTCGCCAGCTGACTCTTGAGCATTCCCGCCTTCATGAAATGTCCCTTTCTCGCTGCCATACGATCTTGAAGCACTTTGTCGCTTCCGTCGAGAAAGACAAAGTACGTCTGGAGGGAAGGTGAGGGTGGGTCGTGTGCACCGTTTGTATGCGTCTCGTTTGTCTCTTCGTGCGGTGGTACGTGCGCAGTGGGAGGCGGTTGTCCTCGCAAGATATCACGGTACGTCTTCTTCAAGGCAGAGCAGACGACCACGACGCCTGGTCGGTCGCCTTCCTTCAGTTGCCCAGCGTGCATCTGGTCTGCACAGGCTTTCTCGGCCCTGTTCCGTATTATAGCAAGCCAGGGGAAGCGGTCTTTGTCTTCCAGAGCTTGTCCTCTAGACATCTTGTCGACGTTGGCCTTGGGATGAAGGTCGTCTCCATCAAGAAACGGTCTTGAGATCGCCTTGGCTAGACCTGCACCGAGCGTCGACTTGCCCGAGCCTGACACACCCTACATACATCATGCTTGTCGGCAAGGATGAGCATAGACTGTACGGATAAGTTGTGCATACCATGACGACGATGAGAGTAGGTCGAGGACGACTTTGCTGTACCGAAGGTGCGTCGGTCATCGTCTGCGGAGTGGGAGGGGCGATGGGGAGATTGAGGATGAGGATGAGAGGAGCAGCGCCGTCGGTCCGGTGCATTTATGGTGGACTGTCATTACTCCGAGCGTCCGCGGTGCGTTGTTCGGCGAAAGGGAATAGGCAATTTCTGACATGATGAAATTGGTATCTTAAAAGGATTGTCCTGTCATTTCTCTAGCGATTTAAATGTCCGAAGAAACAATTTCATGAGAAAACGCAAAATGATTTGAATTCGAAAATTGCTCATTAGCTTTGATTTGAATTCGAAAATTGCTCATTAGCTTTGAAAAGAAAAAAAACGAATTTTTAGCAAAGTACGGTATTGGGTGAATCAGAATTTTGCCCTGTGACATTGCCCAGCCTTCAAGTGAAGCGTCGCGTTCCATTCCATTCTGTCGATGCTTAGTGGTCAATGATAGAGATGTTGCCCGATACGAGCTCTGTGCGGGCGATCAGCACTGATAAGAGGAAGGGACGTCATCACTCACTGTTCTCGAGGATAGAACCATCAGGCAGGTCAATCCGGGCATTATCGGTAGCAACAATAATCACAGTTCCCCTCAGCGTGATGTTACGCCCAAACCAGACGTCGCCTGCAACAGTTAGATGGTCAAGCTCGAGGATGTTAGGAACGGTGCGGAAGCGCTTCTGGAAGTTGGCGATCTTCTTGAAGCTGTCGCCCAGCTTGATGACGGGTGTCTGACCAAACATACGCGCAGGATTCATCACCAGGGTACCGTGCTCCAGGGTGTAGAGGTCCGAGGTGATGAGGAGTAGATCACTGGTGCTCTTGACGGGAAGGAAACGGCTTCGGGGGACGTTTACTCCGTGAGCGCCGCGGAAATGCTTGATAGCAGCACCGACGGCGGTCTCGAGCTGGATGACAGCTTCGCCAGAGTCGGCGATCTTGTTGTTGACGATGATGTCAAGAAGGAGCTCGTCGTTCTCCATGACACGCTTGATCGCCTTGAGGTTCATCCACAAGTTGTTCGTGTTGAACGTGTTGAACTTCTTAATTGACTTGAAATCCTCAATGTGCTCTGAAGGGACTTGTGCGACTTCGAGAAGACGAACATTGCCTTCATACTGCACAAGCGTACCACCCTTGACGTCGGCCTTAGTCTTGTCTGTGAGCTCCATAATGAACTCGGCCTGGCTGTCAATCATGTGCTGGTAGATGTTCAAGTCAACAACGGCACCAAGATTGTCAACGTTAGACACGAAAATGTACTCCTTGCCAGCGGCAATGAGCTGATCAAGAAGGCCAGAGTTGCTCAATGCATCGTAGATGTCACCATGGCCGGGAGGATACCACATGGACTTGTCGCTGACCGGGCTACGAGGAACGGGAAGGAGGGTCTCACGCCCCACACGAGGGAAACGTGACTGGTTGAATGTGAGGATCTGGATGTTGTGGTTGGCGTACTTTTGAATGATCCGCTGGGTCTCGCCGTCGGTGTTGAAAGAGTTCATGAGAATGAAGGGCACGTTGACATTGAACTCTTCATTCAGGTGCTACAGACATGTCAATCAAACTGTATGATGTCGAGCGTATGACATACCTCAATCTGTCTCACGCAGAGATCAAGAAATGTCATGCCTTCGCGAACCTCGATAGCGGACTTGGGGGCACCACCCATACCCATGCTCGTACCCAACCCGCCGTTGAGCTTGAGAACGACAAGCTTGTCGAGAAGGGTAGGATTGACAGACTTCTTCAGCTCGGCATAGGGTTTGATCAGATCGGGACCAGCCGCGATGCACTTGTCCCATACACTGTTCAATTTCTCTTAGATGCGCTTTGTATGATAAGGGTCAGCACGTACATCTTCTCGCCCTTTGCCTTTTCCGCAAGGTAGCGGTTGAACAGGATGAAGAAGGACTGCATCTCGGCATCGAAAACCTAGCGCATATAAGCTCAGCGACATGGATTGATTGACAGCACGCACCTTCTTTGCCTTGGGATTCTCCACCTCATTGATCATTCGGTTGAGCTCGTTCCTCATAGCCTTGGCAGCAACACCAGTAGTGGCTGTCTTGAAGTCCTATTGACAGCAAAGCAACGAAAAACTGAGCTATATGCGCTTTTGTCTTGGGAGAAAAGCGGACATACCATTGCGGAATGACCGCGAGCGCGGGGTGACTTGACATCGTTAGCTGTCGGTGCAGAGAGGAGAGGCTGCTTTGACATTTTTGTTGTAGGGAGGGTCAAAAGGATCGTTGGATGGTGGTGGTCAAGAGGTGAGATGGGTGGTGGGGGGAAGACAGCAAAAGAAAAGCGAGATGAATGCGGGGAGAAGAGGGTTTTTATGTCAAGGTTGGGGCTTGACGGACACGATGGAACAACGCGACAGCATGAACGTGCCATGTCGGATGACGTCAGCAACGTGACAACCACTTTCTACTCCATCTTCTAGACCATCAACCCTGACCGTCCCTAGGTCGAAGCCACATTTTCTGCTTAGTTTCCACCCATACAAAATATTGCATTATCTATATTTAAACATTCTCATTATCCCCTAGAGATCTGTAACTATCCTCACTTTCCTCCATGTTAGCCAACCCCATAATTTAAAACTGATGTCGACATTGTGGATCCTGCGTGAATAGCTCCGGCCCCATCGGCGCTCGTCTCCACCAGTTCTGCAACTTTTGTCCCAAAGCACAACAGAGTACATTACTGCCATTACTATAGTACGAGAATGAGTTGCCGTGTAGAATACAATGATGTGTACAGTCGACTTGCTCCTCAACTTGTGGCTACATTGAGTTAGGTCCGGGAATAACATGTCCAGGATGGTATTGTGTGATACTTGCCGTAGAAACTCATGCGTTACGATGTTTACCAAGCGCTGCTTTCGTTGCCCGCTTGCCCCCTGATGTCTTCTTGGCACTGCGAGTCTGCATTCCTTCCGACATGAGCGCGTCATGGACGAGTCGGGCATCACCCGATATCCTTGGCGCTTTGGAAGGTGTCCCTTTCGTTACTGGTTTGGGAGACGAGCTTGTGGATGTTCTGCGAGGGGAAGGTGTCCCTTTTGTTACTGGTTTGGGGGACGAGCTTGTGGATGTTCTGGGAGGGGCAGTCAATGAACTGTCAGTGGGGCTACCTGGCACAGGCTTCGCCGGCGTACTTGCTTCGTCATCCTGAATATAGTGAGCTTCTACACACAAGAGTCACGAGAGCCTGCTGACCTCGTCCGATGAATCCAGCACAATGATGTCTTTCTCGTCAACGTTCCAATGCCATGGATTACGAGTCTCATCACGTACAGCAGGGCGTGATACCATGCTTGTGCGGATTCCTATACCAAAGGGCGATGGGTTTAAGTTGAGGAGTGGTTTTAACCCATTGACACCGATGTTCCCCTGCGGCGATGGCGGCGGCAATATGAATGAAGGGCGAGACGATCCTGCCAACCTTCCTGCGATGGGATGAGCAATGTGTAGTTCAGAAAGCTGTGGAACGTACCAGAGAAGATAGAAGAGGAAAGAGTCGAGTCTGTAAAGAGAGATCGATTGGAGCTGAGAGGACTTCCAGGCTTAGCAACGAACGTAGACGCCAATTCGCGAGGTGGGGGAGGCGGCGCCCACTTCGGGCGTTGGGATCCTAAAGGTGCAGAGAGATCACTGGCGATGCGGACAGGGGAGGAACTCGTCCACCACAACGGAGGCTGTGGAACCATCATCTTGAAGCTGTCTCCTCCCTTCGGCACCCCTGGTGAGACGAACAAATTACCGCCTCGCGGAGATATATGTAGACCATTAAGAAGAGGTCGATGGCCCGCCAGAGGAGGTGGACTCTGAGAATGCTCCGGCTGTGGGGTTTGCTTCCACGTGAATGATCGTTGCTTTTTACTGGGACGCTCTAGGGTCCAGTCGTTATCACCTTCGGAATTGTCACGTATGTGGCGCCCACGGGACGAGAAGAAACCGTCCATCATTGGGTTCAGATGTTTAGGCCCATTCTTCACTTTTCCTGTTTGCCTCCACGAAGCCCAGGGAGACACCGTGTCAAGGCTGTCAGCAGCTTTGCTGTGAGCTGGACTGAGTGATCGCAATTCATCAGATGTCGGCGGAGAGGACAACTGGGATGGCACAGGCGATATTGGTGATCTGTCATATGACGTGCTGCGATGCTTCTCGGCTGGAGTAATTGACTTGGTCGCCTGAGACGCTCTGCCGGTAGTAGAGGATGGAACCCTGGCGGAACGCGATCGCACCGAATCCATTGGTGAGATACTAGGTGGACGGCCCCGAGGGACCGTTATCTTCAACTTCAGAGATTCGGAAGTTTGAGGAACCGAGAGTAAACGCTTGCGGGGGCGTCCACGCCGACGAGGGCCGGAGTTTCCGTCAATCGGACGAGAAATCACGGGTTCTCGAATCTCTTCTTCAGACTGCTCGCTGTCTTGCTCTTCCTCATTTTCACTTTCCAAAGCGAGATTCTCAGCCTCCAGTTCCATTTCCGAGTGCTGCCCAACTTCGCCACTGTCTGAGCCACTGTCGCTGTCGGTCTCGCTGCGCGGAGCGACACGTCTGGTGTAAGTTCTTTTGCCTCTCTTCACTGACGTGACTTTGCTCAACCGTGACTTCTTTGTCTTCGGAGCCTCTGGTGCGACATCCTTCGCCTTCCGCTTATGCCTCTGCGACGATACGCTTGTTTCACGCGAAGCCGGGGGACTCCCTACTACCTGGCGACCACGAGACCAGACTGGAGGCCCAGGGAGCATGGGGCTCATACGACGTATGCCAGTACGATATGGCCATTCCACCTGAAAAATCTTGAAATGCCTGGCACACCTGAATGCTGCTGTCAGCTGGAAAAGAATATGACAGTAACATGGCACCAACCGCATACACCACTTGCCAATCGGCTGATTCTTTTCACTAAATAGTAGATTACATTTCGTGGCGGCGCAGTTATCTCCAGGAGGGGTTTCTGGTCGCATGAAGACTTCGTCAGGGCCCGCCACTGGCGAGCTTGGGCGGCCTGCAGAATCACCCAAAATGTCGTGGACAGCTTCATCAATATCGAAGTCGGAAGGTACGTCAGAGAGTGCCGATGACAAAGCCGAGCTGAGAGGTGAATAAGGGCATTCCATGTCGTCGTCGTCGTCAATGACGGCGAAACCAATCGGGAGGTCAGGTCTCCTGTCAGGCACGACAGTATCGGAGGCTGGAGTACCTTCTGACGACGTTGGTGGAGGTGTTAGGAGAGCAGTAGACGCCTCAAGATGACGTGTCTTGCCATCAGACAGATTCGAATCAGATGATTCGGGTGTCGCAGAAGCCGTAGCAGGGACTGACAAGCTTGATGAGGGCATTTCTGTTGATCCATTAACGGAGTGGTGTGGCTGAGGCGACCCAGATACCGGAGTAGGTTCGGGTGTTAGGAAAGCCACATTCACCCTTCCAACGGTAACATCTGGAGAAATAAGAGCGAGCTGTGGAACTGCAACTTGAGCTCGTTCGATAGAGGAACCGTCCGGGAGATCGGCAGAGACTTCCCGACTGGACGATGGTCTGTGCTCGACCTCGCGATCCCCTTCGTTTTCATTTGTCAACGCTTTGGTAGTCACGTCGATTGTGATAGTCGCTTGCGTCTCAACGCCTTGGAGTTGCTCGTTGTCCACCTTCCCATCATCTTCTGGATCGGCATCGGCATCAGCGCCCTCATCCTCTTCTTCTTCGGCCTCTTCTTCCTCTTCTTCATCATCGATCGCTGGTGCACGCCAAAACACGGTCCCGCGCCTGGTTTTACGCTCTTCAAACTCTAGCATCTCTACAGGAGCCTCGGAACTGGCACAACGTGGAGCTAATGTGGAGGAGCGACGTTCTCCATTCTCACCAGGAGCAGCTTCTTTAGCGAACAAGCCTGTGCCATTCTGCTCGCAAGTCTCACAAAGACACTCGCAGTTCTCTTCCCCGACTGAGATCGAGCATTAGCTAACGTATGCATGCCACGAGATAGAGACTTACAGTAGTTCTCGCCATAACTGGAAAGAATCTCTTCGCCCCCCTTGATCGGCCTGATAACTTCGAAGGTCAGAGATTTACCATCGCGTTTCATCTTGACATTGGGATTGCAATCATGCTGATGGCAGGATTTGCGTCAAGAGAGGCCACATCATGATCCAATCATTACGTACGTTGACAAATCGGGCAGGTCCAAGGAGGATGAAGAAGCGTTTAGTGTGAACGTTCACCACGATGCTGAAGTCCTGACCGCCTCGGAGCTCCTCGTTTTCCTCGTTGGTAAGGGCAACAAGCACACCGCATAGCCCGCTGATGATCTTGCCCACTTCAAAGTTAGCGGTAGCCTTCACGGCCAGCTCGTTCTTCTCTGTATGCCATGTATACCGTTCTGTTGGTACAAATTCAAAGTGTGATGTCGGGAGATAGACTTGAAGGTAACGATTTGCATGCCTGGTTTCGGAGGTCAAGCTACGTGTATCAGGGATGAGCGATACACCGACGTCAAGAAGGGAGCACGCTCTCTGTCGTCCTTTCCCCGAAGATGACGCTTAACGATCTCCAGCCTATATGAAGTCAGTCAGCGAGATACGACACAAGTTAAGATGCGCACTCGGCGAAATGTCTTAACGCCTCCTTCACCCTGTCCTTTGGTGGGGAGTTCCCGATTTGATCGACGACATACTGACGGTGATAGTGGGCCCAATGAGACGATATTTGATGGCAACTTGATGTGAATGACATACCTTGCGGACAATGCTCAAGATCTCGAGCAGAACGGGCGCGTCGTACGTGTGCCTCCCATGACCCCAAGCGTGATGGACGAGAATTTTACAATTTGGAACGAGATCGGCCAGCAGAGTGTCACTATATCGCTGTGAGCTGGTAAACGCGAAACTGATGAGAAACGCGTGCCTGAGGAAGTCGTCGTCGCGTGCGACATCACGCCGTCCATAAGTCGACTCCTTTGCCTTTACCCTCTTCTTCCCAAACATGAGGTGCAGAGAGGGATGGCGAGGATATGAGGAAAGTGTCGAAGTGATGAGTGTAATGGATGGAATAGAAGAACAACAAAGGGAAAAGGGAAGGTTCAGGACGGTGTTGGAGGTCGTGGTCGACCCCGGAGGGATAATAAAGAAGGGTCTCGGTATATGAGGGCTGACTGCTTCGCGGAACGAGTAAGCCGCGGGTAAAAGGCAAGCGGCGGCTATTACTCTTGCAACTTAGCATCATGAGCGTATTATTACCCCCTTGTTATATACATTTCACCAATAAAGAACAACCAATCATCATTTGCCGCATGTTAGAATCACGCGCGTAAACATCGTGGTAAGAGGGAAGCGGCGTTTGTCAACCCACAAAGAGGGTCTGAGCGCTACCGGGCCTTGCCATCATCTCCTGATGAATACTGGTACTGCTTCATCGTCATCCGGCTACGGCGGCGACATGCAATTCGTGTTTCTGCACTGCCTTATACTCGGCCTTTCATCTTATGCTTAACAATTCGCACTTGCAAGAACACGAGAGTAGAATATGCCATGCCATAGTTCATATGTGTAGAACAGAGGATGAACTACCTTTTACGTCGCGTACGGACGGCATTGATACACAGCAACGCAGCGGCACATGCCAACCACGACCAGCACAACAACAGCGTCACCCTTCATCCGTGCCTCGACTTGCCAGCCCTCAACTTCCTCACGTAAAACTGCATCGTTTGTCAATATATCGTCCCAAATATATGGACGGATAACTCACCTCAAGCTCCTTCCCCTCAAGAATGTAACCATCACAGCGACCACTCTGACCGGGACGGCTGGAGATAGAAGCATACAGACGGCCAGCAGCGAACTGACTGTCCAAAGCAGGATCGATCTTGGCCGCTATAACTCGTGTGAATATTTTACACGCTCCAACGGACGATCGTACGTACTCTCTTTGCGGGACTCGACCACACGCTGGACATGGTTCGAGCGCTTGTGCTCCTCTGACAAAGCCTCGGACTGCTTGCCCTTCTTGGTCACAGGCTGGGCGTACTGGGGAGGAGTGCATTGAATACGCGTGCTGATAACAGTGTATGAACCATACGTACGTGCTGCTCATACCATTGCCTGAATGGTGTTGCGTCCACCTGGATGATAGCACCCTTCACAAGGGTGTTCGTACGGACAAGCTCATTGTTGGATGCGTTGTACACCTGCGTGCCCCATCAAGCATTGTCACTCAGCTAGTCAAAAGCTACTCACCACAGCGATGATACGGGTCTTCCTCACGCAGTGCTCCGAACCCCAAGCAAAGTTTCCAGTATCGAGACGGAGAGCACGGTACTTCAGGTTACCACCACGAACACGAACGGTGTGGACGCGCTTAGGGCCAAGCTTGGTGTTGGCAGGCTGACGGCCGAGCTCGAACTTTCTCTTCTTGCGGTAGGCGGGGCGCTGAGCGCCGGTGGCAGAGCGTTTGTGCCGGGATGACCGAGAAATACCTGTTGAACATCATTGAATTAGCAAAATATTGCCAAACAGCGAGCTCGATGTCACATACCCATACTGTACCTTGGAGAGACTCTGTGTCGACAACGGGAACTGAAGTCAACGGACGACCAAGCTGAGCGCGAGTTTGGACCTGTACAGTTTCATCCCTGTGGCTGACTTTCAATTTGCCTCCGTTAATTTACTGTCAAGGGGGATCTTGGGCGCCTCTGCTTGTCTGGCACTTTGGAGAATGGAGAACCTCAATATAAAACCAAAACCCAGCCTAGTTTTGGCGGTTTTCTTTTCAGTAATTGATTGCTCTCATACGAACAAGGATGTCCTCGCTGTTTGCTTCGGTCGAAAATACTGGATCACTCTGCAGAAGTTGTTATTGCTTTGGTGTACGAGTATGGTGGTGCGTCATCAACGAGTTCTCTGGACCGATATATGCACGATATACAATACGGGCAGTACATCTTGTCTTGGAACGTATGCGCTGGAATCTTGACATGAGCAATATTTATCACGTGATAGATCGGTTGCGTGGGTTCCATCGATTGTCTGCAAGTTCCGAATCCGTCAGTGCTTGGCAGCATGCCTCCGCGACAAACCCCTGTTGATGGACATAGCTCATCGTCGCAGACAAGGTACAGTTCATGGAATAACTGTCAACTTCTCTGCATAGGGGCATACCTCCAACGTTGGAATGCGTAACAGGTCACCCGACCTTCGCTAACCTCAACTTGGAACAAATTCACGATGCCTCCGATGGATCTTGATCGGAAGCCCCTGCCTGTGCCCCGTCCGTAGTGCTCTGCCCTCGTCTTCCGACACCTCCCAAATTATCTCAACTGCCATGACTCTGGGCAAGGGGTTGACAGAGGCATCCCTTCCCTGTCCCTCGTTCCTCGTTCCCCGACGACCATCTGCTGTCCGGGGCCTCTACCTGGGTTCAACCTTTTAACATAATACCCCTCATATAACAAATCTTGATGTCTTCTACACCACTACCAGCCAGCACACCGGCTACGACGGTCGATACATGCTCTGTCGCCGCTGAACATGTTCTGCTGGGAGCATCTACACAGATGAATGCATCCACCTCCACCGCGTCAACAGAGTCGTCCCCTCCCTCTCTATGCCCTCCAAGTCTTTCTCCACTTCCAAGTCGAGTCACGTCCCCCGACCCTCTCAGTACCCCTAAGGATGAAGCGACAGACCCCATGTCCTTGGTATCGCACGGCACGGAGAAGCTCGAATGCGTGTATCGCGGTCGATTCATTGAGCTCATTGAGCAGGACTGGTCATTTCAGGATGAAGATGCTGAAGCCGATGCTCACGACGAATCATTCGAGATAGTCGCTCTGCCACGTGCTTCCATATCATCCGAAGGAACTACATCAACAACCCAATCAGCGGCATACAAAGCGCTCCCTTTCGTGCGGCGCTACAGCTCGAAACCTGCAGGCATCTCACCCTCTTTTTCAACATCACGATTGCTCGCATCTCTTGGTCGAAAGTCGAAAGCGATCTGGAACAACCGGAAGGAGAAGGATTACGACATCTTAGCTTCCCCCATTGCTCCGGAGCGATCGGCGTTCCCTATTATTGAGGAGTCTACCGGCGTTGGATACACTCCTCTCCTGTCGGCTGTCGAAACCATTCCGAACAATGTCGGCGAAGGTCATCACAGGGTCGGTGGATTGCTGAGCAAGCAGCGAGGAGTCAGGGGAACACTACTGAATAAGGAGCATGGGGTACGCTCGCAGCTTTTACCGCGGATTTCGGGCTTATCCTGATCTGAGTTGCAGAACTTCATAGGTCGCCGGCTGAGCTTACGACGCCGACAATCATGAATCAACTAGGTGTGCCTTGAGTGTGGCTATCCCATATACACCACGGATTGCCATCGCTTAGCTTGCGGCTCGTATGACCCGAACATGACCAATGCTAACATTCTAGTGTCCCCTGTATCTAGCACATGTTTTTAATGATCAAGCATCGTCACATTGCCGGAATGCAATGCACAGTTTGTCGGACATTAAGCATGGGCGACTTGGCTACTTCGTACATGGTGATTGTGATAATACAAATGCAGAACTAGTGTCCCAGAATGAATATTATAATAGATGAACAATCCACGGCTCCCTCAGCCATACCACTTGTCACCCAAGCGGGTTCGTGCGGCAGCTCGGGTGGGAATGAGTGGCTCGGTGATGTGCAGAAGGTGAATAGCCTCCTGCCACGTTTCCATATCAAGCTCGAGCACGACTTGACTCTTCTTGAGCTGGTCTGCATAGTCCTCTTCATTCGGGGGTTCGCATGCATCTATTGAAAGCTCAGATCGCGGGATTGACTCAGAGGAGGCTCATAACGCACAGACACAGAACTCGCCCGTTTCCTCATCCTGTTCAAGAGCAACCTTGCCATCGCGGATGCTGAAGGAAAGATAGAAGACATTTTCGACGGACTGTGCAAATGAATGCGGATTAATCACGAGTCGAAAGATATTCGTGCTTCCTGTCTGTGCGTGTAGCACTTCGAATACGTCCTGGACATTCCTGGTCGTCTCATTCTCGGAACGTTCGATGTCAGCTTCTGTCAGCTCAATTGGCCGCGTTTCGTCTTCTTTGTTCCGTTCTATGCGTACTCGTTTTTGAACCGCGCGCTTCTTTTGCTCCACAGACAGAGGTCCCAACCTAAATCCGGGGCCTCAGAAAAGAACAGATCTATTCGCAGAGACAGACACGAACATGAAGTCCATTCCTATCACTCTGCGCGTACGCTTCACAGCTCTCCAACCAGCAATCTCCCAGTCTAGAGGACCTTGCTCATCTTCGTCTTCGTCTTCTTCAGCTTCTTCACCTGCTCGTCCTTTCATGAGTGTCACGAGCTTGTTGATGAACTCGTCTGTGTCAAAAGCGTTCGCGTCATGACGCATGGCTTTCGCTTTTTGAGCTGCGATGTCGGATGTCAGGAGAAGATTATGAGAGTCGAGAATAGCTTCAGACGGATTCTTCACTAGAAAAGAGTCAGCACATAAAATCAATAGACTTTTACACGGCGACGTACCATGGGCAAATAACGAATCTCCTCTGCGAACGCGTTCGTGTAGGGCATCTACGGTTATTTGTGCGATATTTGCGCGTTCCTCTGCAACACAATTTGAAATAAGCACCTCATCAAGTGCATAAATAACACACGTTCGGCATCCTCAATCTCTTTCCTGTAGTCTTTCCGCACCTTGCGCTTCTCCTCTTTATCTTGATCTGGGTCGTAGGCGAACCCGTTGTCACCCGTGATCATAGCCAGCTCCGACTTGACCTGAAGCGGAGTTTGAGAGTCCCCCTGTGACATATCGCTGCTGTGGTGCGATTACGTTCTATTTTCCTTGTTCGAGTTTGACCTCGCAGGCATCGCACGAAAAGAAGTGCAAAAGTGAGCGGCGAAAATAATGGAGGACGGCAAGGGTTGGAATGATGGGCGCGCTCGTGACGCGCCTCACAGCAGGGCGCGTCCCTTATCCCTTCCTGCTCCTCATTTTGCTTCCTCGACTCTCTCTCTCTCTGCGGTACGCCTGAAAGTGACTTTATTGCTTTGTTTCAACGTTATCTTCTAACCTCCTGTTCTTTTGTTCCGTTCTGAACGGGAATGCAACTGTCAATCCTAAACCCGATCCCAATGCGGCACAGTCTCGAGGTAAGTTATCCGCAATTGGAATATTCCAGTTCTGTCTGACTGTGCCACGCGCATGATGCTTCTTTAGTACGCCAAATCTAGCAGAGCCAAATGTCATGGTAAAGTGCCTTCCTTTTGTTGTCTTCGCTTGCTAATTTTTTGATAGGTTCTTTTCCCACTTGCACTGGTCTTCCAATCGCCAGAGGAGAGCTTCGGTACGGTGCATATGTTCACAATCCCTTCGGAAATCGATATAGTGATTCCGAGATGGTGCAATGGTATCATTGGTGGGATTCTAGATATTCGTGGGCGTCCCGTCTCTAATTTTGAGAAGGGGTTGTCTTCCGAAAACGATTCTGGACAAAGTCGCAAATGCTGGGGTCGTCAATGTTGAAGGCTTTGGCACGCTGAAGTACAGTCCGCTGACAAATATTCATTCTACATATCTGAGCATGTATACAGAACAGAAGATCAACAAAGGGTTCGGACTGCCCTGGCCAATAGGAAGATTGACCCTGCCGATTATCCATCAAATACCGCTTCTCTTGTGCCGGCCGCACCCAGCCAAGGAGCTGGTCCTTCTTCTAGTCAGACAGCTGCTTCCGCAAGTACAACTAAATCGAGAAAGAGGAAGGCGGAGGACCTGGATCTTCTATCTTCGCAACCTTCATCGTCTCAGTCTGGCGGCATGTCAACCATGCCCTCCCAAGCAACCGAATTAAGACGCGATGGAGAAGTTGAAGATAACAACGAGGACGCTGTGAGTCGGCACCATATTTCCAGTCTACCCATAGTTACGTTTTCTAAACTTTTTTTCTAGGACGAAGTTTACATTGCTATGAACTCTCAAGTCGTTGGCATACAGTACTACCACGGCTTGGTGGGTAGCGGGGAGCAGGGTGAGCTATTTCCATCTTGGTGCCGCCCAGCCTAACCGACTCGAACTTGTGCAGTTCTTCTCGTCAGAGAGCCCAATAACAAATACGACGCGTAGGCAAAGATATCCGTAGCAAATCTATTTCTGAAACCTACCCAGGAATGCCATCCAAGTTCTCAATATCCAGCGTATACAAGTAGGACACATTCCTAGAAACGGTTAGAGTGCGTCCTGTTACTTACTGACCCAGACTGAGCCCCTTCTTTCAGTTGCTTCAAGGTTGGCTCCTGTGATGGATCAGGGGCTGGTGACAGTGGAAGGGACAATGGTACAAGGCAACCGTATGTGTACTGAGTATGTGTTTTGGCAAATTTAAGCTCATCCATTGATTAGTATCTGGAGCTCACGCATACACTTTGTCCTTGTCCGTCTGTTATCTACCGTGCCCTGTTGAAATTCTCATCTCTATCTAAAGGAAATTACAGATATGTGGGCCAGCTGATCCAGTGAGGCGATCGCAGATAGAGCCTTACTTGGTTTGGGCTACTCCTGGCCAGCGGGGATTCGATCAAGCTCGAACAGGGAGTGCGACCCCCTCACAACTCTTGCCATCCAGTACACAAGCACAACGTGATGCATTGAGCTTGAGTCAGGACCAGGCAGAGGACTTGCAGCGAATACTTGAGGGATTTAAGAAGGCAAATGACGAGGGACGGAGAGATTCCCTTTTGGTAAGATCGTGTCATTCTCCAGTTCTGCATCCACCAACTTTGGTGCACAGGACTCTCTATGTGCTGAGCAAGATATCTTGAAAGCACCCGAACACCGCAATCCACCCAGTAAAGCATCTGGAGATCTGTTTACCGATCTTCTCAAGCATCAGGTGAGAGGCAAACCTCTTCTGCTGATAATGATTCTTATCTGGGTCGCCAGTCCCAAGCACTTCAATGGTGCATCGACAGAGAACATCCTGAGCAACATCTGGCGAAGAAGGAAACCGACCCTCCTGTACAGTTCTGGCAGCTGAAGAAGACTGGAAAGCAGGTACGTCGTCGTCATGTCCGTGCTGCACCCATTACTAAGCGAACCATGTAAGACATATTGGTTCAATCGTAGGCTTCGCAACCAGATCATACGCGAGCTTTTTCATCTCACATGACTGTCAGTGGCCACTCAAACGCCGCAAGCAGAAAAGCCACTCCTGGGCAAAGGTGGAATCGTTGCTGATGCTATGGGATTGGGCGAGTACCGACTAATCCTGACAACTGAGCGAAAATCTGAATCTTCATTCAGGGAAGACTTTGACGATGCTTTCACTTATTCTGGCCACAAAGGACGAAGCGATCTCAGGATTCTCCAACACCACACTCATTGGTGGGTTCGCATTATTGCCTGTGAGCGCACGTGTGGTCAGGACCTGATTTTTACTATGCATCTAGTGGTACCTCTATCCGTGCTCTCAAATTGGGAAGAACAGATTGCCGAGCACATCACACGAGGTAAACTGTCCATGCACATATATCACGGTGGAGGCCGAGATGTGTCCGAAACTCAGCTGAAAAAGTTCGACATCGTGATCACCACTTATCAAACTGTTGTGTCCGAGATGGACAAGACCAATGGCGGCACGGGACCATCAAGAAAAAAACGAAACGCCAAACACCACTTTTTGATATCCAGTGGAAGGTGCAGTTGTCTTGGTACCGCCTAGCATGGCACTGACCTGCATGTGTCAGAGAATCATCCTTGATGAGGGACACACGGTCCGAAATCCCCGTGCACTGATGTCACAAGCAATCTGCAGTCTGGAAGCTGACCGACGTTGGGTCAGTCTGTCACTTTTTCATCGCGGTTTAATTATTGATGAGCGCGACAGATTGTGACTGGTACACCCATCGTGAGTGTTTATTATGGAAACAGCGGACTTCATTGACTGCAGATGGAGATCAACTCTCCCACGGTGAATGCGTCCCTCGTGCCATCTTGAACACTGCTTACATCTTTGCAGGATCTCGGGAGTTTGCTTGCATTCTTGCGTATATGTCGTCCGTTGGATCAAGCAGATTTCTTCAAACGCCTTCTCGTTCGCCCTTTTGCACAGGGCTCACCGACAGCAGTCGATCTCTTGAAAGCCCTCATGAACTCTATCTGCATTCGGAGAACCAAAGAGGTCTGTTGAAAATATGCCAAAGATATATCTCTTTTCTCAATTTTCATAGATGCAAGACGAGAATGGAAAGCCGTTGGTTCCAGTGCCCCCCGTAGAAATGATTGTTGTTCGTGTCACCCTGGACGATGAAACCCGCAAGGTATATGATGCAATAGAAGCGGAATCACGCCGCCGCTTTGATGAGTCCTTGGCCATGAATTCAGGAGATGCCGTCGCTGTACGCTCCGCTTGGATATCTTCGTTCCCGCTGTTGACTTTTCTGTTTCAATCAGGCCCCTGCCAGCGTTCTCAGCATGCTTACTCGACTACGTCAACTGGCGCTGCATCCGGCTTTGGTACCACCTAATTATCTTGAGGTAGTGTGTATCTATTTAGGATGAACGTTGTCCCGATATCTCTTATAGGAACTTCGCTCTTCACGCTCTGCGCCGACCAACAAGCCGACCAAGGAACTGGAGGCCGGGGAGATAGATCGCTTGCAAGTCTGTTTAGCGAGAGCCGTTGAAGATAGTGAAGAGTGTCCCATGTGAGTTTACACAGATTTGAGGGTCAAGTAGAACTCATCAGTTACCACAGCTGTTATGATGATCTCAAAGAGCCCAGAATATTACCGTGCGGGCATTTCTTTTGCCTGGAGTGCATCAAAACAGTAAGTGATTTCGTTTAACTATTCTATTTCACCCCTGACCAAATCATATTCCAGACAATCACACGATCACTGTCTGCTTCCTGTCCAATGGTAGGGTGTAATATGCCTTGATCTACAATGCTCATCACCCTCTCAGGACCGAGGCGATATATCCCTTGGAGATCTCATTGAACCAAAGCCTGCCGCAACTGAAGGGATTGACCTTTCCGCCTTAGCAGACGGTTCTGAGTCACAACCGTCGGTGAAGACAGCGCAGCTCGTTCAACTTCTGAAACTCCTCCCGTCAGGAGAGAAAAGCTTAGTATTCTCTCAGTTCACTTCCTACCTTGACAAGGTATGTATTTGGTGTGCTCAGGCGATCACTGATTTAAACTATGTAGATCGGGGCTGCGTTGGAGGAAGAAGAGTATGTGAAATCTCATATTTCAAGGTTTGCTTTCTGACATAGATTTCAGTATACCATATGTCCGTTTCGATGGATCCATGTCAGCCAAGAAAAGGAAAGAAGTTCTGGCTAACTTCACACAACCGGCTGCCTCCAACGACGACTCCAGTGAAACTGAGTATGAGGACGATACTCCGGCTAAACCGAACAAGGGCAAGGGCATCTTCGGCAGCAGAGTCGCACAACGACCTCTTGTGATGCTCATATCTCTGAAAGCGGGAGCTCTCGGTTTGAACCTGACAGTTGCAAATAACGTGTTCTTGGTGAGTTGATCCTGCGACACTATGTAGGAAGGGTAGATACTGATGTTATCACAGATGGATCCGTGAGTAATCCGTTTACCAATAGCTTGGGCGTGCTCTGAATGTCCTCATATTACGTAGCTGGTGGCAGGTATGCGACTATGGCATCAGCTTTGACGGTGTACTTACCGGCCGTCAAAGGAATCCATCGAGTCCCAGGCTATTGATCGGGTGAATCGTATAGGTCAAAAGCGAAAAGTCACTGTGTATCAACGTGAGTTCGACGTGCAACTAGCGCGTCTGCATACTGAAGACACATATCGACAGTTATTGCGGATGATACGGTGGAAAGCAAAGTCCTCGAGATTCAAGGGAGGAAGACAGAGTTCATCAAACAGGTACGTATCTTTCAAGAGCATTCTCACCGTATCCGACGAGAGATAGGCATTTTCTGGGATGAAAGCGCGTGAGAACAGCCGAACAAGGAAAGAAACTCGCTTGAATGAGTTGATTGAGCTATTCGGCGGGCAACCCCAGCGTCGGAAGTGAGGGGATCATGTACATCCACCAATACAGTAATTGCACTCCTTTTAATGACCCACTGACCCCACGTCGTCATATGAAGAACAGATCACAACGTAATGTCATGAAATAAATGCATTTCCAATATGCATTCGAAGTAAATGTAGACACATGACATGTGCGCACACAGTGCATGGACAAAAATCGCAAGAATGAAATGAACACAGTATTAGCGAGAACATAGGCTGTGGTAAGTTGTAGTATACGACCGAAGTCACTACTTTTGGATAACTTGTGACCCATCAAGACATCTCAACCATCTTGATCTCGAAGATAAGAGTCGAGTTGGCCGGGATGCCCTCAGTCCCCTTGCTGCCATAGGCCTTGGACGGAGGAATGATAAGCTTGCGCTCGCCCCCAACAGCCATGCCGGCAACACCCTCATCCCAGCCCTTGATCACCTGTCCCTTTCCGAGGACAAATTTGAACTACCGGGGCAGATTAGCAGAAGGATTCCACTACATGCTTGCCATATGACTCACTAGGGGTCCTTTCACGTTCGAGTCAAAGACCTTGTTGTTGCTCTGGAGCTTGCCGATATAGCGCATACCGACCTTCTTGCCGGCCTTTGCGTGTGGCCCGGTACCCAGCTTCATGTCCTGGATCTTGACGCCACCAGGGAGCTCGATGATTTTCTTCAGAGTGCTCTCCTTGCCCTCAGCGGCGGCGGCTTTTCCGTTCGCCTTAGGCTCAGGCTCAGGAGCAGCCTTGGCCTCGCCATCAGCGCCCTTCTGCTTCTTGTTCAGACGCTTCTTCTCGGCCTTGCTCAGCTTCTTCTCGCCTTCAGCTGGCTTTGCGGGGGATAACTCCTCTTCCTCACGTGCACGCTTCTTAGACGGCTTCTCTGCGGAGGCAGTGATCTCCTCGATCTTCCTGTCACGGGAGTCAGCACGGTTCCTAGCATTTCCTGGAGATGCTTACGGCTCGCCCTCCATCTCTTCGTCTTCATCCTCGTCCATCTCGCCATTCAGCACAGCATCCATCTCATCCTCGTCCAGTTCTACATCGGAGGGAACGTCATTCAAATCAAAATCGTCTTCCAGGTCATCGATGTGGTCATTATGCGGCATCTCCTGTTCGATGTAGTTGCCAGACAGGTAGACAGTGTTCTCTCCAGTGACCTCAAGCATGACAGGCTCCTCAGATGTCGTCAAGACCAAGTTTACATTCTGGAACTCGATCTACGGACAGTGGTGAGTGCTCGTCGAGAGACCATGAAAGAGAAGGTACTTTGCTAGGTACAAGGGAGCAAACGATGGTCTCCCGGAGCTCCCCAATGTCTTCATCGTCATCATCATCATCATCTTCGTCCTTTTTGTCAGCTTCAGCAGCCTTCTTAGCGGCTGCTTTAGCCTTAGCTTTGCCTTCAGCAGCTTCAGCTTCTTCTTTAACGTCTTCGTCTTCGTCGTCGTCATCCTCATCGCCTTCTGGAAATGTCATAGTATAAACTTTGAGGACGCTACGCTTGTCGCCCTTGACCTCTTCGCCAAAAGTGACGCCAGTGAGATGAATGTCGTACTCAGACACCAGATCGTACTTCTTGCCAGGCTCAAGAGTGAGGCCCCTGGAAGATGTAAGCTTTGAAAAGGGCTTTGAATCTAAAGGTATTTACCAAACGCCGAGAGCAACCATTATGGAAGAAAAAGAGACGGGTTGAGAATGAGAAAGAGAAGTTGAAGACGGTGGTACAAGATCAAGTTGTTGAACGACGCGTCCAAATTTTGTAGAGCGCTTGAACGGAAGCAATTGAGAAACCCACGCGTCGGATTGGTCCCGTGCACTTGGGAAGCATCGCATGTGCAAGAGAGAGGAGCAACTACGATTCACCATTAAACGTACTGGAAATTATCAATGGTGCGTTGAACATAACACAATGACTATCTCTATCTGAATGCAATCAGGCGAACACACTCCGACCATACTTGGCAGCCGTAAGGTCCTCCCTGACGGCGGCGATGACGCTTGAGAACTTCGCATCCCAGGTCAGTACTGCGGCTACTGCCCCGCATTCAGCTTTGACCAGGTTCTTCAGGTCGTAGAACGACACAACAAGCCGGAAGTAGAGGCTGCGTACGACCAATTTGGACTCCGTGAATTTCCGACTTACCATTTCCCAGATCCTCCCCCGAAGTCCTCCTGAACCCCCTTGTGATCTCCCGTAACGAGAACGAGCGAGTCCTGATCGAGCCGTCTATCAACTCGATCCGCCTAAGCATCAAGATCAAGCAAGCAGACGACATAGAGCGGATATTATGTCATAAGTTCACTCGGTTCATGACTGGTAGGGCGGAGAGCTTCGTCGTCCTCCGACGAAAGCCAGTCAAGGTGAGCCACCTCCTAGACGAGCACAAAACCGCCCTGACGACATATTAGGGTTACGACATCTCGTTCTTGATAACCAATTTCCACACTGAGTCAATGTTGAAGCACAAGCTGGTGGATTTCATTATACAGTTCATGGAGGATGTCGATAGGGAGATCAGCGAGATGAAGCTCAGTCTGAATGCGAGGGCACGCATAGTCGCCGAATCGTACCTGATTACCGTGAGTTGCTCCTCTCCATCCAGGCATGGTAATCCAGTTAACTCTCTCACCAGTTCGGTTGATATCATATACCTTGTTGTGCTATGCACAGGCAGCATGTATCAGTAGCATGGATGGCGAATGCATCAGAATTAACTCTTATTGAATCTTAGGCCCAATCGATCGTCGGTAATTCTTGCGAAGCACCTGGATTATTACTACAATTGAACTAGGCAACTAAGGATTTCCTCTGTAGCACGTCACGAGAAACCAGGAGACACCGAAATGGTCAGAAAGGAATTGATGGTAATGTGGTTTTCTGCAGGATAATGATACGAACTACCCTCCAGTCGGAATCCATCGTCATGTGTTCCGATCATGATAAAACCGAACAACCAGAACGGAGATGTTGTCGGTAGAGAAGTTATCGAGCGCATGCTGCTTCAGGATCTCACTGGCCTTTTGTGGATCCTGCACATGCCGGACAAGTTCAACAGCCGCCTGGTCCTCGACCACATCCCATAGCTTCATGATCGCATGAGGATTGCAACTATGGACCGGAAAACGAAACACGTACCCCATCACAAGCGATTATTATGAATTCATCCTCCTCACCCAATTCTGTTTCCGTGGTATATGGCGATCCCACCACGAACTCCTTCATTGCGGAATCGCCCAAAGACCGAGTGACAGCAAGGACGCCTTGAGAATATGTCAGTCCTTTTCTTCTGTGAAAACAGCACCCTTACCGTTAACGCGGTTGTTCATCACGAATCCTCCTGCATCCGTAATGCGCTTCGCTTCCATGTGGTCACTTCCCTTATGATCATACGTCAACCTGATCGCTTTCCCATCCCTGCACAACACTGCGCGGGCATCTCCAGCATTGGCAGTATATAACACTTTCCTAGTCCGCCTCGCACTTCCGAGCTCGACCGTCTCTTGCACATCTGGTCCATGACGCGCTTTATCGGCAAGCTTCGTGACGGCATCATCGACTGCACCCCCCGCGAGTGCTTCCACAGCTTTGTGTGAGAGAGCCTGACCGCCCTTCTTGGCATCTTCCAACCGCAAGAAGGTCGTTACAGCAGTGCAACCAGAATGCGTCTTGCCAGATTCCGCTATCCGAGACAGTTCTCTATCCACATTTTGGAAAGTAAGGTTCAGCAAGTCGGGTATCGGGGTATCAGGGTGTTTGGCGAGAGAATCGAGCAGTACCTCGTGGAAGTGTGCTCCACACCATTCAGCGGCATGCTTGCCAGCATGACCATCAAAAATGGCGAAATATCCTTGGCCTCGCACCCCTGCAAAGTCGACTACGAAGGAGTGCGCATCCTCCATCGTCCGTCGTTGCCCGCGATCTTCACTGACACCAACGAGAAAGGGATGCCCTGCTTCCGACATTGCTGGGAGTTGATTCAGCATCTAGATGAGGATGAGCGCTTATTTGAACAGAAGCTGGAGACGTCATACCCCATGGGTAAAGGGTCCGTCGGCTATAGTGATACTCTTTGACCGCGCATTGGTACTCTCATCGAGAAAGTGAGGCTTCTGGTGCTCTCTTTGTTCGGACATACTGTTGATTTCGTCGATATTGAGTTTACACGGTCTGAAGCAGAGGTAAACCAGGTGCATATATGCGCTTCATAAGCTCTCACCTGAACTTCTGAGAATCCTTCTTACTGATATTGTCGCGAGACGGGTGTCTATCGTGTTTCTTGTGGTGAGTTACGCGAGTGGCTGATGGAGGGGAGCGGCGCAGTCTTTCGTCAGGGAGGATGTGCATTTGGCGAGAGTTTGGGAGCAAGACGCACAAGTAGAGCCAGAGGTGATGTGACGGTCTCCGTCAGTATGTTTGTGGTGCTCGTCGTGCGAGCGGTGGTAGTGGTGCTTATGAGAAGAGGATTCGGTGTCACGCGATGTCATATGACTATGACCGCGGGGACGAGTGACGAGGACGAGTGAGACACGACAGCAAGACCAGGGAGAGCGAGACAAGGCCAAGCAGTGAGTAGCTCCTAGACGACGCTGGGGTTCTTGTAGGACTGCGTCGTCGTCGGATTTGAATAGCAAGCACAGGTAAAGGATTGCCGGGAATGGAGGAGGAGAAGGTCGGAAAGGCCGAGGAGAGCGCCCGCGGTGTACTCCCGGGGCTAATAGGCGATGAGCGCATCGCCTCCCGTAACCTCTGCTCCCGTGACTTTGCAACACTCCAAAGGGTGGCGCTCACCCACAAATGAATTACGTCATCCACCCCTTCGTTACCAGAAACCGAGACTATAGCCTAAACGGATAATTATTCCTCAACCTCATGTTCCCTTCATTTGCTTACCGGAATTAGCCATGTTAACCCCACTTCTTACCCGTCAACCGGACATCCGGAGCTCAGGGACAGGGTCGAGAAGTAGCCTATACCGGCGACGATGACAAAAAGAAGGAAATGCATCCGGCATTTGCCAGCAACGCAGAACCAGCCAGCAGAATTCATCTCAGGGAAACAGCTGAAAAGCAAACGACCATGTTCTCTTTTGCTTACCACCATCTGCTGCACGGCAGTGCCCCGTGACGGCCGCGGAATACCGTGGACGTGCAATCGATCCCGGATGATTGGATAGCCTGTGACTTCGGAAGAAGATCATCAAATATGACAATGGCTATCTTGCTGATTGTACAATGGCGTCCTTCTATAACCGCAAACGATTTCGGATGATTCCAATGATTGTGACCTCCCCAGAAGGACAGCAAGGTTAACAATGGGTATTTCGCTGATTCTTGTGGATTTCCGGCTAGGACTTGTGGCACTTGGGCGTCTCCTGGGAGATCTAACGTGATCGATGGCGGCAACCTTCTTTCGGATTTCGTGGCAGCAATGTTTAATATTAGGGCAGTGTCAACCCTGGAGGTCATTCTTCTTGTTTTGGAGAATTTACACATGTGTTTTACACGTGGCGCGCACGCGATCCCCGCGTATCCTGACAAGCGCCCCTCGGCTCTGTCTAGGCCGCCGAGCTTCTCCGCGGCTGGACGCGAGAAGAAGAGAGCCGACCAAAACGTGGTAATGTCATCGTCACTGTTTTTCCTTATTTAGGTTTTCCTCAACATGTGCGAGCGGCAACCAGGTGTGCACCACCCGTCTCTCCCAATGCTTCATAAGACTCATCATAGGCCTGCACAGGAATCTCCCAAGAAGTGGGGTAGCCTCTGCGCCTTAGCCCTCGAATATCAATGAATCCCGGTGACCTGCACCTCCCTCCCTCCCTCCCTCGATACCCACGAGGATGCTCATGTCGCTGTGCCTTACGAATAATACCTGTTCTCAAGATGCTGCGCTAACTTCCAGAGCAGTGGAGCCTATCAATGGCACGTCTGAGGTGCTATGCTCCCGCTATGCCAAACACGCCGTTTGCGCGGTCGTCTCAGGGTAAAGCACAAGGTAAGGGTTGCATCACACGCACTGGCCACAAATTGACCATTTGTCTCACACATGCAGTGTGTAGCGCAGGAAAACTACCTTGTCACCCCGGCCCTGTGCTCTCTTCTTGAAGGGCGTCCGGAACACGCACCCGGAGAACGCCTCTCCACCGATAGGATCGCATATCGAAAGCTATACGCCACCTGGTCGTTGTCGTCCCTGCGTCATCTGGTGCCGTCCATAATCGACACTGGATATACAACAGCGATACACACGCTAAACATACCCGGACTTGCCATAATCAACTGACTGCAATTTCTAGTCGAAAAAGCAGTGAATTGTCCTGAAAGGGACACGAGCTTACCGAACGGCGGGGATGATCACACGATGGCATATTTGGGGTCCCCGTTCTATTCAAATCCTATAGTGGCATCCGAAAATTTTGGTCGAACGTTTGAAGAGCCTGGTTCTCGTGAGTCACCAAGCTCTCGTACGAGTGGGTGAAGCTAGTCACCCATTTCGGCGCTTACCATGTGCATTCCTGTCACTATAGCCATGAGGCCAATTCCGTACTTTGATTCTTCCGTTTCAAGAGAGCCTTCCGCTAAAAAATCATTGCCTTGCCGTAAAAGTGCAGTATTCTCTCACCTATGTTTACGATGGTGAAAATCAGTGAATTACTATACGAGGCATCCATGCAGAATTAATTTATATACTGTAACATAACTAATCAAAAAACAAAACAAAGCTTGCGAATTAATTGTCGGAACATGCTTTATAACACGAAGAGACCGGACCCTAGCGCATCTTGAACTGCTACCACCGCCTTCCTTAATTGGAAGGTCTTTGGTTGCTTAGGGCAGGCCTTGGGGTCATTTCAGGGATTTGCGCCCGAGGGGGTCATCGGAGGAATTACCTCGTTCAATTCTTCTCGGGAAATTTGGCATGCTCCTTGTTGCCCCCTTGATACAGAGCTGGTTCAGGGGTCCTACCTCTAATGGGTGACTCGTAGATCATGAACAAAGAGCAAGAAACCTCCAAATTGAATTCCAAGAGGGGGAAAGGATCCTTTTTCCTGCTCGCAGAAAATCATTACACGTTTTCTTATTATGAAGCTGTAAATAGTGAAAGGATATTGTTGGGACCCCTGAATTGCCCCGGTCTTCTAGTGTCACTGCCACAAGGACAGCAGACCCTGAGTGCGGTAGTCTTGCTGCTAGTCTCCTGGCTCTGAGAGGATGTCCCGAGTTCGACATTTCCATTAACGGCCAGTATGTTGGCCGCTTAGTCTTCAGGCTCAGGGAAGACGTGGTTCCGAGGACTGTCCAGAACTTCATGCAACTTTGCACGGCCCCAGCGGGAACTGGTTACAGGGGAACAGCCTTCCACACTGTGGAAAGTGATGTAAGTGCCCATTTGTTTTCAGAATTGGCTAATTTCATATGATCGTGGGTAACTCGAGGAGGCCAGACAAATTCTAGTGGTGGTCGAAGCATATGGGGGGGCCACTTCCCGGACGAGAATCACCAGTTGCTTTTTACTGGTCGAGGGAATGTGAGTGGCCGCACTCTTTGCGCTTACTTTTTACAGTAAACGCTTGCTTCTGGTACCAATGGCTCACCCGTTTGCTAGCTTGCCATGAATAGCACGAGCCCCAATCAAAATGGCAGTCAGGTGAGATTTCCGTACGAAACCCCCAATCCTTGGCTGAATGTTCACACCAGTTCTTCATCACACTATGTAGGGATCCCATCCGGCTGGCGCATATCAATCGTAGACACGTCGTCTTTGGATCTGTCGTATCTGGCTGGCCGGTGTTGGATACCATCGAGGCCTGCGGATCCGCTACTGGAGGACCGAACCGGGCAATCGTTATAACAAACTGCGGAGTTTTGTAAAAGATGGATGGCGCATGCGAGGCTGCCTTTCTCCTCGGTACCTCCCGTGCTAAAAAAAATCGTTCTGGTTTCACTGGAAGCACACCTGGTTTCAACAAGTGTTGCTAGCGGAATCAACGTTCACGAAGAATTAGAGTAATTGTAGTTCTGTCTCTCAGAAGGCTTTTTTTAATCCCATGCCTGTCATCACGCCTCACTCGATTTCTTAATAATTTATTCTTGCCCCAAGTCCGGGCCTTTGCACAGAAGCGTTCCCCCGCAGCTCTTCTGGCGGAGATTCGAATGACATTGTTTCTCCGCCGTTTATTCGGTTCCGGTGCAGAGCCTCAACGTTGGACAATAATTACGCCGCAAGTGCACCGCCCGTATCCGCACCTCATACACATACCCGAATCGCTGACGTCCGCACATGCTTAGGCCTTGTTTGTCTCTTGCCACTCTCTATCAGCTTGTATCTTGTCGACCTTCATCTTACTGCAACTGGGTATAAAGATTCAGTCGATAACGGCACGAGAAAGAAGCCAAACGCCGTACGACGCCCTCGGGGATCAGAACATGCCATCAGGAGAACCACGGTGAGCGCAGTTACTCCGACCATCGACAGGATATGCCTGAATGCATTGCACAGGAGAGCATTACCGACGATGGAAAGCGTTAAGCATGTACTCAAGGTCGATCACAATCACAGTCTTCTGTGTTCAATGGCTGACGCTCTGTGACAGCTCATGTCCGTTCTCCCACCGCCATTACTCCCTCGAATCTTCCCACACCCTCCCAAGACCAAAGTGAACGGCATTCAGTCTTCATATATTTCGAACAACCAACCCCCACCGTCAGCGTCTGAGAAACCCCCAGAATCAGGCAAGGAAATCATCGTCACCCCATCCGCGCAGAAGCGAAAGCGGCAGGACGAGGAGCCGCTTGCACTACCTGCCGTCATCAGATCGGAGAAAGAAGATTCGCCTCCAATGAAAAAGCTACGTACCAATGGTGCGGGCTTTGATGTCTCTCCGATACCGGCTGCGCGTATTGCTGGTGTGACGCTTGCGAGCCCTTCGGTGCCACCGTTGACACCGGATGCGAGTGGGAAGCATACGGGAGATGCGGGGTTCGATGCACCAAAGAGGAGACCAAAGGCGCAGTTGGTGAACATGAGGAATGCGCTCGTGAAGCATATCAGGCAGTGAGCACGTACTTTCTTAATCACGTTGTCCCCACTGACAGCGTTCTAGGAACAAGAAGTCTGCCGATCACCTCTGGGAAGACGGTGTGTTCCTCGAAACCGCCATACCCGCGGACAGCCCGCAAAACGACCCTCATCTATCCTCGGTCATCCAGAAAACGGACAGTCTGCTGTTCGGGCTTGTCGCCCTCTGGTGTGAAGACGAGCACATGTCGGTAGAGAACGAGATCTGGCGGAGCTACAGTGAGCCGTTCACAGAATATGCCGAATGGAAGCGTGCTCGAGAGACAGAACCATACCTCCCCTGTGCGCGCTGGCTGGGTGCTGTCCGGTGGACAAGATACGTCCAGCGCGTGCAGGAGGTGCTCCGTTCTTGGGAACCCTACACATCTTCCGCATCCCCGACCAAGTCAGCAGCAGCCAGCATCCTCCCCAGCGCTATCGCGCTCACCCACTGGATCCTAGCGATCGCTCATCTGTGGTGTGCCGAAGCCCACGTGCGGCACTCAGCGATGGCCTCCCGCACCGCGTACAAAGATGAGAAGCTCGGCGAGCTCAGACCGGGGGAATACGACTACCTGCAAGACCGGACTTCACGAGCCCTCCTCCCTATGCCTACGAGCGTGCCTAGGAGCGTCGTAGCAGCGAGGTACCACAGCGACAGGGTGACGAGCTACCTTGACCGCGCACGCAGCGTGCTCCTGGCCCCAGGCTTCCTGGCAAGCGAATTCCCCAAGACGTGGGAGAACTGCACGCGTCTGCCCGAAAGTTCCAAGCCACCTCTGCCTCAGTCCCAGCCTCAACCAGCAGCATTCGACCCCTGGTCCCCCGACCCGCTGTCGACGTACCGTGTCCCCTCGCAAGCTGCTGCGGACGCGTTCTCCTTCCAGTGGCCTCTGGACCTGCGTTGCCCAGCTACGCATTTTGCCGCTTTTGGAAGGAGCTTGCTGTATGAGTTTGGAGGACGGTGTTGGCCGATGTGCGAGTTGGGGAATAGGCCGTTCGGGCTTGGAGTGTGCTTTACCCGGCCGAAAGGGGAAAAAGACAGTGGGCTGCCGGTGCACTCACTTTGGCGAGCATAGGATCGGACAATGGAGCGGATGGGGTTTTTATTTATGGTGGAAAATGTATCATTAGCCTGTGCGATAGCTGTACTTTACAAAATAGTGCAATCTTACTATCCTCCTTCTACCATCCGGGTATACGTACTAGCGGGGATCGAGCCAGCGGTCGAGGAACGGCAGTGGGATTTGGGAGAACGCATACGCCGCGAGGCCAATGACTGCGTGTCGTCAGTACATACTCAACTTCAAACAAGTGAAGACTCACCAAATCCGGAGAACTTCTCCTCAGGAGTGTGGAAGTACACACTCGTAATTAGGACCATCCATCCCCACAACACCAGCAAAGCGCTCACGAGCACCGTCGCCCACAGATGTGTCCAAGTCGGCTTGACCCCCCTCGTGCGAGCGAACCATATCAGTCCCCAGCTGAGAGCGACCTCGTCCACAAGGAAAAGGACAGCAAGTGTGAGGAGGAAGATGTGCCCGGATACATCGTGTCCCTTTCTTAGCCTAGGTGTGAGGCGGAAGCCGGCGGGAGGTGCGGGGATGTCGGGTTGGGCGAAGAGTTCCGGATGGGTGGAGGGCGAGAGCGGGGTGCGGGTGTAACATAGTGTGTATGGAACTCGGAGGAGGTAGGGTGCTGAGGGTGGGGAGAGGGAGGTGCCGGTGCTGGCCGGCGGGCTGGGCACGGGGAGGACACATTCCCCCCCTGAGAGGATCCGCAGACGGTCCATCATCGCCGGACCGAAGAACCATGCTGTAAACGCCAGGAATGCGAGTGTGGCAAGCGTGTACCTGACCCAGCTCGCTGGCCGTCTTACGCCCTTCGGAGCTGCCAGCCAGTGCAGGACGAAGACGAAAGACGTCCAACCCCATGCGTACTTGACAAACCAGAGGTTGAAGACATTGTGCTTGTTCGCAAAGTAGGAATGGGTTGCGGAAGAAGGGGTTTGGAGAGCGACGAGCGACTCGGATTGGGTGAGGGAGAGGAGGTGGGAGAGGAGCGTGCCGAGGAAGATGGTGACCATTAGGAGGAGTGCTGCGACTGTTCGTGGGCGTAGACCGGCGACTTGGACTTGGGGAGGTTTGGACGTCAGCGTCGTCGGGATGTGGACGTCGACCTCCCCCGCTGGGGAGGGAGTTGACCACTGTCGAAGTTGTGGTTGAGTTGACATGGTCGTTCGAGGAGGAGATGGAAATGAGCGCCCGTCAGGACCCTGACACGTGATGTCATTTACCGGTTAGTCGTCACCTCTTCTCGCTCTTTCCACTCGGCTCATGACCACAAATCTCGGGCGCTTAATTACATCTCCTCTGGATGGAAACCAAAGGGCAAATGACTAGTTTGTTCATAGGATATTCTCGGATGCACCTACTGTCCACCTGTTGGTGCACACAGCGACAACCCTATACTCCCAGAGTACTAGTCGTATCCAATAAGAGAACAACCGTCCATAAGTCGACAAAAGGCATAATGTACATCCCCCCTTCGTGCCCTACTCCTCCTCTACGTCCCCCTCCTCCTCCTCCTCCCCGTCTAGCCTACGATACCCCGCCGCCTCCTCCCTCCCCCTCTCCGGATCCACCCCTGCCAACACCGGCCACGCAACGAGCACCATACCCAACAAGAACCAAAACGCGTTCCTAATCTCCCCCTTATCAGCGATGACCCCCACCACAAGAGGGCCGAGGAAGGACGAGCTCTTATCGGTTATACTGTACAGCCCGAAAAAACGTGCTTCCTCCCCTCTGGGTATGAGTTCTGAGAACAAGGCCCGGGCGTAGGACTGGAAGGAACCGTTTATGAACCCGTAGTAGAGTGCTAGGATGTACATCTCCCAGCTGTGCTTGAGCCCCAAGGAGGGGAGGAAGAACCCTAGGCAGCCGTACGCGGGTACGACGGTGAGGAGGAGCACGAGGGTAAGGAGGACGCGTTTGTTCGACCAGGCGTAGCGTTGCTGGAGTGCGGTGCAGGTCAGTGCGCCGATTACGCCTGAGCAAGGGGCGAGGATAGCGATAAGCATAAGAGAGGTAGGTGGGAGGTGCAAGGAGGTCTTGCTGAATAGGATAGCGGTGGAGGAGATGGTGGTAAACGTATCGCTGAGGAGGAACCAAGCGGCTAGGAAGAGGAATGTGTGCTTGAGTTGGAGGATATGGGAGGGGAGGAGCATGCGACCGAGTTCTGCCCAGGCGGAGGCGATTTCGCGTATGGTGGATCTTGGTTGGGGTTTGTTAGGCGTGATGTTGGTGTTGGTGGTGGTGGAATCGGAAGGCAGCCAAGCAGCAGCAGGGAGAGTGAATACCCCCCACCAAATGCCCGACAAGCCCACACATAAGCGGAGGGAGAATGTACTTCCTTTTAGGAGAGTAACAGGGATGAGCAAGAGGAGGAGGGCGAGGATGCCGGCGAAGTATCCTAGGGCTATCCCTCGCGCGGAGATACGGGCTGTGGTGCGGCTGATGAGGGTGTGCCAGTCTTTGAGAGCGGCTTGGGCGGCTTCGGGGTTGAAGGCAGAGTCGTCCAAATCAGTGTCGTCCTCCCTCAAGTGCCGGAAGGCCTCGTCCACAGCCAACCGCCCCGCCCTCACCTCCGGAGCATCCCTCGCCAACCCGGGCAGGTAAGCGTTCAGAGCAACGATCGACGCTCCGAACGCTACGTTCGCCGTTATTGCCAGTAAAGCACAGATGGGCCAGAGCGGGGAATGGGAGGGGAGGAAGAGGAAGAGGGTCGTGCTGCATGAGCCGAGGAGGGCGAATGAGAGGAGGAGGGGCTTGCGTTTGCCTGCTGTGTGGGGTTAGTGTGTAGATGAAGAGAGAGGCAGGGGAGGGAGAGAAGGGGGACGGACCGTGGTCTGCTATACCGCCGAGGGAGATGACTGTAAGCGCTTGAATGGCAACACTTGTAGAGTAGACGTAGAGGCTTCGATGATATTGTACATGAGTAGCAGTAGGGCTGCGGTAGGTAGGGGAGAGCGTACCTGAAGCTAGCAGTGTCTACCCACGCCCAGCCAATACGCACTACACATCTCCCTCCCTCTGCCTGCACCTCCCCCGTTCCTGGTACACAAGGCAAACTCCTCTCAGGCAACAACACCCCATTCTCCCTCGCGAACTGCTCCAGGAGCACGGGGAGGAATAGCCCGAGGGAACAGACTGCAAACGCTTCGGATGCGAAGGCGTATGTGAGCCAGCCACGAAGGCGGGATATGTATTGGCTCTGTGTGTGGTTGTGGTCAGGGATTGGGAGGAGAGGAGTTGGAGATGATGGTAGGAGAGAGAGGGAGTCGTCTGTGGATACCATCGACGTGGACTGTCCAAGAGGCACAAAACACAGGAGAAATGGACAGGGTTCACTCAATAGGCGCTCATCGGAGCCGACATTATTCCGGTATATAGTGTCCATTCAACACTACAGAATAACATAGTAAACATACAAACATCAGTCACTTAATGCACTCAATAGACTTAATGCACTCCATTACACCTGTGAACCACTCTCACCACCCTCAAGCCCTTCAACCTGCAACCTCACAAGCCTTGGTAACACCTCCCCTTCCAATCCCACTCCCTCTTCCCCTCCCTCGTCCTCCTGTTGCTCCCCCGACGAAAGCATTTTAGCAGCCGCTAACAAGATAAGCTACACATACACGAGGTTAAGTGAGAACATACCACACATCCCAATAATCCTGAACACATTTGGCCAATTCGCCAGTACACTTCCAACCGCTACCCCACCGCACGTCAGCCATCCTATCCCTCCCTAACAGAGGATCACTCACCTGCACCACCACGCGCCATGACCTCCCCCTCTCTAGCGAGTTCCTCCACCTGCCCCAACATGGAAGACGACGCTTGGAGGAGGAGGGAGACCGCTTGGTACTCATGCTGTTTTTCGAGGAGACGTTGTGCGGAGTATGTGTTTGGAGGGAGAGGAGTAGGTGAAAGAGTAGCTTGCGCTATGTGAGGTGGTTGACCTTGTGCGCCTTGGGGGTTGGACATGGCCATGTTGATGGTCGTCAATATGCAGACAGACGTGCAGAGACACGATGAACGCGTTGAACGCGTCGGACATTCTCTAAGGCACGGAACTACGGAGCCGAAAACACCGCCACCGCCATACCATTTCCGATCTTCTCCTCGACGTCTGCCTCTCTCTCACTCCAACAGCACAATGGCAGGCCACGGTACGCCCCTCCTCCTCCTCCAAATATACGGAACTCATACCCTACACGCACAGGCACGAGCTACGCAGGCTTCCACCCTCATCCGCCTGCTAGGGCACACGTCTACCTAGCAAAGTTCTTAGGAGCGACCATGTGGTTCTTCGTCTTCTATCGGGCGAGGTACGTCATACTCCCTTTCCTCGCCTTTCCTTATGCTTGTGTCTTGGGTGGGAAATGCTAACTGATAAATAGGCAAGACGGTGCTAAGTTATTGGTGAGTGTTTCTCATCTAGAAGGGGAGGAGGGCTGACGGGTTACAGGGCTGGAAACATCCTTGGGAGGGACATGGAGATCATGCACACGGGCACGGGCATGGAGAGGGAGAACATGGAGGGCATTAACCTGCGCGCCTAGAGAGGGACATATAGAAAAAGAGAAGGCCTCGTATGAAGTGGGAGGTGGAGGGGAGAAAACAGCCGTACGAGGGGAAACGCAATCGGGAGAAATGCCTGTATATCAATGCGATTGTTCGCACACTTGGAGTTGTCTGTGATCTGTCGCCTGTGATCTGTTAACTACTGGCTGTGGTGCGAAGTGTTGAAGTGGAGAGGCGGGAAGCTGACCTGCGTATTTGAGCCCGCTTGGCACTCGCGCGGTGCTGACCTGCTACTGTGCTTCATCCCACCCGGTTGTCTGTCCATCTATCGAATGACCGACACACGGGGCACGTTTAGTCTTCTCCCCCTTGAGTGCTTGTCACCCCCCTTGGCAGAAGTGATGCAGCATACATGCAAGCATCACTTCTGAGAGGATGAGCCCTTCTTGTGTGTGAGAATTAGCGTACGTGTGAACCAGCCAATCAGCAGGAGTGCATCCAAGTAGACTGTCGAGTGGCTGTTGATCCCAACCTATACGAACTTGTACTCTGCAGCCCCTTTTCGCCCAAAGACCGCACTCACACGCACGTTAAGAGGTGCCCAAGCGTATGAATAAGTCACACCACCCATCCGCGCTCACACACACGCAAAATGACCCTCTCAAGCCTGAGAAACAAAGTAGTAGTGGTCATGATCCATCTGTTGGTAGCATACACACGTGGTATCCGAAGCAAGAAACATCCCGACAAATAGAAGTGCAAAGAAACCTCTTCCCAGGCACTCATTTCGCGTTCTGAGCTTTCGCTTGAGCGATCCTCTGTTCCTCAGTTAGTATGCGCAGCGTAGGGACACAGAAGAGGGAATGGGAAGAAGGAAGTGGGAAGTGGGTACGAACCTGTTTTCTTTCCTCTCTTCTCCGGGCTAGCTCTGCCGCTTTCTCTTCCTTGCTCATCCCTGCCAGGCTAGGCGCGGCCACTACGGCCGAAACAGGCGTAGAAGCACGAGAAGGCGTCGAGGAAGCGTCGTCGAACGTGCCCCACGTATCTGCCGGAGCGAATTTCGGTGCAGCAGCAGAGGTAACAGGCACTGGTTTGGGCGCGAGAGGCGCTGGAGGTCGAGCGGGAGGTGGGGTGAACGCGTTCCGGGATGTGGAGGAGAGTTGAATTCCAGGTGTTCGGTTTGCTGTGGAAGAGACTGTGGAGAGACGGTATGCGGGTTCTGGGGCTGGTTGGTCCCACCCTCCGTCATCCTCGTCCATGTCTTTCCTATTGACCGGTGCAGCTTCGAAGGCGCCTAGAAGACATAAGTACGACAATGAAGAAGAACTGGAGGGCTTACTCCAGTCATCAGCGTCCGCGTTGACGTCTATCAGATCCCCTTCCCAGGCGTTCACACCATCCGCATCCCCTTCGTCTGCATCTGTGACTTCGGCCAGCAAGGCTGACATCTTATCCGATGATGTCGTATGTGAGCGCAGCTGCATGCCCCCCTTAGATGAACTTGCTGATGTCAGAGGCGTAGGAGGTGGCCGCTGAGGTGCTGACGGCATGCCAGTCAAGGTTTGTGCCACTTGCGGCTTCCCATTCGGGCTAAGTGCTATGCCGTTTATTGGTGGAGCGGGTAAAAGCAGTGTGCTGCCCCCCATGCTGCCTTTGACATCTGCAGCACTTAGCTGCTTGCTGAGGGAGGACATCGCCCACCCTGCCAGAGCACCCGCTGCACCCGCGGCAGAATTCACGAGCTGAGCTTGCATCGTCGCCGGCACGGCACTAGGGTTAGGGATACCGTTGGGGCTTGCCGAAGACTCGGGACGGATTACTGTGTCTGGCAATGTTGTGGCGTAGGATTCTAGTAGTTTTACGAACATCTCCACAGCCTTGAACGCTTGATCCCGTACCAGCCTGCACGCAGTCAGTTTCCACGCTTTGCACAGAACGCTCCACTGACTTTTCCTTATCCACCATCGACCCGCACACAACTGGTAGCACCCGCTGCGCCTGCTCATCAGGGGAAAACATATCCGCCGTCGCCATGAAAGCCATCAACCCCGCCACTCGAGCATGGACGAACGCATCCTTCAAACTCCTGGCAAATGCAGGAACGAGCATCTTCTGCTTGGTGACTTTGGATAACTGGGGCGCTAGACGACCGATGAGGATAACGGTGTTGGTACGGATTGAGGCTTCTGGGTCCATTTGGGTCTTGGCTAGTTGTCGTAGGAGTTCGTTATTCAGGATTCGGTCTGAGAGTTTGGGTGCGATGAGGATGATGGAACGGACAGTCGCTTCCCGGATAATGGCGACCGTATCAGTGAATCCCGTTTGCTGGAGGTAAGTCAGTATGATGAACTTGTTGGTCATTAAAATGCGGGACACACCAAATTCGGCCAGATCTGGTTGACGACCTGCTTCTGCTCCAGCTTGTCGGCGTACTCCTCCAGATGTTCCAGAAGTGCCAACCTCATCCCGCGATCTGGACTGGCATACAGCTTCACCACTGGTCCAACGATTTGGCTCTGATACTCTGCTGGGGGCACATTCTTCCCAAATTGGAATACAAGAGGCAATACCGCACTTGCAGTCGAGCCGGCAAACTCGAGCGCGCTCAGCAACGACGGCAACAGCTTGTAAGCGGTGAACGATGGCGGGAAGGAGTTTGCCGAGTCGCGTAGGGTACGGATCATCGCTTGTTTATCGGCATCACTGCCAAGTGCAAAGTTCTCGAGCCCCGCGCAAGTCTTGACAAGGACGTTATTGGAGAAGAATCCGCTACCTTCGCTCGTTGTCCCACCCATGCCGACCTCGAGGAAAGCGCCGACGGTCATGCGATGTTTTGCACTGGGGTTGAGGAGGCGCTTGAAGGAGGGGAAAATAGAAGTTGGGATGGCGCCGCGTGACGAGGGTTGGGGGGGAGGATGTGGGGCTATCGTTGTTGGCGGCATCGGCATTTGAGGGTTGAATGTCGTGTGTATGAGCAGACCCAGAGCGTACGAGTCTGCTACAGATGTATCCAGCTCCTTCAGCGCACTCCAACCTGATTTTTTGACTTCCGGACTCGCATACGTCCCAGAGTCCGGTACGAGCCCGCCAACGGTGTACAGGACGGCCTGGTCGTCCTTCGGTTGACTTAGGACCTCGAACCCACCGAGCTTCCATTCCCCCGTAGTGGAGACGAACACAGAGTCTGTTCGTACGTTCCCATGTGCTGATCCGCCCGCGTCGTTGATGAACGCGAGTGCCACGCACACTCTGTGCATGCCCCACACTGCCCAGTCCTCCCGCTCCTTGCCCTTGCCAGTCCATTGTTCCGCTGCTACGCGCAGAGGGGTAACGCGCTCAGTGACGATGTGTATGGTGGTATCAGTCTCTACGACGTCAATGAACTTGAGCACGTCGGGGTGACGGATCGTGCGCAGCTTGCGGAGGGCGTTCTTCGCCAGGGGCATGAGCGACCGTCGATTGCCCACATTTGAGTCGAATATAAACACGGACACGAGACTACTATCATCCTACAGAATATTTGGTCATATATAGATTGTATGAAAGTGGTGCAGTAGGCGTACACGCTTAACGGCATCATGCAGCGTCCAGATGGTCTTGCCGTCGAATGCGCCAATCTTGTCGCCCAGAGAGAATGGGAAAGCAATGCCAGACTTTTGCAGCACGGCCGAAGCTGCTGCGGAGCCTATGCTCCGCAGGTAGTCCATTGACTGTCCTTGTTATTAGAAGATGGTGGTCAAGAAAGAAAGGTTAAGATAGCAGAGTTGAGGTGTACGATTGTGTAGTAAAGTACTGATGAACTTTGAAGATGAACAGTCCCTTAGTAGGGACAGCCACGCTTCTTCAATATTGTCAACGATGACTTCGTATCATTTCTAGAAGGTAAGAAACAGATTCCAATATGAATATATCACAAACAGCAGCACACTAATACAATTGTACCCCCAGGAACATAACAGAACGAGTGCACAACAGAAACAAGACCAGGTCCTCCAGGAGCGAACGTCCTGCAACCTCACACAATCTCCAATTCAAACATCATATAAGGGCAAGGATACTCCCCGCAACAGCAGCCAACACGGCCATCCCACTAGCAAAGATGGTCTGCCTTCCCAGGGCGCCCGAGCTTCCCGCAGTCTGACTGGTGGACGGTCCTGCCGAAGTGGTCGGGGCCGAGCCGTTACTCGGCCCTCCGACGCCTGCGAACACGACTGTGCTGTTAGTGATGGCGATCGAATCGGACTCGTTCAGTGGCTGCAATACCGTCAACATCAGAGGTGATATCTACGGAGGAGGCGAACCTTGTTCAACACATGAATGACCCCGTTCGAGAGTGCCCAGTCGCTCCTGATCAGCTGGGAGTTTCCGATGAACATCCCCGAACTGTTACTCTGGAAGACGAAGCCCCTCGTGCCATTGCCCCACACCGGTACCAGGATGCTGCCGGAAGGAGTCTCAGGTCCGTAGAATACGCCTGCGAAGACGTGCAGTCCGATATTCTCGCTGATCTCTTGCGTGTTCATGGCGTTGTATATCGGTGCCTGGGCGGCGAAAGCTGTGTCGTCTGGTACGAAGCAGGTAAGGGAAGTCAGCGTGTCGTAGTACGCCACAGGGTTGGTCCCGTTCGGGGTGAGGTTGGTGGCTCTGGAAAGATACTGCACGAAGGTGGTTACCTTGTTCGCTGCGAGCGTCTTGGAGCAGACGTCGGGCAGATCAAGAACCCTGCAGAGATGTTAGGATTTTGCGTCAATAGCCGATAGTAGAAGGCGCACTTGTCAAGAACTTGCAGAAGTCCCCCATCCCAAGCAATATCCCCGGTTGTGATGTTCGCTCCGGCTCCCAACCCGCCAGTAATAGTAACCTGCTGACTCGTCTGCCCTGTACTGGCCCCCAGCCCTTGCTGCTTGAGCGTCACCGCGCTCGGCACACTGACGACATTGCTAACCCCGCCCATGTTGACCTCGGACGCGTTCTTCAGGTTGGTCTGGACGACCTCACCGTTCCCTGCCTGGGCCATGCTGAGGCTCTTGAGCGAGGCAGCGCCTACTAGTTGGTGGTACACGAGAAGGGACGGGATGTCGACGTTAGACGCGTTGGCACCTACTATTTGCTGTGCGGCGGAGAAGGCAGCATCGGATGGCGCGAGGATGGTCGTGTTTGTCAGACCAGCGAAGAGGTCCGGGTAGGCGGTGACGAGGGCATTGAATGCCGTCAAGTTTTGTTGTTGCAGTGCCGTGGTGAGAGACTGGGCCGTGACAGCAGGTAGGAGGGCCACGAGCAGGGCCAGAAGGCACGGTGATCTGAGCAGCATCTTGGTTGTTGTTGATTGAGAGAGAGAGAGTAACCAGAGCGAAAAGGCGTGCAGGGATAAATGTGGAGGATGCGAGGCGCTAAGAACAGGATCTGCCTTGCGTTTCAGCACCCTTAGCGTTCACTTCTTCGCGTCAGTTTCTTCTCCTCTGTTATGTGGAGAGCAGACGTACAACGACCCTCTCACGGTCCTAGGCGGTCAAAGAATGCGGTCTCTGCTCAGAAAGCGCGAAAAATATGCCGCTTTAATGGGTGGTAACCTCGAGGCTGTCCTGTTTCCCTCTCTTACGAAGATCTACCTGAAATAAATCGCGGACTCCGTGCTAGAGATATTCTGAGATTGAATTGCTTCGTTTCAAGATTTCTCGCTAGATGGGTGGCAGAGTGGGTGATCAATCAGCAACCGGGGACGGTGAAGAATCGCCTTGCTAGTTGAATGAGATTCTTCTAAGCAAAGCAAAATAGCGAAGTCGCCTTTGAGGTGTTCTAATGTCTCTCAACCAGGGTTTGACCAGGTACTACACAGCAAGTCGGAGAAAGAGAAGAGAGAACGGAAAGACCGAGGCAACGCACAGTAGACACTTGCAGGGACCGTGTGATCGGGCGCTTAATTCAGTTGTGACCGCATGGACCTTAAGGCGCTGCAGCATCAATTAGCACAGCTTTCATTGGTCCGTGAAACATCCATTTTTGCATGAGAAACTTGTCACGGAATCGACCGTCAGGTAGAGATTTATCAATGTTCTCTTTCTGTCGGTTATTCATGCCTGTGAATGCAATTTAGATCTTGGATTGGGTTTCTAACAACTTCAACCAACTTTTATTTTCAGGGTAGTCTTGAATTATCCCTCGTTGAACATGAATGTCCACATGCCAAGCAACCAGGAACCAGGAACGAATTCGTCATGTGACAGCCAGACACACAACAAGACATGCCTGGCTTAAGAGCTTGCAAAAAGTCGTAGTCACCATCCCGGTATTATCCCTGATTTGACTACTATGACCCTACGTTGGTGATTGTGATTTGCTGGCTTACAGCGTCCAGAAAGCAGTATATTACAAGTATGCAAAGTTACATATCTCCAACCATAAGAGCATTGTTGAACAAAGATACCGCCCCTTCATCATCCGGTCATAGCTTCGACCAGCTAAAAACGACTAAAGTTTTGGCTTAGGCATCTCCGGCACCCGATCTTCCGCGAGCCGTTCCAACAACCTCACCAACTCTTCCACATACCTTCTGAGGGTGACCTTTCCCTCCTTCTCCGCCTCAGTCTGCTCCTTCTCTGTGCCCATATACGCCGTGGCGTAGTTGAAGGAGAGTCTGAAGATACCGTCCCATGTGTATGGGGCGAGGAGCACGCCAACGCCGTCCGGAGTGAGAGTGGGTCCGATAGAGGACATGAGTGGCTCGGAGATCGTAAATACGGGTGAGGAGGAAGGGCCATAGGTCTTCGATAGGTGCTGATCGACCAGTCCCAGGGAGGAGACGTTCACAGACCGATGGTCTGGACTCTCCCTGCTCCGTGTCAGTCTTGCTCGGGACCACTACGAGGCTTGAACTTACGGCTCAAAATCCGTCGCGTGCTTATGGATCATCGCAGCGATGATAGCTGGAACCCACTGTGCCGCAGTAGCTTGATACGGCTGCTGCTCCAGCATCTGGGCCTGCACTTCTCTGGCGACTGTCCACACGTCCTTCAACTTGTTCGAGTCCAGAAAACGCTCAAGATGATATGCGCCGATGACGTTCCCGCCGAGGGTGAGACCGATCTCCCAGTTCTGGACGTCCTTTTGCCTTTCTGGGCCGCCGAGAAGGTATCGGCTGCGGAGGTCGGCTCCAGCAGGGTAGATGTGAACGAAGAGTTCTTCATCAGGAATCTGCTTGCGGGGAAGCAGATGCAGGAGGGTAAGGTAGTTCGCTGCGAAGACTGTGCTGAGGATGCTGCACCCATGTGCGCGAGCGGCGAGTCGGATCTTCTCCGCGAACTCTGGGGGGAACGTCTTCGTTAGATGGCCACTGAGCGATGGCTGAGCATCTGGGTTGAGCACGGGGAGTTTCACATTGGGCTGTCCGGGGATCAGCAGTGAATGGATGAGAGCTCGTTGACTTACTGGGGGGCGTTTCAATGCACTGACAATCTTCTGTACCATGATATGGTCCGCGGGAACTGGCTCTGGCGTCCACGGTATCGCCATCCTATCAGGCATCGCCGGAGGAAGCCGATCGTGTTCCTCCCCCCAATGGAGAACCTCGTCCTCGTGGCTGAGAACATAAGCGAGTTGATGCAGCCACAGGGTAAGAACCTGGAAAGCGCCGATACCGTCGAATAGGACATGGGAGACATGCAGAACCACAGCGTGCTCCACTGCATTCTCGGGATGTATATAATACACCTCGAGCAGCCATTTGGACCGGGTTTTGTCCACTGCACCTACCCTTTCTCTCACTGTTTCTATCACCTCCCGCACGCTACCACGTGCAGCATACTCCATACCGTCGTGAACGACTTCTCCTAGCCAGTTGTTTACGTCTTCCTCCGTTATGGGAGCTTCGTATGTGAACGTTCCTTCGAAGGGTTTGAAATCCTCCAAGCCCGTCATAGGTGGAAACGTGACATTGAGAGCGATCGCCGGGTGCTGCCACCGTAGCCTACGAGTCGCGCGTCGTTCAGCTTCAGCAGTAATCCGGGAAGACATTGATGGGTTGATAATACAGGAGATAAGGATGTCCATTAACCCCGGATTGACGATCTTCCCGATCGCGAGAGTGAGTTCGCCTGGCCATATAGCGCGATGCCAGACACGCGAAGTGTGGGGCTGCTCCAGGTCAATGAATGGGTGACCAGGCTTCCACAACCAAGGCGAAGACATTGGGACTTGGGAGTTTTCAGGGGAACTTGGTGACGACGAGGCCTGAGAGTGTTTGTAAGACGTTATCGATAGCTTCGCTCATCATTTTATGGAGAAGGGGATCCTTTGTAACTTGCAAATACCATCACAGTCGAAGGTGAGCGGCGGCCGTCAGGTGAGGTCGTAATACTTCTCAATGCAGACTAATCAGCGGCATTTGCGCCTGAGAATCTCGGAACAGAACATTCCAGAGTGAATTAAATCGGCGGGACCAGCAATCACTTCCAGGTGTAAGATCTTGATATTTCGCCGAGCTCGGCGAAACAAGCATTAGAGAAAATACGCCGAGCAAGTCGCCTAATGTTCTCCAGCGATTTGCTTCTCGATTTTCGAAGTGCGAGACAGTGGTAGGGCAAGGCGAACAGCTAATTGTCGGGCACCAGCAGATCAACAAACGGAATTATATTGTTTTGGCTGACACGTGTTTGGGCGCTTACGTCCCCAGCGATCGACGGGCGCTTCTTTCCTTTCAAAATGTTGATTGTCCAACTATTCTCCTTTGACGATGCCATCTTAGAACTTTTCGAGCGCGTTCTGAATTCTTATATTTGGCGATTAAGAGAGAAGACCTCGTGGTACTATCCTGCGTGAATGATGGATGGCCCTGGCATACTACGCAATTTTGGTTGGGGACTTTCAGCCTGGGAATGGGTGCGTGAGCCCAGCATGCCGCTGGTCTACAGCGTTCCCTCAAAAGTAGACTACAGCATCCTGAACTACGGGTGACAATCACTGCAACCATGTCCCTCCTCCTTCACATTCTTCAACCTGCAATATTCCCCCCGGCCTTTGCTAGCAATGCCTTCCCGCTCAATGGCCCGTTTGCCTTTTTCATCCGGATAGTCCGGCTCTTCTACTCTTTGCTTGTCCTCCCTCTGGCGATTATCTCCGCTTTTCTTCCAACTTCTGTAACTGGAATGAATCATGCCTCCTGGAACTTTGCCCAGACACTCCTCCTCCGACTTAGCTCTCAGCTTCTCTGGGCTATTGGCTATGGCATCCCACCAAGATTTGTCAATCGCGATCGCCCTACCATCCCTACCCGTCCACGATCTGTGGTCATTCCCAACACCACTGACATCAGCTCTTGCTCGATGACAGTTCCGCCCAGTAACTCACGGTATCGCAAGGGGATCCTTGCAGACGAGGAACTCACTACACCCACCGAAATCAAGTGCTATTGGACGTCGGCTGGCAAATGTTCGGACGAGCAGCTGACACGTCAGCCACAGGAGGGAGAAAAGATCATCGTGTATCTAGTCGGCGGTGAGCGCGCTGCCGTCTTTCAAGATCCTCTCCTTACTCTCGTACCAGGCGGATACTTAACTGGAGAGCCCTTAAAGTTTCCCCTCCCCTGGACCTTGGCACAGAAGACGAATCTTCGTGTTATGTCTGGTTCGCATCTCAATCTCTATACCCGATTTGTTATTGACGAGACCCAGTGAGCTACCGCAAGGCGAATACCGACCCATCCAATGCCTTTCCCGCTGCGCTGCACGATGTGGTTTCTGCGTGGTCTCATCTGATCTCTGTTGGGTTTCATGCCGAGAACATATGTAAGGCATCGTCCATGCCGGTTGGTTCCTATCTCTAATCATCCTCCAGTCATTTCCGGAGACTCTGCAGGTGCAGGACTAGCTGTCACCTTTGCGCTGTACTTGTGCTTGTGCCATCTGCCTCGACCCGCTGGTCTCATACTGTACAGCCCATGGCTGGATCTGACTCTTTCGCATCCGGCCGTCAGTGACAATCATCGCCATGATCAGTTGACGAGCGATCTCATCCAAACGGGCGCTCGAGTCTACACTCAGAACTTCCCGCTTGTCTACACCGACCCAGCCATGTTGGATGCGTACCGATTCAACGATGCGGAATACTTGCTCTCCACCCATTCATTCGATAAGCTTGGTCCGCGACATCCGCTCTTATCTCCTGCGCTGTTGTCAGCACGCTCGCCGCTCATTCCCTCTTTGTCGGAAACGCGATTCTTCATCTCGTACGGATCCGTGGAGCGCTTCGCGGGCGAGATCGAAATGTTTGTTACCATTTTGAAGAACGGAGGCGTCGAAGTGGTCATTGATGTCGAAGAAGGTGGTTGGCACAACAGCACTGCAGACGCTATTGGCGGAAAGCAGGTTGCCGTGGAAAGAGCTGCGCAGAAAGTTTTCGAGTTTGTATGCCCAGAAACTCAATCCAGCACAGTCTGAATGCGTCAATGATATTCTTCTATTTCGGCTAACCAATGACATTTACACACGGTCACGCGGGAAACACGTATGGAACTAGCTTGGGGGCTGGGTCAAGATCTTGGAAGGATTCCAAGATCTCTTGAAGAGGCGCCAATAGGGGTGAAACTCCTGCCGGATACCTTGAATAGACAACTTGAAGCAAGTTCTTGATCTGAGCTAGAGGCGGAGTTTGGCCACCCTCCTTGTAGAAGTCGTACAAGTTGAAGGCAGGCGCGCACTTATATCCCTTCTGGTCTAGCGCCGGCGAGTCCTGCTGCACAAGGAAGACAGCAATGCGACGAACGACGTTCGTCATGAACTCAACGTAGATTGCGGTGGTAGCCGCACGCTTCGCCGGGTCCGTTTTCTTACTGATTGCGTAGGTACCCTCGATCGCCAACAAGAGGAAGCAGTAGCATGCGTCGAAGAGGCGCGAAACCTACGGAACAGACCTTCAGAGCATGTCAGAAAAGACGAAATCATACCGTAGCGAGTCCTACTTACAGCATATTCCGGGGAAGCCGAAGGCAATTCTTCAGTCAAGGGATTCGGCCAGACATTAATCGTCTTTCCCGGGTTCGTCAAGCTCTGCTGAATGATAGCTTGGAACCGGAAGTAATGGGCGACATCCGTATCACTCGGGTCGTCGAAATCGGTTTGTTTATTGCCTTCGCCTTGCTCCACAATGATAGTCGCCGCATCCACAGCGGAATTGACATCCGTGACTAACGTCAGCCCACCCGTCTCATTACCAGCATATACGCCGTCTGGGCCAAAGATTTGGTAATCGACAGAGGACTTGTCGAAGATACCATTACCAAGTTGCCGGAATGCTGAACGGTAGTCAGTAGACGTCAAGGGCATCAAGAAAGTCACAGGTACATTCAATGATAGCGCCATAGAATTGGCCGATAGTATCGTAGTTGTCTGGCTGAGGTGGCGCACCAGAATCCGCGGGCTTTTCTACCTGAATGGTGAAGTTTGAGTGAGCTGGGTTCACGCTAATTCTTGTCCAAGACGTACGGCAGCATAAATTTGAAGTTGCTCGTAGTCGGCAGGATACAGAGGCAATATAAAGTTGCCGCTATGACCTGGCATCTTTACTGGGAATATCGGGAAGGGCTGAGCGGAGTATAGCAAAGGGGTACCACCGATAGCCTTCAGCATATTCCCTGCGAGGACCAAGTGGAGCATTTCCTCTTGCACCACACCTAGAGACCCATTCAGTAAGAGTAGATGCACGGATTTAGAAGCGACCCACTGTGAATCAACCTCGCAGGGCCAAGACCGGGGTAGTCGCCTGGCACGAGACTGTATCGTCCGAATAGGTAGAGTGGGATCGTACCCCACTCCAGAGCAATTGCGGTCTGCAGATGGGCGCGCAGGTCCTCGACGGTGTCAATGGCATGCACAAAGACGCCATCGACGCTTCGGATTATCCTCTTGCTTGGCGTGGGCAAGCTGATGACAGTGCGAGGCACCGTGTCTTGGCGGGGAAAATGAACCTCCATCTCTCGGGACAAAGATCGTCGATGTCTTGATTCAATGCCTCCTCTTCAGTCACTCGGTGGTCCAGTTTTATAGTCATTTAGTAGTACGGAAGTGCTCCTCGGAAATATGATGATCCAAAAGACACTTTCGATGCGATGATCTCTCCGAGCTCCGATGGATGCTCCGTGGCCCGCAAGCAGTGGCCTCATAAACACATGGCGGGTTATTGCCTCAGCAGGGAACAGTGGCAGTCAATGAGTCAGAAAGGCGACGAATATATAGTCACGACTGGGAAATATGTCCCAGTCTTCACATCTTCCGGCTGTCCATCGATGCGAAGGCGTCCTGCGGCCGTCAGGGATACAGGGACATTCGAAGACCGCAGAAGCCATTCGCAGAGCAGAGATACCGAAACATTCTGTTATTCTTGTAAGCGGACTGATCACTTCTTGAGAAGATTTATGCGAAGTACACGCGCAATTTGTCTAGCTCGCGCCACGCTCCACCTTCAGGTCGGATAAACTCCCAAATAGCTTTCCCAGTCTTTTGTGCATTCGCACGCTTTCTCACGCCCACCATTCCCTGACTCTGACGCAAGACGTTATCCAACTCCATCCTGATCGCTTCGTCTGTACCAATGATCCGCATTCCCGCTGGTCCTCCGCGGGAGGCTTTCAGGCTGGCCGCAGGGCCAGTGCGGTTCTGGATGAGATAGAAGCCGGCGTCAAGCATGTCTGTAACCCACAGGGAGAATTGCGGCTGGTCAGTGGCGAACGGCCAACAGATCATTGGGACGCCTTGGCTAAGTGCTTGGAATGTCCCGCCTGCGCCTGCGTGAGATAATATCCAGCCAGTGGCCTGAGGACGAAAAATGAGCATCAGGGTGTACGCGCACGACAATGAGACTTACAGCATGAGCCAGGATGGCCTGCTGATCTACCCAAGGCACTAGCAATCCTCTGTCGCTCTTCCTGACCTTCTCTTCCAGTTCCACTGGGAAGTCACCATGTGCCCCGGGAATAGTCATCAGGAACGGCTTCTCAGTCGCTATCACCGCGTCCAGGAGAACTTGTAGCTGATGGGGTGGAGGGAAATACATGGACCCAAAGGAGATGAACAGGACCGATTCGGACCCATGGCTGGCGTGGGCTTCGTCTAAGAACGCCACGGCCTCGTCTTCCTTCCGCTTGGTTGTCGGCGATACCGTCTTCTGGCCGTCGTAGCGATGGGTCAGGGCGAGCTGGGGGCCCACACAGATAACTTGCTTGCCCGCCGGCGTCTCCCAATCAAGAACGCCGAGCACACCTTCTTCTTCCTACACGGCAGTTACCTTAGCCATGCCCCAACGCCCGCAAAAGAAGAGACGTACCACCTCAGGAACGGTGTTCAGCAGTACCCCATCCATTTCCTCATGCAAGGCAACCATTCCTCGCAGCAGATCCCACACAAACCCCACGAAAATATCATGGGGACTGTCTTCGTACGAGTAGTACGCCGGCAGCCCACGGATATTGATGATATCGTCTACCGTGCGGGTGGAGCGCTGCCAGCACTGGTCGAACATTAGCAGTCAACAAGGGGTGAAGGGTAGGAGAAGAAGACACACGTCACGCCCAATTTGGTTGAACGACCGTCCCGCACGCCGGGCTTCATCGTTATAGATCGAGAGGACCTCATCCTCGTATCCAGGTGCCTTTCCACCTTTCTCAGAGGGACCCATCCACCTGTCCATACTGTCCAGCCGGAGCACTCCACCCAGGATAGATCACACACCTCGTATATGCAAACCCAGCCTCGGGGAACCACAGCATCAAAGGCACGCCAAACTGTTTCTTCAACTTGATCCCTACCCTTGCTTGGCCGTAATCCACCAGGATAAGCGTTGGCTTCATCCCCACGGACTCCCAAGCTGAACCGACATCGTCCACCACACGCTCATCCTGCATGATGAGAGGCAATTTGGCTAGCATCTGTTCTTGCACGATCTCCGGTATGACCGTCACTTCTCGCATGTCGATCTCCAGGGTGTCGTGAACATCGACATCTGCTCGCGGTGCATATCCCAGGGCAAAGACGCGAATGCGGGGAAGGAGGGTGGCTCGCTCGGTGTTGTCGACGCATAAACGCTGGAGTTCTGTCGCGCATTTATCGACATAGGGCACCTCAGTTATCAAAGCTTGGGTATGTCAGTAGAATCAAAGGCGCAGGAGTGTTGAACGTACAGATGACAATATCGGGGAACTTGCGCACCAGGGTAACCGATAGCCCCAGATCGGTCGACAGCTGACCCCAGGGAAACCAGGTAAGAAAGAGGAAATGCTGCCTAGACATGATCGGACTCGATATCGCGCTGCCGCACTCGTACAGTGCACAGGCTTTGTTTTATACCGATACATCTAGCAACCGAGCTGTAATCAATCCGGAGTTACCAAGATGATACACAGCCTAGGCAGCATGGTTCACTATCGAGTTCACCGGTATGTTGACAGATGGATCCAGGCGACTGTCGCACATCAACAAATGATAGGATCGACCTTTGCATTCAAGTCCGGGTTGAAATTGAGTTCGCCAGAGAAGCAAATAGGAGCAGAAGGGCATTGCATGTGTTGAAGGCGATGCATCACTGATGAACGAAGTCGATGGTATTCGTGTTACCAAGCCCGACTGGTAACAATACTAGACAAACAAGAGGCATAACAGTTCTCCAAAAGGATTATAAGCAAAGTACCAGACTGAACTCGGGAAAGCTGCGAAAGCTGGTCGACCTGACCGAGAGAAGGAAGAACGAGTGTACTGCTCTGAAGTAAAGTAAGCTGGGCATGACCAGGGTTTGACTGAGGGTATAAAACATTAATGAAGCGGGACCAAATCGGGCAATGTTGAGGAGTCACCTCCCTCTCCTCCGTCGTCTCCCTTCTCTCCTCATCCACACCAACCTCAAAATGGTCTCTACTCGCTCAGCTACGCGGACAGTGACGGTGGAGAGGGCGACGACACCCGTCAACTTGCCTACACCGATGCCGACGCCCCGCACGCCGAGGAAGCGCAAGCTGCCGGAGGAGCAAGGCACCCCGACACTCACAGGGAACACGAAGCGTAAACGGAATTCAATCGTGGTCCCGCCAACGCCATTGACCCCATCTGTGACTACTGCGATTGTCGAAGCTATCCCCGTTGCTGCTTTGCTCGAGGAAGATATACTCCCACCCTGTTTGACCTTCGACCTCGAGGTTGCGAAGCAGCATATTATCGCTGCTGATAAACGATTCAAGGAGGTGTTCATTCACTTACCTTGTAGACCATTTGAAGTTTTGGACGTCGTACATCCTTTCCGGTGCGCCGCAACAAATCCTTCTAAGACTCGTAACTGACGTCCTCATTCTCAGCACTCTGGCTACATCTATCCTTGGACAACAGATCTCTTGGAAGGCAGCTCGTAGTATCGTTGCCAAGTTTTTGCTACTATTCGACCCTAGTCTGCCTGAGCGTGGGGATGTGCCGCCTGCGATGCATGACCGGCCATTTCCCACCCCGCATCAGTTGGCGGGTATGGATATTCCGACATTGAGGAGCGCGGGTTTGAGTCAAAGGAAGGCGGAGTACGGTATGCCTCATCTTGTCACTATTGCAGTATGGGATGCTCATACCATTCTAGTCATCGATCTAGCCACACACTTCGCAAATGGTCAACTTTCTCCCTCCTTCCTCGCGAAAGCCAGCGACGAGCAACTCGCCGAGCACCTCATCGCCGTCCGTGGTATCGGCCGGTGGACAGTCGACATGTTCGCCATCTTCTCCGCCCGTCGGCCGGATATAATGCCCTATGGGGATCTGGGCGTACAGCGCGGGCTCCTGAAGTGGGTATTGGCTTCGCACGACAAGAATTATAGGCTTGCGATCGAGCCGAAGAAGCTGCCCCAGCCGAGCGTAGAAGAGGATCCTCAGGCCGCTGAAACAACGGATCCCGCACTGCAGGAGGGAGACGCCTCGGCTATACCGCCCATCCCTGCGGAAACCCCACAAAAGCGCAAGAAGGCGGCCAAGGTCGAATCACCGAGCAACGCCGTGCACGTCCCCCTCGGCAAACCCGTAAAGCTACCTGACGGCCTAACGGTCTCCCAACTCAAAAGCCGACTAAGCGGTAAAAAAGTGCAAAAGGGGATGTACCTGACGCCGGCAGAGATGGACGCTCTGACGGAAGGGTGGAAGCCGTATAGGAGCATTGCGGTTTGGTACATGTGGGCCTTGTCGGAGGAAAGCCCTTGAGCGTTTCTGTGCTTGTTATGCAATGGTTAGGTGTTTTGTTATGGTGGAAAAAATACCAGGGGTCGTTGGTCCTGCCGCACTGTCACTGTAAACTGGTTGGTTCTTACTATATTTTATTGTAATTATTGAACGAAAATGTACGTAGGTAGACATCAGATGGTCATTGATACATTATAAGACGACAGCCATCGCCTCATCTGCCTAATGAACCCGTGTCACGCATGTTCCTGACCATCAACTCCGCAACTTCTAATCCAGGCACAAGAAGGATGCTTATGTTCTGTCAACCTTCGTTATGATCCATCAGTAGCCCAACCAGCAAGGGCGTACACCCTACCCCCCCCCCCCCAAACCCGGCCAACCCTCCAAATTTCTCGCATTTCTCGCCTCAACCGTTACGAATATTCCGACATTTACTCATCCAGATGTCAAGGCGGACGCGACAATCAGGCGAGGGAGAAAATTGCGGGTCTTTGGCATCAGTCTTCTTCGGACCCGTGCCCTTATCACTCCGGCTCCGTGGCTCGCCTTCTCCTAACGACAACCTTATTGAAGTCCAGTCTCCTCCCATGGCCATCCCAGATCTCTCGTGTCGACAACTCATCCTCAAACAATTTTATTGTATTCGGCGAGATCTACTCTTCTACTTCAGCACCCACCTTCGAACGAAACATGAAATCTTGAAGCTTTCTTTCTGCGACTGCCACCGCGGTCCTTATCTGGCTCGTCTTCTCTGCGGTTCCCAACTGGTCATCTAGCGCCTCAGAATCCTGATATTAAGGAGCCGAACCAACGTCCCTGGCTGCTCGGCGGCCATAGGATGTCATGATGGATGCGACCTCACACCGCGGGTATAGCGCAGAGAATGCTGACAGCGTGCAACTTCGAATGCGTATGGTTCACGTTCCTGACCATATATCAGTCTCGGCCCCGCCGATGCCTAGGCATGGGATGCACAGCACTGTTTCTATACATAATGCTGGGAGCGTCTACTTCACCTCTGGGGCGAGAACGCTTTGACTTCGAGACAAGGTATGGTTCGCCACGCTATCATTTTGCCTTTCTTTGCTTGGGGACATCTGAGGCCCGAGTGCGCCCTCGCTGTGACCTTGTTACGGCGATATACCGACTTGGTCATCTGTGAGTCCCTCTCTCTCGATCCTGTCCTGATCACTGACTTCGATTCTCAGCTTTCCTATGCGAAGGTCGACTTTGTCAAACGCGCAAAGGATGAGATGGCACGACAGTGTGTGTCGGAGGAAGAGCGGGACTCCCTCCTCTCTCGCGTCCGTGTTATCGCATATGGCTTTCCTCAGCCGCCAATGACACCAGAGCTCATCCAAATGGTCATGTCCATGGACCCGCGGCATATTCATAACCCAACGATGGAGTCATGCTCTGACGCAGTGGACATGATCGAGAAACTCATCGGAGAGCGGGTCTTCCTCGACAAGCTGGGGCAGGACTGGGGCCCTGTAGGTGCCGTGCCCAATATGCTCATTGCAGATGTCATGATGGGCAATGTCATTCTGCCTGTGAAGGAGAAACACAACATCTGGGTGTTCCTTTGGTGGGTTGGGAATACAGCGTCTTTCACCCGGTGAGCATACACACAAAACCGCAAGTATAGTAATTGACGTTACGTAGGATGTTTGCCCCGCTTAAGCACGGAGGCCGGGCGGAGGGTTATGCCGACGAGTGCGAGGCCATCTTTGCCGACGAGGAAAGGCGGAATGGCCGACCATTTGGCGACATCGCGCGTGATGTCCGTTCAGGCTCAAGAAATGTCGTATCACACTTACTGATGCCCTGAGCAGATGTGGATCCGAGACCATCGTGTGCCTGGGGATGTCGTACGCCTCGCAGGCATGCCGCCGTATTTCCAGTGGGAAGACTTCCCGCAGCAGTTCTGGTTCCCTACTATCTACTCCTCGCTTGCCGTGGGAGGCAAGGTAGTCGACGCAGCAGATGGGTTCATGATGACCACTCTGGAGGAACTGGTAGGGTTTTCCCGGCGCAGTATCCCATTCTGAGGCTCATCGTTCACCTTGGAATGTAGGAGACAGACGCGCATAGGGACATGATCCAATGGGCTCGACCTCGTCGTGTGCTCTGCTTCGGTCCCCAGCTTCCTCCCGCTCTTCTGTCTGGAGAGGGCCACGCATCCGCTGAGGTGCTTGCCAAAATGGATGTGAAATACCACGCGGGCTTGGCTGGTGCAACCCATGGGCACACGAACGGTGCAACGAACGGGCACGCGAACGGTAACACCAACGGTTATGCACCTGTCGACCCTGCGATCGCCTTCCTCGACAAGGCGCTCTCAGTGCACGGTCCACACAGCGCGATCTACATCTCGTTCGGGTCTGTCTTCTTCCCAGCCGAAATGCATATCAAGGCACTGTTCGAGACGTTGCTGACTCTCGAGAAACCGATGCCATTTATTATCACAATATCGAGGGGAAGTTTACTAGATGAGATGAAGGCTGCTCTTGAGCAGAGTGGGCGTGGGTTGGTCGTTCCATGGGCGCCGCAGCAAGCGATGCTTTCTCACCCAGTACGTATTTTGCTTCTGAACACTATCGTCATTGCTTACTATTCGGGCAGGGTCTGGGATGGATGCTGACCCACTGCGGAGGTGGTGGAACGTTTGAATCCCTGTCCTCGGCCGTGCCCGTTATCGCCTGGCCATTCATGGGCGATCAACCTCAACACGCGCTGTGGGTGTCTCAAGTGCTGGACACTGGCTTCGACCTCATACAAGTGCGCAACGGCGTCCCCGGTGTGCCCGCGCTGCGTGGTGATATGGCCGCTGGGGGCACCGGCATCTTAGGCACGGAAGAGGCGATCAAGGCCGAGCTGCGGGAGACGTTGGAACGTGCGCAGGGGAAGGATGGTTTGAGGAAGAGGGAAAATGCGAAGAAGGTCAAGAAGATCATATTGAATGCCGTGAAGGAAGGCGGAAGCGTGCACAAGGCGTTAGGGGAACTTGACTTCTTGTTATGAAATTGTTCCTTCTGTTTATTAATAACACGTTATCGGGCGTGTAACACATGGTTCTCTGCCAAGTGGGGTGTCCCGTATTTAGGGCTTGTTAACGGTCGCAGACCTAGACTGATATGGGATCTGGAAATTTGTTCTAAACTATTATTCAATGCTGTCGTGATTTAGCTGAATGCGAGGAATGGTGACAATGAAATTAGCATTGGATAGTATCGGTGATGGGACCGATAAGCCCATAAAATTGCTGTGTTGGGGACCGATCATCGGTCCGTACTTTCTGCTGATCGGTCGAAGCCTTTTGATTGTCCTTCACGCTTCCCGAATATGTCAGAGTACATAACAAACTGGAACCATGTCCTTCAAGGATTGGCACGAACAATCTCCTCCTCGTCCCCCCTAGAGGCTGATCTCTTAGACTAAACGATGGCTCGCCATTCTATCATAGTTCCCTTCTCTCTTGCCTGGGGTCATTTGCGGCCAGAGTGTGGTCTCGCGGTGAACTTAGTGCGCCGGTACACTGACTTGTTCATATGTGAGTTTCTCTCTCTTCTCTATCCCGAATCCAAAGTTTGAACGTGACATCCAGCGTTCCTATGCGAGGTCGACTTTGTCAATCGTGCGAAGGACGAGATGTCGCGCCAGTGCCTGTCGGAGGATGAGCGAAACTCCCTCCTCTCACGCATTCGCGTTATTGCATGTGGTTATCCTCAACCACCTATGACACCAGAGCTCTTTCAAATGATGATGTCGATGGATCCTCGCGATGTTCATAGTCCGTCCAGAGAAACATGCGCAGACGCGAACGAGATGATCGACAAAGTCATTGACGAGCAGACCTTTGTTGACGAATTGGGTCAGGAATGGGGTCCTGTTGGCGCCGTGCCCAAGGTGCTCATTTGCGATGTTATAATGGGCGGCGTCGCCGTTCCTGCCAAGGAGAAGCACAATCTAAGTGTGTTCATTTGGTATATCGGGAGCATTGCATCTTTCACACGGTGCGTTAGTATCCAAGAGGACAAGCGTGACGCTGATATATTGAAGGTCCTTCGCCCCGCCGAAGCATGGAGGGCGCGGAGAGGGATTTGCCGACGAGTGTGAAGCGATCTTCGCCGATGAAGAAAGGCGGAATGGGCGTTCTTTCGGCGACGTTGTTCTGGATGTATGCTCACCACTACTCGCGCCCTTTCGCCCGGTGAACTAACCTTCTGATATAGATGTGGATCAGAGATCATCGGGTACCTGGGGACATTGTGCGCCTTGCTGGCATGCCTCCCTACTTTCAATGGGAAGATTACCCACAGCAAGTATGGTATTCCACCATGTTCAACGTGCTGGTTGGAGGAAGCAAGCTGGTTGATACTGCCGATGGGTTCTTGCTGCCGACGCTGGAAGAACTGGTTAGTATCCTGTTTTCAATACCTACCTTAGGCCTGAACGAGCAATTGATGTCGGGAAACAGGAGAATGAAGGACATAAGGATCTGATTCAATGGGCTCGTCCTCGTCGTGTGTTGTGCCTGGGTCCACAGCTTCCTCCGGCCTTGCTTTCAGACGCTGCCAGAGCCTCCGCTGAGGCTCTGGCGAAACTGGACGTCAACTTCCATGCGTCTCCCGCAGTTGATGTTTCTGACCCGCATGGGAAACATACAAGCACTGTAGACACGAACGGGCATGGTGCAGTTGACCCGGCCATTGCCTTCCTCGACAAAACGCTCACAGAGTATGGACCGCACAGTGCAATATACATTTCATTCGGGACATTGTTCTTCCCAGGAGAAGAGCACATGAAGATTCTCATCGAGACCTTGCTAGCTCTGGAGAAGCCCATGCCTTTCGTCCTTGCTATTTCGAGCGGGCGCTTGTCGGAAGATATGAAGGTTGCTGTAGAAAAGAGCAAGCGTGGGTTGGCAGTCGCATGGGCACCGCAGCAGCCAATGCTATCACATCCTGTAGGCGACTTCCGTGCCGGTGCTCCTTGTTATGTTTTCATCCATGTTTCAGGGATTAGGGTGGATGATTACGCACTGCGGTGGCGGAGGAACATTTGAATCTCTGTCCTCCGGCGTACCTGTCATCGCTTGGCCCTTCATTGGCGACCAACCCCAGCACGCGCTATTGGTTTCGCAGGTCCTTGATACGGGATTCGACCTACTTCAGGTTCGCAACGGTGCCCCAGGAATGCCTGCGCTGCGTGGGGATATCGCGGCCGGAGGGGTGCCGATCTTGGGCACGGAAGAGGCGATCAAGACCGAGCTCCGTGAGACGCTGGAACGTGCGCAGGGTAAAGATGGGGCGAGGAAGAGGGAGAATGCGCAGAAGGTCAAGGAGGTGATCTTGAATGCGGTGAAGCAAGGCGGAAGTGCACACAAGGCCTTGGGAGAACTTGACCTCTTGTTGTGAAGATGTGGGATACTGTCTGTGTTGTAGGCGGTTAGAGGAAGTTTCCTCTTCACGTGTTCATTACTGTCGATTTCCGTGGGGCACTTAAACAATATCGATCATTTCTGATTCATCAAGCTTCGATTCTTTTCAGGCCGTTGCGGATATCTTGCTTCCATTCATTGAAATCATGGGCTTCTATAGATGTTCACCCTCGTCTTCAAAGCAGCAGTGGGTTGGGAATGCAGCGTCTTTCACTTGGCAGGCATATGCGCCAGGAACGGCGTACAGCAGTTGGCCCGTAAGTAGGACTTGTCCTCCCCATAAGCTCGGAGGGCCATGCCGATCAGTGTGAGGCCGCCCTTGCAAGCGGGGAAAGGAGGAATGGTCGCCGACCATTCGGCGGTTTCGCTCGTCATGTACGTCCAGGCTGCACAAATAATTTGTCGTACTTTCTGATGCCCTGAGCAGATGTGGATCCGGGTCCGTCGCGTGCCTGTGGATATCGTACGCCTCGCAGATACGCCGCCGTACTTCCAGTGGGAAGACTTCCCGCAGCATTTCCGTCTCCCTACCACCTACTCCTCCCTGGCCGTGGGAAGGAAGGTAGTCGACGCAGCAGACGGGTTCGTGACGACCACTCTGTAGGAACTGGCCAAGTTCTGTGAGACGTTGGAATGCAAAGATGGAGGAGGAACGCCCAGAAGGTCAACAATGTGTTCTTGAAGTCCCTGTTGTGAAGGCGGTCATTTGTATAGCAAAGTATTGGAGACGAGTATGTGATCAGTCGCTATGGCAGGCGACCAATAGAGGACCATGTTTACTGCTCAACGTGCTGACGAGAACACGGCAGCCGAATTTTTTCACCATGGGCGCGGTATTATCGAATATTCATGGAAACCTGCTTGCTGTTCTCCCATCTCCGTCCATTCAGAACATTGCGCCCAACAATTGCTGCCAGACCCGGCTTTGGTGGTTGCGGTGCCACTATTCGTGCAGACAACAAGTATCGACGAGCATCTCATGGTCACCGATGCGATTCACGACGCAGTCAGCACGCCGCGCAATACAATCAAGTATCATGACGACTCCTTCCACCCTGACGTACTACATGCCAAGGCATCGATTGAAGCATTGCGGGCTCGACAACCCCGATCACACCATATCAGCGCCATCAATATTGTGAATGGAACCAGAGGATCTGAAGATGGCCTCAAAGGCAGGCGATGCTGAGGATATACCCCATTACCAATATTGATATTGAGATGGGTTCTTATTCCCAGCGTTGGTTATTGTAATAAACTGCCCCACCTCTCCCCCCCTTGTCCGCACTTAGGGTCCGCCGCTCGCGAAAACGGCGAAGTCGAACTTGAGAACCCTAATACTGAAAATAATAATCATTTGGAAATCATTTCACCTCGAACAAGTTGGGAATGAATTCTACTCTTACATTAACATAGTATTGACATATTTCAACTAAATCACAATGCGATAAATTATTATTATTTAGCTTTAAGGATGCCAGCGTAATGTGGCTGTGCGTCGGTCGGAGCCGTCAAATCTCCGTTTGACCCAATGGGAGGGCTGCAAAAGTGCGGACAAGGGGGGGAGCCGTGGCACAGATATTGTAATACGGTCAGGAATGTTTCAATTTAAGGCTCCGATATATAGTCTGGGCGCAGTAGGGTCCAGTGCTATTCAGAAGTGCGTATGAATTTCTAAAAAAGGTGTTCAATTGAGCACTTTTGGATTCGCCCCTATTTTAAAGCTCCGATTGATACCGTTGACCAATAAAGACTTATCACGCACCTGAAACAAAGGGTCTGACATCATGTCTCGTTGGCGCGTGTGTTTTTATCCTCTCCTCTTCTTCTGACTCCATCTTTCACAATGTATTCCATACACTGAATTAACCAGCCGAGGTCAAGCGCAGACGTAATCGTTTTATCTTTTCGAATGGCATTTCAATTTCTTGATCAAACCCAGAACAATTCGCACCGGCTTTTCTCTAACGCCTGCACCTCGAAGAAATATCGAAGTTGGTGATACACCGATTTCATGCACGAAGCAGGCAACCAGGTCTGAACTCCAGACCAAGGACGGCGAGCGTGAGAGGGAGCATTGCTCTGCTAGCACATAATATTTGACTGTGCCAAGACCGACCACACCGCACGCAGTGCCCGTGTCGCCGTTCGTCGTGCAGTGGGCTAGGAAACTCAAGGTGGTCATATCTGTATCTCAGGAGTCTTATCATTGACCTTTGATCCAGGTGACTTCTTGTCCCCCAACCTACCGTGCCTCTATACAAATAATGTATGAAGCCCCTCTTCCCGTTGTAATGGCTTCCTGCAGATTCGGCCCCCTATCAACCGGAGATGACAGCCCGGTCGGCGATATTCAATGGTGATCGTTGGTTACCCTCGTGCCAGGTGAGCCATCATCGAGGGAACGTCGAACGATTTGGAGGGGAGCGTACGTATAAAGTCCATGCGCAAAATGCTCTATGACTTCAGCATCATTCCTAAGTCAAACCCACTGAGACACCTGATCGTTCGTCACGCTATATTTGTGCCATATTATGGCTGGGGCCACCTGCGGACCGAGTCTGAGCTCGCTGTGACTTTCCTGCGCCGATACACGGACTTGGTTATATGTGAGCTTCTCGCATCTCTGAAGCCTCTTGTTTTATGTTCACCTATCGTTTCAGCCTTCTTTTGTCAGGTCGACTTCGTCAAACGAGCGAAAGATGAGATGTCCCGTCAGTGCATTTCGGAGGAGGAGCGCAATTCGCTCCTATCCCGTGTTCGTGTCATCGCATATGGCGATCCCCAGCCTGTTATTACACCTGAGCTGGCGCAAATTCTGTTGAGCATGGATCCTCGCGAGGTTCACGATCCACCGTTGAAGACTTGCGCTGATGGGGTCCATATGATTAATAAACTCATGGATGGACAGACCTTTATCGACAAACTGGGTCAGGAATGGGGCCCAGTTGGCGCCGTTCCAAAGATTCTTGTTGCTGATCTGGTGATGGGGAATATCGTCCTTCCAGTGAAGGAGAAGTACAATATATGGGTGTTCGTTTGGTGGGCTGGGAGTATCGGATCGTTCACCAGGTATGTGGGTGTTAGTACGAGGAGTGAAGCTGACGATTTTCGGGCAGGGCCTTCGCCCCGCTGAAGCACGGAGGGCGTACAGAGGGATATTCCGATGAGTGTGAAGCGATCTTCGCTGAGCCAGAAAGACGGAATGGACGATCTTTCAGAGAGATTGCACTTGATGTCCGTTCACCCAGTACACCAAGAATGATGGAAGGAAAAGTTGGTGTGGGATGGTGGGATGATATTGGGGCATCAGCCACGAAGACCGTACAGATTATTGCCGAAAGGTTCCTGCACGGGCCCTTTGTTGTTGTGGGCTAATTTCCCTGTGTAGATGGGGATCAGAGATCACCGGGCGTCTGACAATTTTGTACGCCTTGCTGGCATGCCCCCCTACTTTCAGTGGGAAGATTACCCCCAACCGGTGTGGCTCATAGCGGTGTACAATATACTGATTGGAGGGAAGAAGCTGGTCGATGCCGCTGACGGGTTCTTGATGACGACCTTGGAGGAACTAGTCAGTCTTCTTCTTTCAATACCTGCAGTGAGACTGAATGATTGATCGATATTTACAGGAGCCAGAAGGACATAAGGATATGATCCAGTGGGCTCGCCGTCATCGAGTCCTTTGCCTGGGTCCACAGCTTCCCGTGGCTTTGTTTTCTCAAGATTCGCAGACTTCTGCCGAGGCTCTTGCGAAGCTGGATGTCAATTACAACGCAGTACCGGCGGCTAGTGTTGCCAACCAGAATGGGAATCATATGACCACAGTGGGGATCAACGGGCACGTTTCAGTTGACCCTGCCATTGCTTTCCTCGATAGGTCGCTCGCGGAGTATGGGCAGCACAGCGCAATATACGTCTCATTCGGTTCACTCCTGTCCCCACATGAAGCACACATGAAGATTCTCATCGAGACCTTGCTGGCCTTGGAGAAGCCCATGCCGTTCATTATCACTAATGCCAGTGGAAGTTTGTCAGATGATCTCAAAGTTGCTACGGAAAAGAGCGGACGCGGACTGGTGGTCGCATGGGCACCGCAGCAGGCGATGCTCTCCCATCCAATAAGTGTTATATATGTGGTTAGGTTAATCATTTTCTAACTTGTTCGTGTTTCAGGGATTAGGGTGGATGATCACCCACTGCGGTGGTGGAGGAATGTTCGAATCTCTGTCTTCCGGTATGCCCGTTATCGCCTGGCCGTTCATGGGCGACGAACCCCAGCACGCGCTGTGGATTTCGCAAGTTCTTGATACCGGATTCGAACTGTTGCAGGTTCGCACTGGAGTCCCAGGAAAGCCTGGCCTGCGGAACGGCACTAGCATCCCAATTCTTGGCACAGCAGAAGCGATCAGGACCGAACTTCATGAGACGTTGCAGCGCGCGCAGGGCAAAGATGGGGCGAGGAAGAGGGAGAATGCGCAGAAGTTCAAGAATATGATCTCCAATGCGGTGAAGAAAGGCTGAAGTGCACAAAGAGCCTTGGGAGAACTTGGCTTCCTGTGATGAAGTCGGTCATATGTATAATGAAGTGTTGTCACAGATGACTATCTGATAATGAAAGACGTTAAGATGCCCTTACATACTCAGTAGGTACACTGGGCCAATAGTAACACGTTGGACGTGCTACTATCTAGTAGTACATATCACACGTAGTGTAGTCGAGAGAGTAAGAGAGAAGAGGGGCGACCTACAATCGCCCGCTACGTGTCAGTCTATCGGACGAGCCACAGGAGGCGGTGTCACCATAAAAGGTGGGTCTTGTGAGGAACCGTTGCAGGTATCCTGTATCCAGTAACTGAAAGGGAGAGTTTCTACATATGTTCATCCTCGTCGTGAATGTAGAAGGAGACTCGCGCAATAACGAAGGCTCGTTTGCAATAAATTTCTTGAAATGGATCAGAAGAGCTATTTTCCAATGCATGCGGTGGACGTTACATACACTGTTACAATTGTTTCGTAGAAACAGGAAACAGGGCAAGACACATGCATTACCTAATCCCTGATTGATAAGCAAAACATTCTTAAAAGTTCAACGCGACACTCACAAGGGCTTAGACGCTATCGACATGACAGCCTGATGCTCTTCACCCTTTCTTTATATTCCCTGCATCATCTATAACTCTGAATCTCCCTAGAAGCGTTGCATCTTATTTTACTATCCTGCCAATCGCGCGTGGTACGAGCAATGTTAGTGTGGCAGTCAACTTGGTGATACCCAGTCTGTCTTCTGGCAAGTCAGATAATGGTTCGCCACACCATACTCACACCTTTCTACGCCTGGGGACATCTGCGCCCTGAGTGTGCCCTGGCTGTTAACTTGCTGCGTCGATACACGGACTTGGTCATATGTGAGTTCCTCGCCCATCTCAATTCCCAATCTGATCACGGATGTAATAATAGCCTTCGTATGCGAGATTGGTTTTGTCAAACGCGCGAAGAATGAAATGTCACGACAATGCGTATCGGAGGATGAGCGAACCTCGCTCCTGTTGCGAATTCGTGTCATTGCATACGGTTATCCCCAGCCGCTAATGACGCCAGAACTAAACCAGATAGCCATGTCGATGGATCCGCGTGATGTTCACCATCCAACCTTGGAGTCATGTGCCGACGGAGTCGAGATGATGAATGAACTTATGATCGAATGCCCCTTCGTTGACAAGTTGGGTCAACGCTGGAGTCCTGTTGGGGAAGTGCCGAAGACTCTTGTTGCCGATGTCCTCATGGAGAACATCATCCTGCCCGTCAAGGCAAAGCACAATATCTGTGTGTTTGTGTGGTGGGTTGGAAACATCGCATCTTTCACGCGGTGCGTCTATGCTAGCGCGGATGAGTATGATTTCTGATCAATAGGCAGGATGTTTGCTCCTCTGAAGCACGGTGGACGGGTGGAGGGTTACGCCCATGAATGTGACGCGATCTTTGCCGATGAGGAAAGGCGGAATGGCCGGTCTTTCGACGACATTGCTCGTGATGTATGTTCACTGCTGCCGCATCATATGCCTGTCATTTCCTAATCCCCTGCGATAGATGTGGATTCGAGACCATCGCGTCCCTGGGGATCTGATCCGCCTCGCCGGCTTGCCTCCATACTTCCAATGGGAAGATTTCCCGCAGAATATCTGGGACCCATCGATTTACTCGTCCCTTGTTGGAGGAGGCAATCTGGTCGAGGCCGCGGATGGTTTCATGTTGCATACTGTGGAAGAGCTTGTGAGCATTTATTGAGGTGTATATGCCAGTAGGGCTCAATCTTTCTGCAGGAGATGGAGGCACACAAAGACATGATACAATGGGCTCATCTTCGTCCTGTGCTTTGTATTGGTCCTCAACTTCCGGCCGTTCTGTTGTCTGAACATGCCCGGATCTACGCTGAAGCTCTTGCCAGGCTGGATGTCCACTATCATGCATCCCTTGTCGTTGGTGCCGATCACGGTCACTCGAATAATGAGACTACTAGTTCGGGCAACGAACGCCACACGGTGGACCCTACGATTGCTTTTCTTGATAAAGCACTCATCGGGTATGGCCCTCACAGCGCACTCTACATATCATTTGGCTCGGTCTTCTTCCCGTCTGAAGCACACACAAAGGTACTAATTGAAACATTGCTGAACTTGGAGAACCCCATGCCCTTTATCGTCACCGTTTTGAGTGGAAATTTTCCGGAGATGCTGAAGGCCGCTGTGGAGCAGAGTGGGCGCGGATTGGCTGTTTCTTGGGCCCCGCAGCAGGCGATACTGTCTCATCCTGTGGGTATTACAGGTTTAGGGTTATCATCATCATTGATTAGTACTTCCAGGGCATGGGGTGGATGCTCACACACTGCGGCGGCGGGGGGACGTTTGAAGCTCTGTCTGCAGGTGTACCCGTTATCGCTTGGCCTTTTATGGGTGACCAGCCGCAGAACGCACTGTCGGTCTCGCAAGTGTTGGACACCGGATTCGACCTATTGCAGATTCGCACCGGCGCTCCCGGATCGCCTGCACTTCGTGACGATATCAACGCTGGTGGTACCACGATTCTTGGCACAGAAGAGGCGATCAAGAGCGAGCTCCGTGATATACTGGAACGTGCGCAGGGCAAAGATGGCGCGAGGAAGAGGGAGAACGCACAGAAGGCCAAGGCTGTTATCCTGAATGCCGTCAATCAAGGCGGAAGCGCACACAAGGCGTTCGGAGAACTTGACTTGCTACTGTGAAGGTGGTCATAATTATACAGCAATGGATTTCATCTTACTTAAACGTGACTTAGATGACTTGTTATGCTGCAACAGACGCTTTTGAACATCGAAGACCCGCCACGAGGAAGGACCAGACCCTTGGTCTTGTTTCGGACTTACGGCATCTGCTTATGAACGGCTTATCACAGCCCAGCCGGCGATATTGAATGATACAGTGAAACGACGTCGGTCACTGCCCGACACCAGTGTGATCATGCAGAGCTCTAGATCTATGCAACATCGAACAGTCAGGAGGGGATGGTACATATAAAACCCTCGCCCCAGAGCCGTCTACTAGCTTGGTCTCTTTCAGGGTTTTCAACACGGTTAATGACTCGCCACGCTATACTTGTGCCATACCATGCCTGGGGTCATCTACGGCCAGAGTCTGCTCTCGCTGTGACTTTGCTGCGCCGATACACGGACTTGGTTATATGTGAGTTGTCGACAGTACTCAATCCACGTTCTAATACTTATGCCCCAACTTCAGCCTTCCTATGTGAGGTCGATTTTGCCAAGCGTGCGAAGGACGAGATGTCCCGTCAGTGCATGTCAGATGAGGAGCGCAACTCGCTGCTCTCGCGCATCCGAGTCATCGCATATGGCTACCCTCAGCCGGCCATGACACCCGAGCGGACCCAAAAGAGAATGTCCATGGATCCTCGCGATGTTCACGATCCACTGATGGAATTTTGCATCGATGGAGTCGAGATGATTGATAAAGTTATGGACGGGCAGACGTTCGTCGACAAACTTGGTCAGGAATGGGGCCCTGTCGGCGCCGTCCCGAAGATACTTGTTGCCGATCTGGTGATGGGGAATGTCGTCCTTCCAGTGAAAGAGAAGCACAATGTATGGGTTTTCGTCGTGTGGCTCGGAAGTACTTCAGCTTTTACCAGGTACGTGTGTGCCAACGAGAGAAGTGTGGTTACTGATCCCGGCCTGATAGGCTTCTTGGCCCATTGAAGCACGGAGGACGCGCGGAAGGTTATGTCGAAGAATGTGATGCGATCTTTGCGGATGAGCAAAGGAGGAACGGGCGTTCTTTTAAAGACATCGCTCGTGAGGTTCGTTCAGTGCACCGGTCTTCTATTGTTGGTATGAACTGGCTTGACAGATGTGGATCCGCGACCATCGTGTGGCTGGGGATGTCGTCCGTGTTGTGGGCCTACCTCCCTACTTCCAGTGGGAAGATTTCCCTCAGCCAGTCTACCCGCCGCCTCTCCATACCTTCATGATCACCGGGGAAAAGATGGTTGATGCCGCGGACGGGTTCATGTTGCACACCGTCGAGGAACTTGTGAGCTTCTCGTTGAACATATATTACCAAGACACTCATTGTACATATACAGGAAATGGAAGCACATAAGGACATGATCCAATGGGTTCGTCCTCGTCGTGTGCTCTGTTTTGGCCCTCAGCTTCCACCGGCTTTGCTGTCTGAAAATGCGCATTCATCTGCTGAGACGCTTGCCAAGCTGGACGTTAACTTCAATGCATCCCCTGCAAGTGATCTTGCCGATTGCCGGAATGATGCCAGTAATGCAGCGGCTGGAGAGAAACTTGCAGTTGACCCTACCATTGCTTTCCTTGACAAGGCGCTAGAGAAGTACGGTGTGCACAGCGCACTTTACGTCTCGTTTGGCTCTATGCTCTTCCCGCCTGAGGCACACATGAAGGCGCTCATCGAGACTTTGTTAAACTTAGAAAACCCCTTGCCGTTTATCATCCCTATCTCGACGGGAAGCATACCGGAGGATATGAAGACCGCCATGGAGCAGTCAGGACGGGGGCTGGTGGTTCAATGGGCGCCACAGCAGGCGATACTCTCACATCCGGTAGGTGTCCCTTTCAGTCTAGAAACCGTCGTGACTTACGACTTATCTCAGGCTCTGGGATGGATGATCACCCATTGCGGAGGTGGAGGAATGTTCGAATCTCTGTCTTCAGGTGTCCCTGTCATTGCCTGGCCCTTCATGGTCGACCAGCATCAACATGCGCTCTGGATCTCGCAAGTGCTGGACACTGGGTTCGAACTATTGCAGGTGCGCACTGGCACTCCTGGGCGGCCCGCACTACGTGGAGACAACCCCGGCGGCATCCTGATCCTTGGCACAGACGAGGCGATCAGGAACGAAATCCGAGACACGTTGGAGCGTGCGCAGGGCGAAGATGGTCGGAGGAAGAGGAAGAACGCGCAGAAGGCGAGGGACGTGATCCTGAATGCGGCGAAGAAAGGTGGAAGCGCCCATAAGGCCCTGGGAGAACTGGAATACCTGTTGTGAATAAGGTTACGGTTACTTGGACCCACGGTGTGATGGTGTATGATAGGGCTGCGATTTTCAGGATGAAGATACAAGAATAGTCACAGACAGATGCTCTTGGTGACAGTCTGCGAATAGCTCGAGGTTTAACGACATGAATTGTTGCACAAGTTATTGATCATCGTCAGAAGTTGTCCTCGAATGGTAGTCAAATGGACAAACCTGTGTTGGTTGCCCTTATCTGTGTCGCGCGTTCGCGTCAGTCTTGCGCAACCCGCTTCATCTCCGTAATTATTCATCCTCTTCTTCTCTCCTCAATGCCTGGAAAACGTCAACACGGCAGTCGTGTGCAATGCTCCTTTATTTTCTGCTTGCTACGACCAGCTGCGACTGCCAAGGAAAGGTTAGAGTGAACGATGGCGAGAGACGATTATGTCGAGTCGCCTCCGGAGAGTCCTATCGATGAAGCAGAGGAGGTGGCCGAGCTGGCAGCAGTACCCGGGGCTCCTGTCGAGCGTGTGCGTTCACATCATCCTTTTCTCGGTTTACTTACTAGACTAACTCCTTCTGGAATTGTAGCATAATCCCCTAGGCCACAACGTCACCTTGCTGAGTGCAATCAACCTCAATTTTGGCCAAATCCTAGGTCATGGGATCTTCAGCATGGGTGGGGCCGTGTTGGCATCTGTCGGGTCTGTTGGGCTCTACTTCACCGCCTGGATCCTTGCGCCCTTACTGGCATATGGTGCGCTCGGTATACTTCTCATCCGGAGAGTGATTGCTCATGTGGGGCGTACAGTTGGTTTAATGGTCTACAGCGAATTGTCAAGCTACTTTCCTCTGCGATCAGGAGGATCCGTCGTATACCTTGAGCAGCAGTATCCAAGGCCGAAGTTCTTCGTGCCTATCGTATTCGCCGTTACCTCGACACTGCTCGCGTTCGTCCAAGGTGGCCTGTGAACACGCGTCGATACTGAATTCGTGCACAGTTATCATGCTGTTACGGCGATCGTTTTCGCCCAATACTGGCTTGTCGCATTCAGTTTGCCGATCACATCAACCAGCCAAACAGTCGTTGCAATAATCGGCACGACTGTCACAAGTGCGAGTGCGTCTCGCATCGTCTCATCACTAGCGTGCATATACTCACTTCACCCTGTACAGTTGCGTTGGCGTCTACCAAGTGGAGTTTAAGGATCGTCAACGTGTTCTCTATCTTCAAGGTTCTCTCCCTTATCTTGTGGGTATCTTTATCGTATACTGCTCACGTCATCTGACGCGGTACCCAGTGTGGTCATCACCGGCATCGTGGTCCTACTCGGTCTCACCCATATCAAAGACCCATGGACGCATTTCCAGCATCCATGGGCCAATTCCAACTGGGACCTCAACGGCCTCGCCAACACCCTCATCAAAACGAATACCGCAGTAGCCGGCTGGCACAATGCGTTCTTTGTGCTGGGTGAAGTGCGCTCTCACGATCCGGTGCGAGTCGTCAGCCGAGCGGGCTACATTTCCCTCAGTATCACGATTGTTTTGTATCTGTTGACTAATGTCGCTTATATCGCGGTCGTGCCGCCTGAGGAAATCAAGGCGAGCGGACAATTGGTTGGGGCGCTGTTTTTCAAGCATGTGTTCGGAGAGAGCGCTGCGGCCAAGATCTTACCGATTATGGTAACAGCGAGCTGTTTCGGGAATATGGTACGCTCGTCCATACTCTTAATCTTGTCATCTGTGGCTTATATACACGTAGATTGCGGTTGTAGTAGGCTCTGCACGCGTCTTACGTGAGATCGCACGCCAAGGCCTCCTCCCCTGGCCCGCATTCTGGTCCACCTCACATCCCTTCGGCACCCCTTCCGTACCAATCATCTTCAAATGGTTCCTCAGCGTGCTCGTCATCCTCCTTCTCCCAGCAAAGGACGCATTCAACTTTCTACTTGATCTGGCCAGTTACCCGTTTCTCGTGTTCGGCGCGGCGTTCACCTTTGGAATCTGGCCTTTGAGAGAAAGGATGAAGAAGATGGGACTGCCGAAGTGCAAATATGAGATGTGGGACGTTTTCATTGTGCTGTACCTCTTGTGGCATGCATTTTTGCTTGTGATGCCTCTGTAAGTTGTTGCTTGAGGTTGAATGGAGACGCGTTCTAATGCTTTACAGGGTACCGCCGGAAGATGGTCAGGGAGATGTCTCTTTCTGGTATGGTACCTACTGCGTAGTGGGTATGGGTGTCTTACTTGTGCGTCTTTCTCTGGCTGTCCGTTATCTTATCTGACACTTCACTAGTTTTCTGCACTTTTCTACTATGTGTATATTGTCTATCTGCCCAAGCGGGGCGGCTACGAGATCGTGGAAGAGATAGAGGACTTGCCAGACGGCGCAAGGAACGCGCGTCTAGTGAGAAGATACAAAGCTCAGGAGGCGTCGACAGAGAACGAACCTCTTCTCTCATGATCCTACATTTCAACTATAGACCTCTCTCGTCAAAACCTCTATACCTCACGTTGTATGTAATACATATGGAATGCTCGACTTTCTACGATGCACATTTTTAGCTACATTAGATTAACTTGTGAAGAAACATGAAATGGTCCAGCAAATACATACAGGAAGTAAAAATGACCAATAGCAACGCGCATTGACACGAAAGTCTTCTGGTCGAGGAAAGAAGAGGATTGATACAGGTGAGGTCGTGGGTTTGATGTTGGGTCAGATTGCGTTGCTATGTCATGCCGTTCTGGAGAACATCAGAGTTGTATATCGTTGCGTCTGGCAGTATGGGCCGCCCGTAGCGGTCTAGCATTCGCGAAGGAGGTCGAATGGATCGATTGGACGACTCGTCTCGGGATGGACGGGGAAGGGTGGGTAGAGAAAAGGGCAGAGACGGAGTGCAGAATCGATTGTTCGCGAGATTGGATGGTTACGAGAATGAGTGCAGCCGAGGGGCTTGATGAGAAAGAAAACATGATTGGTGTGCTGGCGACAAGGTAGGATCCGGAGTCCGTGCGGGTGCGGGGAGCAAAAACTCCGAGCAATGATGGGGCTGTTTTAGGAGCGTTCTCGGGTTCAGACCGCTCCATTAAGTATCCTCATGGGTATGTCGCATTCACATCACAATCGTCTCTTCCCAGTGTCAGGACAACATTCAAGACTTCTAGTTGTGCGGCGAAAGGATGGGCGTTTGACGTCGGTTTTTTGTTTCAGCCTGTCATCCGCACCCAAGACCCCGTCAATTTAGACTGTCCCTATGGCGATTGCTTTCTGCGATTTCTTCTTTGTTTCTTTGTTTCTGAACGACTTCGCTGGCCGCCCGAGACCTTCTAGAGACGCCGTCAGAATTGAGTTAATTCCTCCGATGACCCCAATTCAGAGGCAAAATCGCCCAAATGGCCCTCCGGGCTCAATTTCCCTCAATGACCCCTCTGGAGCGGCGTTAGGGACGCATTTGGCTTCTGAAGTGATAACATGCACCCAAAAGTGCATATATCAATGAAATTGAAAATTACAGAAACAGTGAACAACAAAAGTAACAAGCACACAGTAGACAACAGTGTTATTTTCCTCTTTTTTCTCCCTATTACTGAGAGGTCTCTGTCAAATCTTGTCAATTGCACTGGACATGGAAAAGGGTCCTGGTTTCAGCCTGCAAAGTACTTAAAAGTAAGAATTCAGCACTTCAAGTGCAGATTCTGTTTATGGGATGAAATCAAGCATGTCTGAATCCATGCTTATGGACCCTTCTCCACTGCCACCAAGGGTCCCATAATGGTGTGTCATGCCAAACTTGTCTAAGTCCATCTCACTCTCTCACCACCATGTCCAGATCCTCCTTCTCTCACCACCACCACCACCACTCCCACCACCACTCCCACCACTCCATCTGCACCCTCCCCCTCCCCCCCCCTCCTCCCACACCAATACTCCCCTGTCTCACACTTGATTGAGCACATGCTCCAGCATCTGGCAAGCAAGATATATGCACTTGTATGTGATGCATTTCATTCAGAAAGGACTTGCTGACACTGCACCAGGACCAGGAACATGGTGCTTTGATTCAGGAATGGTGGGGATGACAAGGAGCATTATGATGATGATGATAGCAATGACAATGAGAGCACTCTAGTATTATTATATTGAAATGTATTAATAAAAATATCAACAATTCTAAAGCACTGAAATCAACAATAAATATTGTTTTTAAAGTACTCTCAATGAATAATTTCTGGGGCTCTTTATCATGCCTCATATAGCCTGCCTTGTTCCATTAATCAGGCTCCCAGTTGTGGTTTTTAGGGAATAAAACTAAGTACTTTTTGGTGTCCCTGTGTCTGTGACTTGCAGGACCCCAACTTTGTTCTCTTAGCATATGTGCCCTATTTTAACTTCAGAAGTGCAAATGTATCCCTAACGCCATGCCAGAGGGGTCATTGAGGGGATACAGGGTCCTGAGGGCCATTCTGGCAACTTTGCCTCTGAATTGGGGGGTCATCAGAGGAATTAATTTGTCAGAATTTGTGGAAGACCACATGTCACGTGTCAGTGTCCAGGGGCTGCTTGTTAGGGCAACACAGGCTGACTAAGTCTGCTCACCTAAGAGTGCCAAGAGTCTAAGCAGGCAACAAGGAAGTGGAGTAGACCTGATGACTAAGACCTATCTACAGTATAGGTACCTGTGGATGATCCTAAGAGACCAAGTCTGAAGAGACAGTCCCCAGGCAGAGTAGGCCTTATATTTATACCTCTGTGGTGGAACCTGCTAGAACATCTTGCTTACTCAGCCTGGTCAGGTGGTCAGGTCATATGACCAAGGATGAGGTCATATGAGGTCATGCACAGCCATGCACAGCAGGTCACCTGACCATCCAATCCTTCCAGCAGGTTCCAGCACATGCCAAGGTATACCAGCTACTTCCATGTCATGAAGGCTTAGTCATGTCTCTTGACCAAGCAATGAGCTGGTGCCCTGACACACTCCTCCATTGACTTTGCCATTCTGGTACATAGACAACATGACTGGAAGTGCATGTGTTCCATTGCTGATGAGAAGTCTGGTACAGCATTGGTCAATTGATGTGCATATACCTGGCTTCTGAGACTTACTTGTATTGGACAGGGTCCACTTCTTGTCCATTCACAGACACATGTTTGAGAGACATGACTTGTACAATAGCCTTGTCAGGAATTGTCTGTTCAGTCAACAGAGATCAACAGAAAAAAGGTGTCAGTCCAGTAAAGTTCAGGGCCATGATAGCAAGACAGTTGACAGTAATGACATGGGCAGGTGATTGTCAAGAGAAGAAATGGGAGAGTATGGGATTTGAATCCGGATTATATATATATGTTTACCATATGTGGAGCGGAAATAACCAACCGGTTGGGCGTCGGACTTTATGTTTAGGGGGTCTTTTCTGCCAACTCACATCTTCCCCTTTCGACCAAATATGACCTTCCTCTTCTGGCCGTCTACTCGACTTCATACAGGCTGTCGCATACTACACCCCTGTCTGTAATCATCCTGGACAGCATAGGCTTTATGATTTTATTATGTGACTTGTCTCATACTAACTGCGTCACATACAGTCACAATCAAGACCACGACTCGATCCTGACCGTTTCGTCCTCATTTATTCTCGCTGTTCCGCTCAACCACAGTCTCATCAATACTACCCGTTTTTCATACTGGATATGTCATATATTGACATGCTTCCTGACCTCGGCGACGACTATAATCATTCGCGTCGCCCTTCAAGCCCTGTCATTGTACGTGTTTGTCAGCATATATTGAAGTTATACTGACAGAGACGAGTTTACAGTCTATGCCTGTTCCTAACTCTGTTTCCTCCGGTCTTATCATCATAACCGTCGGCGTCGGAACAGATACCAATCCTGTAACCCTATCCTGCAATCATACAAACACCGACAAAGTATCAGTAACAAACACAAACATGTCATCCAATCTTATGAAGAGGAAAGAATCACCTGTCATAACGACCAATACCAGAGTATCAAAGAGAAGGGTGACTGAACCGGACGAACTGGACGAGGACGGAATACCATTCGTCGCGCAGTTCCCTGCCAAGTCTAAACAACGCAGGTCGTCTGTCAGCCGGTCGACAACGGTATGTTCATACCGGCTAATATGTATTTGATTCTTATTGCATGCGACAGGGCCAGACCCGTACAAAATCGTCAATATCCGTCCGTCACTCACAAAGTTCTGTACGATCTGGCGATACTGTTCGTACCGCTCCTACATACATTGTCTCTTCTCGACCAATCCCACTGTCTGAGTGCGCTATACGCATACAGTCATACTTGGCAAACATTGACGATACTTACAGGATTCAAATACTTTCTGAAACATACATTTTTGCAGAAATGATTGAGACAGCGACTGGAAAAGGAAAAGACAACGACAAGGAATCCGAACTTACCGTACCTGCTCCAGACGCTTAATGATATCGTATTGTTCTCTCGAAACAGTGTTTTCTACCGTGTAGTCCATTAACTGTATGATCATAACAATTATGACTACAGATTGTATGTAACAAGTGTGCGGTCTGTCAATGTCAGTGACTCTACCAAGGTCCCAGGACTGCGCGGAGCGCCCTTCTATTCAGTTGCACGTGGGCTGCAATGAGCGGAGGCAAACACGGAGGCATGTTTGAAATCTCAATAGAGTCGCGAACTCGGCGATGCATTGTATGAGACGTCGAGGAGAAGTAAAAGGACGACCCTGGAGTCACGCTCAACGTCGACAACCACAGAGAAGATATTTCTCCCCACTCTGTCCTTCTACGTTGTCTAGCACGTCCCTCTGGTGGAGACAGCGAGCACCCTAGATCTTAACGCCGCCCTGAGCTGTTTCTGCACTGCTCGTCCGGCTCTTTGTTTTTCAGACCACAAGAATCTCCTCGGATTTACAACGATTGCGCACGCAGTGGATCCCCCGCCTGCCCGTGAGGGTAGGCCTCAGCAGTTTCGAAAGACAATGTCACTGCGTGGTCCTCGTCCAGCCGGGTCCAAGGCATCTGTCCAGTCGACCTCGGCGTCCTCCTCAATGACCCCTTCTCCTGGTGCATCTACTACCCTCACAGCTGGTATGAGCATCTTCACACCGGATACCAGTGTCACATCCCCTCCGCCAGCATCGTCATCGACAATGACTACCCCGTACTCACCATACTCTGCTGTGACGACTGCCACGGTTCTGGCCTCTCAGCAATCGCAGATGACACCCGTCAGCGCCTCTCGGACCCGGAACTCGTCTATTTACGGAAAATGGGAACCTCTTTCCTGCATCATATACGGTGTCGTCTCATACCCCTTCAATATCGCTCAGCAATCCCAATCGCTAGCGCGCTCGGCGTCATCTCGAAGACCCGTCACAAGGGTCAACGGTGCCGTCGCTAGGAAGCCAGTACCCGGCGCCGGGAGCGAGGACCAGAGCCATCTAGCTCCGCTTACGGAGGACGACGTAGGAGAGCGAGAGGGCAGAGACTGGAGCGAGTTTCAAGGTGTTGAGGTTGGTGATGAAGTATATGCGTTTGAGAGATACGTCAAGAATGAGGGATCCCACGTGTGGTATCGAGGGTATGTTCCGCAATGCTCTCTGGCCAAAATCCATCACTGATAAGCGCATATATGCAGGTATGTCGCACGATATCCAACTGTGCCCCCATTAGCAACCAGCGCCTCCTTACTTGGAGGGCAACCGACCCGAACTGTACCGACCGGGGTACTGGATAACCCCGAAGTCTTCGTCTCCCTCTTTCCAGCCAGCATCATCCACGTCCGTGACCAACTGAACGATTACGATGAAGGCAAGCTTGCCGACGCCTACCGATCCTTGCGCGCTGGGATGGATGCCCCGGGAGGCTCAATCCCTGGTCTGACAGGACGGCCAATGGAAACGCTCAAGGAGGAAGATGAGAGTGTGGACGGTTCCGTCGTCACACCAGGAGATAAGAAAGCCTTCCGTGCCAGTGTCAGCTCGCGGTTCACTAACCATGCGCCGAACGGCACTCTCATACGAACCAATCACCCATCGGCCATCCCGCATCCTGCAAGCAGTGTGGAGAAGCCACCGCGACCGTTACCAAGTTTTAAAATTCAAGACGATACTTCCTCTGGAGCAGAACAACCCCTAGTCGACGAAATCGCAGCAGCGTTGCGCGAGTGGCATGCGCTGTTGTATGTCTATCTAAGTCGGCGCGACTACCGCTTGTTCCAGATCGTCCAGGGCCACATCGAGGCTTTGCACCTTGGTCGGCGGCAGTTGCTCGCCAACACCCTCGGTATGGAGGAGACAATCAATTTGCGGCGGGAATGCGTAGCCCGCCTTGTCAAGGGCAACGTTGTTCAAGGCTTGGATGTAATCGTTCGACACCCGGCATGGGGTGGCCTGGTAACCGTTGACGTGGAGGATGATGTCGACGCCCGCTCATGGATGAGTGCTGTGCGCATGTATGCCATGCAGGCGTCTCTCGCATACACCGACGCCTCTCCCGGTGGCGGGCCGTTGTATAACTTCAGGGGCTCCGCCCTGACCAACCTGAAGGCTCTAACTGCTGCGGCGAATTCACCTTTACCTAGTGCGCTGTTCTCACCACCCCCCATGAGCCTGCACGGCCGCCAAGGCTCCGAAGAGATTCTAAGCCCGACCGCCCGGTACCTCGAATCGAAAGGGAAGCCACAAACCGGAGCAAAGTTTTACCACGTCTTCCTTGAGCTGCGCGCGTTTGTAGCAAGTATATGCGCGCCAGGTGAGACAGTCGAACTCTACTTCAGCTTGTACGACAAATCTGCCAACCCGCCCCGGTTCCTTACTGAAGAGTTCTGCACTGTGCTCAATCACCGTGGTGTAGCTGCAAGGGAGTGGAACGAGCAGGGTACGATGGGCCGCATGCGCACGCTATTTACCGAACTGGGGGAGCATGATGTGCAGGAGGCGATCTACCTCGTCTGCCGGATCATTCGCAGTGGCTCACTGAAAGCTGGTCAGGAGGCGAGCAGCTCCGGGGCTAGTGGGCGCAGGGGTTCATCAGACCTCTCGAGCATGCTTGCTCCTACTAGGGGAGATGACACCGCAGCCCAATCGCAGACTGGAACGAACTCGGTTGGGGGACGCGCAGTCACGCCGTTTGGCCTGCGAACGGCTGAGAGCCAGCCGACCTACTTTAGGAGACCATTTGGATGCGCGGTGCTCGAGCTGAGCCAGCTTACGAAGATGAGCGCGGACAAGAGCGACACGAGCAATTTGCGCGAGCATGTCATGCCTATCTTTGTCCCTGCAAATGAGGGCGCATTCACCACTCTGCATCAGGAGATAATCGGCAGTCGGACAAAGGAGTTCGATAAATCTCCGAGGTATGTTCTTTCTTCCTCGTATCTAATGCCAAGCTGACGCGCGCAGGGCCGAGCGATTAGGGGTTAATATCAAGGTGTTCTTTGGGGATGCCAAGACTATCATCCGAGAAAACCCGTCTCTATTGCACGAGACACCCATCACATATCGCCTTGGTTTCCCAGATGTGGTCTTCCCGAGTGACGTGCGAAATGATGTGTACATCAAACTCTGGTCTGGCGAGTTCATCAGTGGTGGACTGACCACTGCCACTGGCGTATCCGCCCTTCGTCAATCTATCTCGCGCGGCGCAAGCGGTAACATTCAAGTCACCATTGAGGTGAGGACCGCTGCTGGTGCAACCGTGGAGGGTTCAATTAGCAAAGGAGCCGGTGAACCACCGATGACTTACTTCCACTCCCTCGTGTTCCACAAGAATAATTCACCAACCTTCGGTGAATTGCTCAAACTTCAGCTTCCACCCGACCTCCTCCAGAGTTGCCATCTCTTCTTCACCTTCCGGAACCGCCGAGTTCCGGATCGTATCAGTACAACTATCAACACTGCGACACGCAGTACCTCGACGGATGTGGCGGATCGACCTTTCGCATTCGGTTTCCTCCCGCTGTTCCCTGACGGCAAGGCCTTCGTGAAAGATGGAGAACATGTTTTAGTGCTGTACAAGGCCGAAAAGCTTCAGCAAATTATGGCACCAGACTACCTCGATGGGCCTTGGTCTTGTGCAGATAGGACCAAACTCGAACAGATTGTCGTGCCTCCAAATTTGGCTAAATCTGCAACCATGACAAGGGATTCGCTCATCATCAGATCATACCTTTGCTCGACGCGCTTCACGCAGAACTCTGTCTTACTCGAGCTTCTGGCCTGGGAACAGCTGTCCAGTGCCCAGCAAATTCTTGCCGTGCTCTCAAAATTTACTTTTGGTGGTGAAGGAGAGATCGTAAAGTTCCTGCGCGACATCTTCGACTCGTTATTCGCTATCCTCGTCTCTCCCCATAATCAGCACGGCGATTTAGATGATGCTGTCTTCAATTCCCTTGTCACCGTTCTGGGTATCATCCAGGATCGTAGGTTCACCAACTTCCAGCCTGTGCTGGAGGTTTACATAGACGAACATTTTAGCTGCGCGCCTGCCTCCTCGCACCTCATCCATTCTATGAACCGCCTTCTCGCGAATCCGGCTGGAGCAGAAACCGCAACCAAACTACGGTCGGCTTTCAAAGTGTGGCACTACCTTTTCCAATTCGTCATGCGCGCTCGGGCCCTTCAGAAGAGCAAAGAAGTCGGGATGGGTGCCACTGCTGAACATCTCGAAACCCAGTTTAAGAAAGAACTTCGACAACATCTAGCCGAGATCAATCGGCTAATGTCACTTTCCGTACCCGCATCCATCGGTACACAAACCTTCGCACTGCAAAACTTCACCTCCATTCTTCCCGATCTGGCAGAAACCTTCAGCAGTACCGAGCTCGTGGGCATTGCCACCGGATTTGCCAACTCCATTGTTGCTTCTCGGGGTCCGAATGTCATATGGAAGTTGCTCATGTATCTCCAGCTTGTTCAAGGATTCCTCTTCGATGACCCCCTATCCCGAACACCACTCATCGAGTCAGTTGTGAGCTGGGTCAAACCACACTTCGGCAAATATGACGAGTACGTGCATGTTCAAGCAGGAGAGTCCGAAAATGCGAAGGACAAGGCGCGTATTCAATGGCTAGAAGGCACTCGGCTTTGCGTTACCATCATGGCGATAATGCTGGACAAGATTGACACGAGCTTGGTGGATCCAGCCGTACGTGCTGACAGAAAGGCGTATAGAGAAGAACAAGACAATGTGGAATATATGCTGCCACTCCTTCCTAAGTATGTCATTCGAGGGATTTCCAACACTGTGCTGAACTATTTACTAGAATCCTTGAATCATACCGGGAGCTGCAAAGCACAGCTTCTCGACAAACCATCGCCCGCAGCAAGTCTGTGATAGCTACGGGTTCGTTGGCCCCGGTCGTCTTCCCTGCTTCATATCCTTTTGCACTAGTTGCCAGCAGTCCAGCGGCTTCTCAGGGGTCAGGATATAAGAGCCCTATCATAGGCGCAGACTTCAGTACCTTTTTCAACTCCACTCTGGCAGAAACAGCCATAGTCCTGCTTGTCCTCATTCTGTCAGCCTCGCCGAAGTATCTTCTTGGTTTCTTCGAGTTCTTGCTGGAAGTCGAAGGCAATGAGAACTTTTCCCGTTTCCTCTCACAATTCTTCAAAGTCGCAATCTCCATTCTCAGCAACGAGGCGTTTCCAAGCACCTGGCTCAACGTGAATATCCTCGCGCATAAAGTCATCTTGAAAATCGCAGCTCCCATTTCCGATGTCCTGATACGTCAGTATATCCCGGATCAAAACATGACCTATCAATTCAATTCGACCATGTGGCAGGATGCATTGCTCATGTTGTTCAAGCTCATGTCAAGCCCGCAACTGCTCATTGAAGATTTCAGCCCTCAGAAGCGGCGCGCGGTGTGGCGGCTCGCCGGTGACCTCCGCGTCGAAGGCGCGGCTATTATTACCCGGATGTGGGATGCTCTCGGATGGCCAGAACAGGTTTCAGCCGCGAATGGCGTTATCGGGCGATTCGGAGGGTATCAAGTTGCTTTGGCCGGTCTGGTTGATCAAGTGCTAGGGTTGTGTTTGTCGCACCACGATGAGCTTCGCAATGCCGCAGTCGAGATACTATACAGCATGATCGTCTCTGCATTTCGTCTGGAGGGCCATTTCAACGCCATTGAAAACGAACTGATCAACACACTCGACAAACTCTTCATGTCTGATGTCAAGGGCGATCAGATCGCACGTGACTTCTTCATCGGCCATCTTCGGTCGCTGTTTGAAGCATCAAATATCGACGAGGCCCTCCGTGAGCGCGTGTCCGATTTCCTCGAGTCTGTTGATCTATTCCTGGAGCTCTTGCTCAACGTTCGAGAACTTCCCGACGGCGATGAATATCAGGATGATCGTGTGATAGCAACCTTACGTTTGATGAATTTCATTCGTCGGATTGGGAGAGACGAGATCTACATCAAGTATGTCCATCAGCTAGTCAACGTAAGTTACCCCATTTCATCCGTTTCTTCCTACTCATGTTCTGCTAGATGCACCTTCAAAGTCAGAATTTTGTTGAAGCAGCATTGACTCTCAAATTGCACGCTGACTTGTATGATTGGGACATGACGAGCATTGTCGACCCAATGGAGGAGTTAAATCTTCCTCGCCAATCCCACTTCGAACGGAAAGAGATGCTATCTCTCCTTGTGCTTGATTATCTGGGCAAGGGTAAGGCCTGGGAGATTGGTGTGGAGATCTGCAAAGAGCTGGCGACTCAACATGGGGAGGTCACCTTCAATTAGTAAGCGGTCATCATCCTCGTGTGGGTCTCGAAAGCTCACAATGGAGCAGTCAAAAGCTTTCCGAGATACTGATGCATCAAGCCACATTGCTAGATCGCATTGTGAATGATCAGCGTTATTATCCCGAGTACTTCCGCGTTGGCTTCTATGGTAATTTCCCTGCTGCTCTGCAAAACAAGCAATTCATCGTGCGTTTTATTCTGCAAAAAAACGGTAACAAGCACTGACGCGCTAACAGTATCGTGGGTATGAATGGGAGAAGTTCGGCGCGTTCTGCGAACGAATGCTGAACAAGCATCCTGTCGCACAATTGCTGAAGCCAAATGTGACACCCAACGAAGAGATTATGTATGGATCAGAGCAGTTCATCCAGTGTGCAGTCGTAGTTCCGGAGCCCGACCGAAGTCACGTAGTCTTCCTCAACCCTGACGTACCTGCAGCGGTCCGGAACTATTATGAGCATAGCGAGATAAATCTCTTCAGCTCCTCCCGGCCCTTCAGCAAAGAGGGTGCTTCAAGCGTATCCTCCGAATTCCGGGATCGCGACATTTGGGTGGAGAAGACGTACTTCCGAACTGAAGCCGCCTTTCCTACCGTTCTCAGACGATCAGAGATTGTCGACTCCAACGTTGAGGAAATATCGCCCATCGAGGTTGCTCTGAACGATGTCCTGCAGAAGACCAAAGAGCTCACGAATCTGGAAGTCCGGTATAACAACATGTCAAGGACTGAACAACCTATATCGACAAACGCACTCTCAATGTCACTTAACAGTGCTGTTGATTCACCCGTCAATGGAGGCGTCGGACTCTATCGGCAAGCCTTCCTCGGTGCAGATTATCTACCACTTCATCCTGAAAACGCAGCTTTGGTTCAAAGATTACGAGACGCCATTGATGAGCAAGTTCGTGTCATCGCCCGTTGTCTGCAGCTTCACGGCCGCCTTTGCCCTTACGAGATGCAGCCATTCCACCAGACTTTAGAGAAGTTCTTCCGCAAGAACTTCTATGAAGAGATACAGAGGCTTCCAGCGGTTACCACCGCAGAACTCAATGGCGTGGGGACTCATGCAGGAGAGCTGTTCTCCCCCGCGACTGAAGTCTTCGACGGGATGTCTGACATCACGAGTCTTGGACCGGACACACGCAAGCGATCAATGTCATCGAGCCAAGCCATCTCCCTTCCACCCATCCAGCCTGTCTCGCACATCCCCCTCAATGCGTCAATGTACTCGCGTAGCTCGGCGTCCATGGACGCGCATCGGCCAGAAGATCTCTCCGTGGTGACAATGACGCTGACACCTCTCCAGCGACAAATAGCTCATTTGTCAAGAAACGGCATTCAAGGATTATCGGCAGGTCCAAATGATCGACAAAGTGAGGAGCCGAGCTCTCCGAACGCCTCAACTGTGAATGTAGTAGAACCCTCCCTCCCAGTCCCTGCTACACGAACATCTTCTGTGCCGTCGCTCAATTCCCTCAAGAAGTCGACGTCTCGGCTTTCCAGACTTGGTCCCCTGAGCTGGGGGCGAAAGTAGCTCTCGATCGCATATTTTCATTTACCTTCGCCCTCGCCGCTCGTTTACTCACCTCATTTCGCAAATAGTAATGTAGCACGTAAGTCTCATTGAACCCTTTGGTATACCCTGCGATACCTCGCATATTCAATCTGACATTCCCCGTTGTCTGTCGTTAGATATCTCCTCTTTTTCATGGTATTGATATTGATAGTAATGCTACAACCTGTTGTGCCATTCTGTCACGTGGCCCATTGATCTACAAGAGGATGTTATCGCTTGTGTGTCGACGCATGTTCTGTGAGATGATGAGGAACAAGAATAGAGAATCATCGGTCAACGCACCTCGCCGTGTTGCGTCCTCTAAAAGCTGTGTGTCCACTGCAGTCGCTGGTATTTGGACATATCGTACCACAGAGCCCCGAATAAAGCAGTTCTTAACGGCCATCTGCGGGCAAGTCAGCATTGGTGCCCTGCAAGGCAACGGTGGGGCGTACCATGTGTGGGTGTTTCTCGGGATCCACAACAGATATCTTGTCCAGTCGAATGTTCAGAAACCTGGTCCAAATTAGCGCTGTGCATGCGGTCGCCTTCAGGAACAGCAAGCAATGGACCGCTACGCACTGGTCAACCGACTTGAGTGTGCCCGTGATGCAGAGGTCGTTCTTCAACTCGACCGTTACGATCTGATCGGTCAGTGTCTTGAAGACGGAAAAGATCAGCTGTATGCGCCATCAGTCATATTGTCTCTTCATCATGCGACACTTGGCAGCTCACCATGTTAACAGATAAGTGAAGCGATCAGACTGTTGGTGGTGGTCTTTTCGAGAGGCAACGAGACGCGAAATGCCTCCGTTTAGGTTATCTTCGGTGAACGGTTGAGCGCTCTTTCACTACCGCCCACCATGCTTTTCTGTCCGAACTGTTCCAATATCCTCATTATCGCCGCTGATACAGGAGTACGTAGAGCGATTGTTCAATACATTCATCGTATTTAACGTATTCTTTAGAGAAATAAATGGAGATGTCCAACTTGCCCTTATGAATTCCCCATTCATAAGCAAATGTCTTCCCGGACACGACTGAAGCGAAAAGAGGTCGATGACGTTCTAGGTGGAGAAGCCGCATGGAAAGATGCTGATTCTACTTCTGGTTGGTCTGACACTTATTTGACTAGAGTTATTCCTTATGATCTTCGCAGCTTCATGCGAGAAATGCGGGAACGACAAGGCATACTTTATGCAGTTGCAGATCCGAAGTGCCGACGAACCTATGACAACTTGTGCGTTGACCGAAATTTTTGGCAAGGGTATGCTGACCTCTATTAGTTTATCGGTGTACAAGATCGACCTGTGGTCATAACTGGCGTGAAAATTGAGCGCGTATCCGGCGAAAGGTGTCCCTTTTTTCCGCCCTTCTCTCATCATCTGTGTACACCATCTGTCTCGATCCATGCGACATTCTCAATACCAACCTTAATTCGATCCATCAATTCGCTACCAAATCTCATTTTAAAGTGCGTCTATATACCAGACTTCTTCCTGGCCCATACAAAGTGCTCATTGACGTACAGTTTGTTGTTCTGGTCGAGTACCTTCTTGATCATGGCTTCAATAACCTCCTTCGTCAGCCCGAACTCAACTACTCTCCCATGCAGAGACCGTGACGCATCAATGATTCCCTTTCGCATTCCTTCTCCAAATCCGTGCAGCGATTCGTCTTTCGGTCAAGGACCCATACAAGCGGGGACGACAATCTCATGCGGTTCGCTGAACTTCTTGCTCGCTGAAATTAACGGAGCAAGCAGTGGCCCTGTGCCCAGGAACACCCTCACGCTCTTGCAGTAGCTCCACCAGATCACGTCCGACCTCGTCACTTCGGTAGGCACTGGCTTTCCTTCCGCTTCAAATCGGTTAGCAGGATCGACGGCCATTAAAATCCCTTCGGGCGCCACAATATCGATAGCCTTATTGAGGACAATCTCAAAGTTGGGAGTATGCATTAAGAGGAATCGGCAGTGGACAATATCGAATGTATTGAGCGGAAAGGGCCATTCATCCTTCACGACGTTCAGGAATCGAAACGTGAAATTCGGTGGACCGTTCCTGCGAAATCATTCATGTTACGATCTGCGAAAGAGAATGTCATGCCTTACTCTATCTTTGATTCCACAATATCCACGCCGATCATTTCGGCCTCAGGGAAGAGTTCTGCCACCTCGACTGCCCAACCCCCCGATCCTACCCCAATGTCCAAGATCCTCTTTCACGGGCCACTTCGCACCTTGATGGTTGCCGCCAAAGTATGCCTTAATCGCACAGTGTTGTGCGTTTAGACGGTCCCACTCCCCTTGGTCATTCCCGACCTGATCGAGTTAAGCTCTTGTGACGCCGTGTAACCTCGAACGACAAACCGGAAAGAGATACGGCGTCTCGGCCTTGTGGTACTCTCGCTCGCCATTCAGTCCACCGCCGTTTGAGCCTTTCATCCCCTTGTCTACATCGTTCTTGACAGTCATCGAGAAAACAGCGTGAGAGACCAGTCGGGCTTGGAGCAAATGGTGTGAGCACCAACTGCTGGCATCCACGTCCCACTCTCGTAGCCCAGCGCCGGAAGATGCGGATCAGAAGTATGCCGGTGCCGTAATGTGAGGTCTAATCGGCCGCAGGAGGCTGTCTACATCTGGCATTCGCCCTTCCGGAAGTGTTCAGCCCTCGGATAGCCGCTGGGTTCCCTTGATTATCCCCATCCGATCATTCTATCGGGCCTTTTTCTGTGATCTTTCCCATCGCAGGTATAAAGGACTTTCCTAATGGGAGCCAACTATCTGCATTGGTACACAACAACTAAACGCCTGATGCAAACAAGGCAACAAAAGATACATGCAGGATTACATTCTGGCAGATACAATCGCGAAATCAACAATCAAAATCCCAAACCATCACGCTCTCCTCGCCGCTTTCCCCAGCGTTCGGCTCCCAGAGTCCAACGATCCTAGATTGGTCCGTTCGCACTTCGCACACCGTCCCTCTTCTACTCTGACCCTTGCTACTGCTAGCGGCTGAACCTTCTCCCAGCTTCGTGTCGTGCACGCCCCCAGAAGGCAACGGAAGCATGACTCCCTCCCTCCTCCCTCTCTTCCCTCCAACGCTGAGATCGTACACCACTACCCCACTCTCGGTAGCGACGATACATCGTCCAGTCTGGGCATGGACTGTTAGTGCCTGAGGTATGGCCCGAGTCGATGTGGAATTGGTGGTCGCAGAAGGAGGTTGGAGGGGGATGGGAAGTGGGAGGGAGCTTGCGTGGAGAAGGTGGACTGAGCGGGGTGGGAGACGGTAAACCTGGTAAGAAGTTAGCATCGCCTTTCATGGGATAGGAGAGGAGATATGCAGAATGGGAGTGAAGATGCCAGAGGGTGTTAAGGGACAGACCGAGGGCAGACTAACACAAACAGCGCACAAATAGCAAGAGAATACACGCACATTCACAGCGCCATCCCCAAGGACCGCCACAACCTTCCCATCTCCCGCCACACCTCCCACACCTCTCAATTTTCTCACCCTCGTCTCTTTCCCAACCTCGTCCCCGGGCCCAGTCCCGTCTTCATCTGAGCCTACAGGACTGTCTTCTGGGAGGGCGCTGGGTAGCCAGTTGCTGACTGTCCAGCTCTGGGAGGGGACGATGTCCCCTTTGGGCGGTTGTGACCTGTTTGCGCTGGGAGAGAGTACGGAGTTGCTGGCCATGCTGTGAGAAGGAAGAGAAGGAAGGGTGATAAGGAACTGGTGTGAAGTTGGTACCCAGTGGGCAGGATAAGCGGGTAGAAGATGATGTAGCGTCAACTTGAACTTCTCTTCCGGCAATTTCTGCGGCGGATTCTTGCTTCTTTGTGCAGAGGAGAGAGAAAGTGCCGCGGGGGGAAAGGAGGAGAAACTGTACAGAGAATGGACGAGATTCAGCTGCTGCACCTCCCTTGTTCCGGATACGGCAGAGGGAGGAACATGATAGAGATGTAGGGTGAAGTTGCTGCTGAGGGTCACGAGCAGCTGGGAGTGGAATACGGCTGTCTTGATTTGTCGCGCTACGCCGCCCGGTGGAATCCAGCTGTGCGTTTTGATCCCTATGCTTGAGGCACCATCGCTCGGGGGATGAAGAGGGAGGGAGAATACGGCGATGGATCCTCGCTGAGAGAAGGCGGCGAACCTCCACTCGGCGACTCCCTCTCCAGTTGCCGTATCAGGTACCAAACACGTCCCAGGTCCCTCATCTGAACCGGAGAACAGTTGTATCTCCCCCACGAGACGTATAGGAGTGCCCTGAGTGGGTAGAAGGAGAATACGAGCGGTAGGTGAAGAACGGTGAGAGAGGGCGATGTACGGTCCCAGGAGCTGGAGGCGGCTTTGTGCAAACGGGAGGGTCTTGATTCCATCGCTCACGGAATGAGGGTGTGGAACCACAGAATGTTGGAGTGAGACGAATGTAAGGGAAGAAGAACGAGTGAAGCCTGTGGCCCAGTTTTGCGACAACCGGTAGACCCATCGCCAGTCTAGCGGAGGGTGGGGATGGTGACTGTCCTTTGCTGGTCTGGAGAGGCTTCTGAGATGTGATGGAGGGTGATCCCTCAAGAAAAGAGATTTCCATAGCTACAGTTCGGTTAATTTACTACAAAATGAGGGGTGGTAAGGGGCGCACTTGGTTATCCCTGGCTATCCGTAGACAGTGCGTGTTCACCAGCTGGACTTGAGCAAGTGAGGTGGCATCCAGATGTGCTAGAATATGAAGAATCACTTCGTCCGATAGATGAGATAGAGAAGTTCCCTTCGAGGAGATGTGTGCCCTCTTCGTAGGCCGTTCTTCAGTTGATGGAGGAGCACTTCGCTTCATCTCTTGTGCTTGGTGACCAGGAAAGAATAAGCGCCGTCAGGGACTCATAATGAATGGGCGCTTGATTACATAGCCCTGCTTCCGGTACTGCCACAGTTTGAACATCTCCTCGACCAAACGACCACAACTAACTAACATATATTTCAACGGGCAGCATACTATGCGAAAATGACAGAACAAAAGCAGAGCGAACCGAATGGAATTGTATCTCCTAATTCAAATCATGTCAACGGAAACCAGCATGCGATGATATCTGCTAAGACGGTGGCGCCAGCGGCTGGGCCACCGCCCTTGCCGCAGGAACTGTCGGATATGGTCCCTCTTCGAGAGATCATTGCTCGTCTCGTTCAAAAGTCGTATGAAGACTTGCAGAATCTTATTGAAGTGTACGTGTTATATTGTATGGTTGTTATGCCTGCTCATAGGGATGCAGCCTGCCCAGCAAGTCTGACGTAGAGCGGAAACATGCTATACGAGACTACGGCAGCCACACGCGCAAGCAGGTCGTCAAAGCGCTCGTTCTCACCCGGTGGGCAAGAGATTCTGCCGTAGTACAACGATGTCAGGATGTCCGATTTTTTCTGCAGGTACAGAATGGCCAGTTTAGAGAGGCGTCGCAGAGGTTATACGCCATCAAGGAGGGATTCATGGGTGCGAGATCGAGGCAGTGGGATCTGTTGACTGCAATAGACGTCCTTTCCACCGGAAAGTATTTACGCCTCCCAAAAGCTATCAAAGTGCGTCTCCCATCCTCCACTGAGGCTTCTCCCTGACGCTGCGCAGGAATGGTTTCTGCCTCCAACTCCGCCTTCTCCAGCATCCGCACTCCAAACTCTGCAGCAAATGGATCACGTCCTCCGCCTCCGCCTGCGTGCACGCGAAATAATACCCATAGAGATGTCACGCTATTCCGTCTCCTCAGGCAGAGTAACATTCACGGCTCCGAACCTATTTCGCGCGAGCTTCGTTACCGGAGGGGCAGAGCCGTCGCAGATATGGTACTTGCTTGGACTGGAATTCCTTATCGGCGCAAAGGATAAAACGAGGGTGTTTGAACGTACGTCTCTTGCCCCACCGGCTGTCAGCACAACTGAAATATATCTATATCCAGGCTTTCCCAGGAAACCGCAGGGGTTCATGCGCGACCAGATCATTAACCTTGTCAACCAGCAGCTTGCGCTGGGTCACGACCCAGGTACAAGGACGGGAGACGCAGGGGTCGGAGCGCAGGAACAGGAACCGCATGCACGTAGGCGGCGGAAAGGAAAGGTGGTTACTGTCGATGCGCCCCTTGTGCGGGCATACAACTTCCTCCGTATGTCCCCTTCGATTCCTAATGTTGGTATGCTAAACGCGTTTACAGAAATGTTCGCCCTGTCTTACCAACTTGAGATCCTCTCCTACCAAGCATCCCAACTTCTTTCCTCCCTTGGCTGGGCCTCCCATCTTCGACTCGAACATTCCCGTGACCGGCGCACTCTCACTGCCTCATACTGGCAGCGTCCCCGCCCTCCTCCACCAGCAGGCAATCCACCTTGGCCAGCATCCCAGAGCAAGATATACGGTGGCACTGTCACAGTCTCCCTCGAGAGCCGGGCACATCAAGGCCGAACAGCGTTAGGGAAGGTGCTCGCCGACCTAGAAGACCGCACCAAATCCGGTCATACTAGGTCAGACGTTACAGTCCGTACGAGGGATACGGTCGATGGCCTCCGCCTCCGGGTCATCTGGACTCCCTCCCGCGCTTGGCTAGGCGTCGAGTTTGCACAAGACGAACTGCAGGGAGAGGAATTTGATGTCGATCCGAGCGATCTAGATTTTGAGAGGTCGGTGATGAGGAGAGTCGTGGGGCAGCATGCGGGGGCAGTGGTGGGCCGATGGGGTGCGGCAATGCGACGCGGTCCTGCAGGGGTGGTTTGGCGGGAAGAGGAAATGAAGATTGCTGAGGCTGAAGGTGTGTTTCTCATAGAAGTAGGGAGGGCGTGCTGATGCGTAGAGCAGGGGGTACGACAGAGCTACATCTCCGCTTCCGCCCACAAGAGCTTACGGTCATCTCCCTTGATGGGAGGAGTGGCGCGTTCGTCGTCCGAGAGCAGGGGGTGCTGCCTAGCGTCTCGAGGAGCGAGAAGATCGCCGCTCTTGTTAAGCAGATCAATGACAAGCCTGGGACGTTCGTCGAGGCTGTCTGTATGACCCGGTTCCAGGTACGTTCTTTCATCATGATACCAGGTGCTGTGCTGACGCTGGAGGCAGATCTTGTTAGAAGACCTGGAGAACAACGCGACCGTTCTCCGGACACACGTTACCCGCACACGCCTCGTTCGCCCGCAGGATATGCCCGCCTTCGGGTCGTCCGCCCGTCTCTGCCTATATATCTCCCTCGCCTCCTTCCCCTCACACTATCTCGTCCTCGTCCTCGCCGACCAAGGCCTGCAGTATGCCATGCTCAAGGTCGCTCTGGTCAACGAGGATGTCGCTCCTGATTTCCGCATTCTCGAGTGCGCATGGCTCGACATCCGCCGGATAACAGGGCAGGACCCCGCTCGTGACCCGGGCTTGCGGTGGTCAATCAGTCAAGATGCGCTGTGCGATCTCTACGCCTTCTGTCGCGCACGCGTCGCCCATGCCGAGCTGGAGCAACAACTCAGAGACGTGAAGATTGCCTCTTGGCCGACGTTCGACTCCCCATCTGCGGGAGGAAGTAGGCTCGAGACCCTTCCCCTCGCTCCCCCATTGCTGCAGAAAGAAGTCCCAACAATCCGGATCGAGTCCTCTGCTTTCCTTGGTGCGATGTCCTCGGATGCGAGCACGATGTCCGCCGACGCGTGGTGCGCGTATATCGCCCTCCGTGCTATAAACTGGACGCGCCTGTACGGCTCCGTTGGCGCGATCGTCTCCGTTGCTCTGCGGAGTGAGTTTTTCGTTCCCCTAGCAGATGAAAAGAGCACCACTGGAGAGTATGCCGGCGTGAGGGTCAAGCTGGATAGTAAAACGGGGGTTATCAATTTCCATCTGGAGAATGTGCACGGCGCGATTCTCGCCTTCTTGAGAGCGTGGGAGGGTGTCAGCAAGGCGGTTAGCGTGGCCAGAGAGGGTGTGTACCAAATCATCTGCTTTGATGAGATATTAATGAGCGGTTAGTGCGGACTATGTCACAGGAACCGCGCTACACCGGCGTGCAGCTTCTCTCATTCACCCTCTCGTCAGTGTCTTTGTTGTACCAAAACGTGAGTGCTTCCCATATTAGTGATGTTAGCAAGTACTGATAAGTTTACAGTCCTTCGCGCTCACTATATCGTCACACGGCGCGACCTCGCTCGGGTTTTCCTACCATGGCACACCCGGCCGGCGAAACCCGCACGAGGAAGGCGTAGATCACTACTCACGTGTGTTCGAAGAGAGTGGGCCGCGCAAGCTTATCGAGATCCTGCGAGATACACTTCCCCTGCTTCTGGAGTTTGATCAGCTGGACGTTTCCGCCCAGATGCGCTGGAGCCTGCGCGAAGCAGGCTGGGTGCGCGCAGTATACGGCCAGGAACCGCATGCGCTTGATTACAGACTGCTACCCAACTCGCGCATCCTTGTCGTTGACGGCGCTGTGCATTTGTTCAACTCTGCTGGCAAGGTTTTGTTCACACAACATCCGATTGTCGATCTTATGCGCGAGTCTTCGGAGAAGTTCTCGGGTGTGTACAAGGTCATCGATGGTCTGCCGAATCTGTTGTTGGATGTGACGAGGAGCGTGGCCAAGGAGCGCGTTGGAATTTCTGAATCCGGTAATCGCAAGATGCCTGATGTGATACCCCTTGATGCCGGTTTGATATGCCATCAAGACGCTGTTCGTGATGTGGTCAGGTTGATGCACGAGGGGATGCTCAAATTGTTGGATAAGGAAGACAAGGGCAAGGCGAAGGAGAAGTCATAATCGGACCATTCTACTCCATCTGGTTGTATCGTCCTCTGGGATATACCCGTGTTTTCTATTGTATTTGTATTTTTCATATCTTATTACAACCAATTTCCTTCTGTTTAAGTCGCCGCTTACAAATAGGGGTCGCCGAATTCCGCGGAAACTCTTGATTTTCTCAGGACCCTGGTTACATCATCGTCCCAGAGTTTTTTTCTCCGCGTGTGATGGCGGCGCCTCCTCACCCGCCACGTTTCACGGACCAACATTCACGTCAAATTAACAATGGAAGTAAGCGTCATTATCCCTTAAGCATGATTACTGGGATGTTTAGTTGAACAGGACAGGACGATGCCATCCGATGCACTCACCAAGGTTCGCGCGGTGGACGACGACGCGCTTGCGGTCTTCGACGACCCGCAGGTCAAGCATGAAGTTCTTCACAAGATCTGGGAGCTGCACAGGTGCTTGTCGTTTCGAGCGTGCTGGAAGATGGTCAGGATTCTGATGTCTGAAAGGGACGACGAGCGTCACGCACTGCATGAAATCAATAAGCTGGAACACATCAAGTACTACAAGCCGATTCTGTATGCGACAGAACCAGTACCTTTCGGTAAGCCCATCGCATAAATTCGGAAATATTCTAATATTCATTGTCAGGTACGAACTACTTTGGCAAGGTACAGCATTAGTTGATAACAATATCGCTGGACTCCTGCTGAACATGTCTTCACAGATCCTGCTTAACGAAAACGAGCAGTGTATACATGTTCGGTAGGTTTCACCACCCTTCTTCTCTCCTTCTTCAAATTTAATCTGACTTGATCATTCTAATCCTAGCGTACTCAAAGCGGAAGGCGGGACACTCAATTTCCACGCGGTACATTGGCGGAGTCCCGAGAAGGGCGGTGCCATCTTTGGGAAGGATGATGAGCTCGAGTATTTTGAGTACTAGACTCGTGCAATGAGGTTCAATGCATGTGAACAAAGAGCAGGGGACTTTAGTTCTGCCGCAGTCAGCGGAGAAGTGAAGCGCGTGAATGCATGTTCATGTGATGTGAGACAGGGTAATGAACTGCCATATTCTTCCACCTATCTCATGAGGCAGGCGCTTATCGGAAAGCAAACTTTTCCGTCTGATCGAGGCAAGATATCCTTACCCGGAAGGGGCCGGGCAGTGCTGCAAAGGATCCAACTCGTTCAGTTGCCAGCAGGCGCAGGTACTGCCAATATGGCGCGTAGTGCCTCGCATCTTTCACCTTCATTCGCTCCCCTTGCTCACGCAAAGGTTGCTTTGCACTGCATCATAGCCAAGATGTGATACTCCTGTTTCTTCTCTGCTGAGCTCTCACGTCTTTTGCGCAACTGAATTCTGACCAGATCAACTTATTAGTATGGGCAGAAACGCCTTTTGAACACCCTTCGAAAGCGCTATTGGATCAGGTAGTCAATTAGCAGGAAGTACTAATTCCATAAGTCTCAGGTTCGGGTCCGACGGAAGAAGCAAAGAAGCAAAGAAGATCCGAGGCCAAAACGGATATCGGCGATTGACCCGATACGGTATTCATTGTGCTGGGAAATCGGGAAATGACTCGGAAGCCGAACCTTTAATGGAGAACAATAGCGGCGACCTTGGTCAGTCCTCATTCACAACCCTGGAACAGAAGCAGGGGACCCGTGTTTGCAGCCTTCAGGCAAAAATAAACTGAATGCAGTGTCTATGGTGGGCTGCAGCAATCCCAGTACACGCTCTTACAACGTTCACATCTATTTCCATGCAATGATCATTGGGCAATGCGGTTGCTGTTATTTAAGGAGGCAGGTGTCTTTGGGAATCCTGCAGCCTTTTGTTTCTTGTGGTCGAGACAGCACATTCAACTTATGGCCTTCTGGTACAAAGTTCCAAGCATCTCTCAGGCCGATTCGGCACCTTCTACCTCTCGTTCTGACGGGCCACTTTCCCGTTTGCTCCGAAGCGATCCGCGTCTCCGTAGCTTCCTGAGCGATCTTTCCGCCGTGCTCGACATGCACTCGGAATCACGAGCACATCATGCGTCGCCTCCCTCCTATTCTTATGTCATGATACGACGACGGCTGGACGGTGCGCTCCTGTGGATCCTGCACAAGAAGAGAAGGACATAAATCATTTCGGGATTGGGACCAAGACGGTTGTAAAGAAACAAAGTCATCGTCAATCTATAAGTCTTTCCGGTGGGTAGTATGACTCGCATATTCAGAAACGCCTTGATAGCTGACTCCCTCGTTCCCATCAGGCGCACGTCCCGGATGTCGCTCGGTTTCCTTCTGGATGCCCAGAGAAAGAAATGCAAGAGGAGTGAAAAGTTGATTCGGAAAATCTCACGATATCATGCAAGATATTCAATAAACACTGTGTATGAGAAAGACACGGGATGCGTACGATTTGTTAGATATCGTTTGTATTTTAATAGCCAGTGTAGACCGATAGAAAGAAATTTTCCTCGCTTTGAGCGGAGAAGCGGATACCATGAACGTTAATGGAGCAAAACGTGTGTCTTTGTGGGGATTATGTTGTCAAAAGTGAAGGGGTAGCCGCACGGAATCTGACGCCCAGAGGATATTATGAGGAGGATTCAGTAGGTATTGATCTGACTAGCATTCGATGAGTAGTACAAGTAAAGTATAAAGTAAGTAAAGAGACCGCTACTCTGCAATCACCGTTCGCCCTGGGGCAAGACGATGGTTAAAGAGAGAGACAGGAGAGTATATATGCGTCAGGGTCCTAACACTATATGCGTACCCCACTGCTTCCAGGTCACGGGCGCACAATGAGGACTCCCGTTACAAGCCCCACCATCACAATAGCCCTCCCAGTCCTCACTGCATGCTTCTAATACACACACTCACCGTCCGAGTCATCCATCATTGACGCCGTGGCCTTAAACCTGCTGGCCGCCTCGTCGTCCGAGGGAGGAGGGGTATCACGGCGCAGCCCACCGTTGAACTCGTTCAAACAATCTTCCATCAAAAGACAGGCGTAGAATGCTTCGGCGTGTGCAGTCTTAAGCCGGTCCTTGAATGACTTCCAAGCGTCTCTCCGGTCGTCCTGTTCTGGCCAGTAGATGGCCTCTTCACTCGAAGGGAGCCAATATCGGAAACGAGGGTACACAGTTGCCTGCTCCCCCAGGGGGGCACAAGTGTACACCCATTCATACTGGTCGATCACCCCTTTGCCTTTTCCTCGCGAAACCTTCGCGTTCTCACCCCACCTCTCGTTCGCGAGGTTGAGGAGCGAGAGTCTGAGGCTCTTATATATGCTCAGTGCGGAATCCGAAGCACGGACGTTCGCAATCATTTCATCCCGCTTTGCGCATGCTATCCAATAGATGGGTAGAGGCAACCCAACACGTTGGATCCATCGCGTACTTTCCCCTGCGGATAAAGCACTTGAGCATATGCCTTGTAACATATTCGGCAACGACTTGACGGGGAGGAAAGGCTCATTAGAGCGGTAGGCGGCCTTGCCATACTGGGAGTTCCCGCCCCCATTCCTTGCTCGCTCGTTGTGCCATTTCCGGGCTGCCAGAATACCATTAGACCAGGCCTTCTTTTCCTCTGGCGTACGGGGGCTGGACAGCGTGGGAACGGCGGCAATAGCACTCTGAAGGTTCCTCCAGTCCCACTCGCGGCCTGCGGGAAAGGGAGGGAGCATTCTGATGGCTGCCGGCCTCGTACTTGTACTGGCCACCGGTTCGCGTGACACAGCCGCCATAAGAACAGGAGCAAGGTTCGGGGCTTGCTGCTGTTCGGGGTTGGGCAGGCCTTCCTTCAAAGAACCCCCCACGGATGGAGTAACCGAAGTTAGCGGAGAATCCGAATCCAGCACAACCATCTCCCTCTGCGTTTTGACCGGAGTCTCACGCTCAAGGGTGACAGGCAACAGCGCCACTATAGAAGGTGGATTGGTGACCATTGTAGGAGTCGATTCAGTTATGCCGGCCGGCGTCGCGATTATATCCGTGAGTGTAGAAGAAGACGTGGTTGGCTTTGCGGAGAGCTCGAGAGGCGTCGAAGACTCCTTTGGCCAATGCACTTCCATCGAGCGCAAATCGGCAATGGGTTCCGCTAGCGATTGAAGGACAGGAGCCATCAGGTCTATCACCATAGGGACATCGCCAGAGGGAGAAGTGGGTAAAAGTAGAATGGCGTGGGAAGGGCAATACGGCTCGACTGGGACCGGAGGTCCCACTCGAACTTCCCATTGGGGAGGAAGAGGAGGTTCTGGCCATTGGCTGATGCCTCCCCAAGAGTTCTGTTGAGAGGGCCAGGCAGCTTCCTCCCAAGTAAGGGAGGCAAGGGGACTAGCTCCCGGACGATCACCCCAGGGAGGGTTGGTCGTGGAGTACGGCGAGCGAATGGAGGGTTCGCACGCATACCATCCAGGGTCATGGGCACGATGACTGGATTGATTACCCTGAGGATGTCTGGTGGATGGCGGGGGCTTCCCTCTCCCGTGAAGGATGGCGCCAGTTCGAATCTGTTCTCCGCTCCGGGGAGCGTGAACAATGTATCTCCCAAGTGATGCGATTGTTCCTCTCCGTCCGGTCTCTACGATCCTCGGCCAGGCGGAAATTGGTTCGTGATGTTGCCATGAGAGGTGTGGGATCGTCTGATCGTTGACTGCCGGGAGAGTCGAAGGCCGTAAAGAGCGTTCGGCCTTTGCTATTACTGTATGACTCGGCGAGTCGCACCCAGGTCGTGTAATCGTTTGGCGAGTCACAAAATCCCTTGATGAGGAAATCCGACAGAAACTTGAATTCACGGTCGAATGAAGGGCAACCCAAGAGAGGGACTTCTTCACTGGAAAGCCACGGCGGCCAGCAAAAGGGTTGAAGACGGACTGCTGGGGAAACAGAAGGTCCCAGTCTCAAGGGGAGGCTCCTGCTCGCATCCCAATCATGCAAGTTGATATGAGTTCGCCAATTCTGGCGTCCTAGCTGGTTTTCCCAACACTGAATAGCCAAGAACCGGGGTTCTCTGGCATAGGATCGACCCCTCCGTCGTAGCGCTGCGTATAACAGGTGGATGGCGCCTTCGTATACGTCCAGGTGTGGGCCTAGCCAGACGTGGTCACCCCAAGCTCCTTCCAAGATTTGTTCGAGCGCTTCTTGTTCCTCAGGGGAGTGAGCACTGCTAACTAGCTCCAATCCGGTTTGGAAAGCGGTTTCTCGAGCGAACAAAGTCCAGTTCGCAAGCAACGACTCTTTTTCGAGGAGGGAGAGAAGACGGTCAACCGAGGCAGCGTCGAAATCAGCTTGGCGCCGAGTGCAGGCGGCCGGGGTTTTCAGTTGTCCTTTTGGTCGCACTATGGGCAATATGCCCAAACCGACTAGCACTTCGTTCATTCCTTGGGGCAAGAAGAAGCGCTCCATGTTAGAAGCTAAGTGGGGAAGGACGAATGCGCTCGGAGGAAAAGCCGACAATCGAGCCGCAGTGGGACCATTAGGGCGTAGAACATATTCATGGGGAGGGAGCTGCCCTGGGACAGGTTGACCGGGTCGGAGGGATAAAGAGGAGTTGTAGATCTCTTCCTCCTCTTTCGCAAAGGAAAGAGCTCAGTTCTGCTCTTCCTCTTCCCCCGGGGGGAAGGAAGGAGGAGGTCACTTTGCTTCGAACAAAGGTGGTTCGCACTGATCTTGTTGAGAATCCATTATGAGCAGATGTTTACTGGCGGTGTGAAACTGCTGAAAGATGATTGAAGAGTAGAAAGGAGTGGGTGGGAAGAGTAGAGAGCGAGAGGAGAAAAATGGTAAAGCAAAGGGCCTTTATAGACAGCGCAAATAAAAGAGTGGCGGGTAGCGGAAGCAATTGTTTGTGTATGTGGTCAACATAGGGCAGACTTAAGCGGACTTAGACTGCTCTAAGTCCGCTGCTTGCAAGTTTGCCCTTTGGCCTTCCCGCTAGTGTGGAGGCGCCTTCCCTGCTTTCCCCTTCCTGGAGGAGGAGATAGGGAGCACTGGTTTCACTCCTTGACAGATGTGGACCAAAGCTTGATATTCTCAAAGAGTCTCCAAAGCATTGCACAGCTCTGTCTCAGTTCACCAGTTGTCTTTGTCAGCTTTGCAACCCTTCCAGCAGACACAGTACTTGATCTGAGACCTTTCGGCATTCCAGCGGTGGTCAATGATCTTCTCCACCTCTGCCTCCTCAGGGAGATCAGGACAGACTCCCGATAGAAGTATGCACTTTCCTAGCCCCTCCAGGGAGCAGTGATAGGGGTGCAAATGTTTGACATTGATGATGGGATGGATGCATTGGGTGTGATTCCGGCAGTCACAGCCTGTACACATTGTTGTTTATCTTCTCAATGATCTCAAAAGGCCCATCTGCCCTCAGCAACAACTTGCATCCCTTTTCCCTGGACTCTAGTAATTGGAGGGAGTGTGGGTTAAGCAGCACTTCTTGTCCCACCTCCCAACTTGCCGTACTCTCATGGTTCTTATTATGCAATCATGCCTGCTTCTGCTGGGCACAAACAAGAGTGTCCCTAGCTGCCTCCTGATGCCCCTGCAGATCTTCAATAAACTCCTTGGCTGTGGCAGAGGATAAATATGGCCTAGGGACTGCTGCTCCAGTACCTCCTACTACATCTTAAGGTCCAGCTGGCTGAAACCCATATAGCAGGAAGTAAGGAGAGTAACCAGTGGAAGCATGAGCACTTGAATTATAAGCATGATTGACCAATCCCAACCAGCAAGCCCAGGCTTGTGGACAGTTATCCACATAAGTGCATAGCATCATCTCAATGGCTTGACTTGTGACTTCTGTTTGACCATCAGTTTGAGGATGTTGAGCCAAGGACAGCTTAAGAGAAGTCCCAAAAGAGGCACAGAGGGAATTCCAGAACCCACACAACCATTGGGCAAAGGCCCAGATCTTCTTAAGTCAGGTGGCACTCTACCTGCAGGCCAGACCTCTGG